AGCCTGATTTAGAATAATTCCAATTCTGAATACAATCTGACAAAAGTGGTATACTCACAGCCTGTTATGTGCCTCGATGGCCTGATGTGATTGCTCCCTTATGGAGAATCTTCGTTTGTTATTGCCCCATAACGATAACAGCTCCACGCTCAAGGGACCCGCTATAATAATTTTTATATTTAATTGAAATGAATATACAACTTAAAAACAAATTCAAATAAACTGAAACAATTATTAATAAAGTAAAAAATTATCTATATTCAAAATATAAATAAAATAAAAACAAATTTATTTCTCTTAAAAATTATAAATAATAGTCAACACATATTTTAGGCAACACACAAATGTTTATAGGTTTTGTCATGAAAGGGCGACAGAGCGAACGAGAGAGACAGAGAAATATAGCCATTTAATTTCGCAATTATAGTGTCGTCGCTGATTGAGACCAAATGTATGTTCATAAGTAAAAAAAGTTGATATTATGAATACTTACGTGCGAATAATGGTCGTAGGTATAGTATATATGGGGGCGCGTCGCTTGAGAATGGGAAACCGTTACCCCCGCCCCCCACCGCTACCACCCACCCGCTCTCATCCAACGGACGAGCGTTCGCTGCAAGTAGCCAAGAGAAAAAAGTACATCATCGTCAGCCCTTTTACGTCCCCACTGCAGGGGTTCCTTATGAATGATTAAAGAGGATAAGCCATGACCCTCCACGCTGGCACAATGCGGATTAACGACTGCAAATGAAGCGGGACCAACAACTGACTTCCGGAGCACGATACAGTTCGCGATAATATTTTTTAATCACCCATCCCGTGACAGACCCTTGCGAAAGTTGCTTAACAACAACGATCGTGGGTCGCGGTGCTTATCAACTAAGCCACCGAGCAACTCAATAAGTACATGAATTAATGAAATCCGGCAAAAATTTGTTATGTTCCTATGGAAGTTAAAGATCTATTCTAATGAGGGCAACAATTTTTCGTTCACCGGATGGCGCGACAGTCGCGAGAGGTCCTATGAAAGTTTGATTACAACGAGATTGAATTTAAATTATACATCATAATACATAAATAAACCATTTTATTAAAACATCGAACATCTGCAATAAATACTTACCTCTGATTAAGTTGTTCTTTCATCCCACTTAATTTAGCACCTCTTTCTTAGCTCAATTTTTAAAGCATGACATTCATTGCCGGTAATTCTTATTGCTTTAATGAATCACCTCACTAGATGGCGACTCTACCAAAAGTAATTTTTTTGCAGGAAACGAATGAACCAAAGATAGTCATTTCCGTTCCTTTTAACACACATAATAAAAAAACTGGAATTTGCAAAGTTCGAAACCTAAATATCAATACAAATACGAAAAAGTACAAACAGAACTTGAGTTGTTTATCGAGTTTTGAAACTCGATTAACTTTTATACACGAAAGTAAACGGGAAGGGTTGTCATGAAGAAATCAAAAAGGTACCTTAGCAACATCTAGTTCGACTCGGGAACAAATTTTTTTTTAATACTTCCTCGTTCGCTAACAAAGTATGATATTTGGCATTTTGAAGACCTTACACTACACTAGCGCCTCCAGTGGCAAATTCAAACGCGTTAGACAATTTAGAAAATCGATATATTATATCTTAGCATAATCTACTTACGTATGTTGATAGTTTGCACCCACTCTCCAGATTCTATATCGTAAATATCTACGTGCGTTGCAGTGAATATTAGTAGGTGGGTTTCGTTCACAGCTGTAAAGAAATAACATATATATAGCGAAAATATTCCATTTAAAAAGATAGCAACCAAACTGAAAATGCAGAACGTCTAACAGAAAAGTATGACATTTAATTAAATAATAAAATGTTATTTGAACATCTCGTTAATATACAATTAAGAATTTACTCCATCACTGTATACACATGTATTCAAAATCTGAATTTTATTACATTATATTAAGACTTTATTCGCTCTTGAGTTAGAGTTGATTTTAAAAGCCTAGCCAACGTTTTTTTTAAATAGGGTATTGTACTCTGATTTAAAGCAAACGCACTTAAAACCGTTTATTTTAATTTAATTAAGTCACAAAAAAAATATTACGTAAAATAAACACTTATTTGCCTTAAAATGAAATCAAAATCAAAATTTTAATACATGTTACGATAAAACGCTAATCGCCATTTTCACAACGTCATCCGATAAGTAAACAGGCGTATTATTATTTACTAGAAACGATGTCAATCAGACAAGAACAGTGTTATCTAACGATCTTGATACATAATAAAGAGAATAAATAAGGTAAATAAGAAAAGCGCCATCTAATTATCTACTTAACACTAAATAAAATATGCTGCAGTTTACGACTATCTAACTGATGCAGAAATGTTTCTAACGAAGTGATGTTACACTATAGCGGGTCGTGTTTCAAGTCACGTGATAGGCAGACAAAAAACTACTTTTATTTTTAACATAATAAGATAATACTGCAATTTTACTACTTCTAATCAGATTATGTATGTTTATTACAATGTAATTAATACTTTTTTTGCAAATTCTTCAATTATTTTTCACTACCAAAGCTACCCTTCTAATTATATAAAATAAAACACAGACAAATGGTATGTTCCGATATACACTGCGACCACTGAACAGTATGACGTCAATTTAGTATACTGGAAGCCCGTTCCTTTATAGCTAGTTATACTGGTGACTTTTTAAAACGGAACGCAGTCCAGTATACTGTTAATCCTATTTTTTGGCGCCATTTTCAAATTTGTTAATGCAAGGTAAATATAATATAAAGATTCCCTCTTTTCAAAAGAAAATATTATAAAATTGTGTATAAAGAAATATTTATCAATTAAATCCATCTTATAATAAACGTAAGTATTTTTTTTTTTGTTTATTTAGAAACTTATTATTTTCTGATTCTGTTTCGACTGATCACGTGATCAAAAGCACTGCGAGCACCTTACCTCGAAATCTCCAGTGCTCACAGTACAAATATGGCGGCAATTAATGACGTCATAAATTTCCCTACGGTACTGTAGCAGTGTACTGGCAGTCCATAACGGAACAGATTTTTCAGCAGTAAGACCACTGCACAGTGCACGCAGTGTATATCGGAACATACCCAGAATAACGGTTGCCGGACAGATGAAATTTCGTACGTTGACCTTTGTCCCTACTGATATATATTTTAAACATTACATTACTATGACAGAATCACTTTACTGTGACAGAATAGGCTAGATGCATCTGTGCGAGCGCATCAAAAATATGTTTGCGCACGAGTAACAGAGATAATGCGGGTCATTGTACGTTATTCTCTGTACGGCGACCGGACTATGCCTATAACTTACCATGATGTGCTGGATGAGCTGTATACATGAGCTCTGTATCGCGAGCTCTATGCCCGTGCCTGTCCACGTATAAAGCTAACGAGTTGAACACTAACAGCATGTCAGTACTCTGCGGTACAGGGGCGCAAGCGAGAGGGCGCGCGCCAGAGTGGGACAGGAACAGATTCACCTGGTTCTCGGGGTGGACTAGAGCTGTATGCAAATCAGACAAGAATCTTTTACTGAAACATATGTAGTTGCATAAAATACTCGACATTAAAATTTAAAGTAGCCGTTCGACATTAAATTTCTTTTTTCTCAATTTTTATTAATTGTCAAAGTGCCAACTTTTTATAAGGAAATATTAGTTTGACCAAATATGGTCAGCAACTTACAACTGCATATTTCAAAAATTGCAAGTGAATCGATATTCTGTACTTCCTTAGCAATTAAATTTGACAACTACAGAGTTGTGGGCTTTGATATCGATGCTACTGATTGACCCAACTGTCATACTTTTTTTTTTCTTGCTATACCTATTTTTGTGTTTGTGGGTCAAATAAATGTGTTATCTTTTTTTCATTCTATCAATGCCGAGACTCCAATCGCAAGCCATTAAATTATCGGTTATCTATATAATTGCGTATGGTACTCACATACAGCGGGGTGTTCTAAATGCGGACGGCGAGGATCAGGCAACGGATGTTGTGCAAATCCTCCCCTGTAAATTAATATTACATATATATAATTAAATCAACCCTTGTACATAAATTCGGAACTCATTTTATTAGATATGCTCTTAACCCAGGAAAATTGAGTAGAAATTCTCACAAGATATTTAGATTTAAAAGTTCAGTCAAAACGGACATGGTTAAATTGCTTTCCTTTTAAATTTTTATTAGGTAGACATATTAGAAGTTAATGCTTTTTTACCAAGGTAAAAGCACCATAGGTTTTTTTTTCAACAGAAATATAAACAGCTACTTTGGCTTAATTTTTAATAAAAATAAAGGCAAGTAAGTGTACTGTACATGTACAATAAGTATACGGTAGCTATTTCATTCTTACTTTGGAAATTATACATGATAATTTTATTAAGTCAGCCATGTTGGATTTATAAGGATTATTTTTTTGCTTATATTGTTCCGTTTAAGGAAATTGCGCTTAATGTCCCATGTCATAAGAGTAACTATGGAAGTGATTGTTATTATTTCAACTAACTCGATCGATGTAAACCAGTTTAAGATTAAATTTTAATATTTATATCAGTAAAAAGTTTGCAAAACAACATATTCACTACCGTTTCCGAAGTTGAGTGTGGTGTGTAGTCGTTCGATTCTCGGTCGGGTCAATATAGAAAATATGCTTTCCTATATTGCCGCGGGTCTCAGATACTCCATAATACCTCCATAAGCCTTAAGTTTAGCTACTCATCTTGGAATCTAAGCAATGTATGTGACCTTGTCAATAAATTGATTTATTTTTACTGGTTTCTTATATTTTCACGTTCACTTCTTATTAAATAAAACTAGTTTTAACGGATTAACGTCTTAAAATAATATTTTTATTTTAATCTTGAATAAGGTACATTATATACATAGTTCACATCTTGTGACTTTGTGTGATGTTTATTAATTGAATACTAATTGTCCCTGACATTTGCATAATTAAATGAAGTAAACATGGTTTGATCTATCCGCATTTGGCTTTTGTTTTGGAAGTTGACATTTAAGAATTATTTAATTTTTTTATCCTTTAATTAATTTATTGACTGATGATAATATCCCCGACATGTAACATAATTTAATTTTCTTTTTCATATATTTAATATAATTTGTTTTCTGATTGTTTTCAATAATTTTACATCGATAGACTTATTATTATTATAATTACATGAATTGGAATTGCTCCTTATTTCAATAATATTACTCTTCCGTAATTTATCTTCTGTAATTTAGATTTTTCCGCTCTGCGACTTAATTGTTTTAGTATGACTGTTTTTATGTCTATCGTGTAACACCTGCAATTAAGATTGCATTTGTACTAATTCCTTAAAAAATATGTTAACTGTTTTAATCTTGATGGTGTTACTAAATAATTAAATAGTATCAAAATGATCAGAAATAAACGCGTTTCATCTTTTAATATTAGTTTCATATATTTAATATTATAGGTAAAGTACCTGTAACCGAGTATTAGTTTGCCCCGCGACAACTGCACGCTGAGTACTGCACTCGGTGCTCGGAGTTCCGCGATTCGACAACGGCGCGCGGCAGTGCGAGTTATCTCGTATACATTCACCACGTACGAGTTCTGAAATTAATGTTTTGTTATTATATCATGTTCGAATTAAAAGGACACCTGATATATTATAGGCCCCTAATTTATATCCACTAACGAAAACTGGGAAAATTTAAAACTGTAGTTTTAATTTCGTGAAGATTATCTGTGCATCGGATTCAGTTCCAATCCCTACCTCTATTGCATCGTAAATTTATCAAAAAATGCGTTTCTTTAGAATCATATTAGTATTTCGAAATAGAATAGGCCTTCAGGGTTATGTTAAGTCGTACGAGTAGTAATACTTGTACAGTGCCCGATACGAAAATAAACCCAATAAGGCGACATTTCGGCGGTATAATTGGGGTAAAAAAAATATTTTAAAAATAAGAGTACTATAAGTCGGTAGGTAACAAATGTATTACGTATGTATATTATTGTGGATAACGTTTTAATGAAATATTACACTTTAGAATGATTTAAATATCCAAAGCCCAAAAATCTTACAACAACGGGAGAATTAAGTACACTAATAAATCACTTTATTTCTTGAGCGTACTTATAAATGAAAAAAGTGCATTTGCAAATGGCGGGAAGATAACGTCAAGCGCGGAATAACACTAGATCCTGTTGCTATGGTCAAATTTCTCCCACTGCACACTTTACCTCCGTCGATATCTGTTATCTTTTTCAGCGCAATGTTTATTTTCGTGCCGTGTATTGTACATATAGTCACCTGTCGTTTGCAGACTACCGCAAATCCATAAGCGGACGCGTGTAATTCTCCAGCGGCGATGTCAACGGCACCTTTGGACTCTGCTAACTTGACGCATTCCACCTCCGAACATTCCAACGCACGTATCGGAACCAAACGAACGTGTCGACCGCGACCCGCTATCACCACTGCATAAAATCATAGTAATATTTTAATACGTCATTTATCGATACCTACCTATTATTTATCGATAACACAACTCACCCAGTAGCTGCTCGGACAACACGTAGAGCAGACGCGCGACCGGCGCGTGATGTCTCCGCGGCGTTAACTCCCCCCTCTCCAAGTCTAGTAGCGCGAGTCCTGCATCTCCCCCCACCACCACACGCGCCCCCTCAACCACGCACGCGCACATCGCGCCACGGAGAGCGCTACACGCGCTACCCCCACCTTCTACCACCACGCACGCGCTGTACACCTACACGATATATATATTGTTTAAAAAAACAACTAACATCAAAAATAAATATTTCACAAAACTTACTTTCGATAAAATGTATTTATATACTTTTGACGCATACATTTTATTAGTATTATATGACACATACACATACATTTTATTAGTATTATATGAGTAGCGCGATGGCATAGTGGCCCGCAATCGTTGTTGTTAAGTAAAACTCGCATAAGTCGGTCACGGGATGGGTGATAAAAGAATTATCATCTAGCTACTCCATGCTTCGGAAGGCACGTTAGGCCGTTGGTCCCGGCTGCATTTGCAGTCGTTTATACCCTCTAATCCACATTGAGCCAGTGTGGAGGGTCACGGCCCATCATCCTTAACCATATATCGCACACCTAGATCTAAACTGAGACAACTCAAAAATTTGAGTGAGTTTTGACTTTGTACAATATTCAAATTCTCGGTGATCATACGCATCTATCCAACATAACAGATTCACTAAAGGTTCGGGGATGAGCTGCTAGTTAACTTTAGCTTTCTTTTGTCTAATCAACAGTGGTCGCGTTCCTGCCACATAAACAAATGTATTGTCAGACCTCCACATTAGTTTTTTGAGTTGTCTTAGTTTAGATCTAGGTGTGCGATAAAAAGAAAACCTAAGCACCTGCAGTGTGTATGTAGAAAGACTGATGATAATGATTACAAAAAAGATATTGTTTATTTTTAAGGCAAAAACATCTAGCTACAAAAATCCTAAAAAGATTTTACTTCTCCTTTCATTGGCATATTAGTATTGAACATTTTGTTCCTGTAGGAAACACAGAAAGAAACTTTAGGACATACATATTTTACCGAACTATATAAATATTGCTCAATTCGATTTTTGTCAAAAGCTCAAAAGAAATTGATAATACCATCGAACTACAAAATAATCTCATAAATTTGGACCAAAATCTTCGTCTATTAATCTATTTAGTGATATTCTATCCTGTCTTTCCAAATAACAATGGGTTTAACACAATACAGCTTCTCGATTGCTGGAGTACATTGCAATTTAAACCTTAGTATAATTCTTATTGAATACATAATACATACACATTTGTCCGGTAGATTGTTCCTCTTCAGTATCCTATGAAGTTCGCTCAGAGCGACCACCCATTTCGTCTTCTCCGATTCTGATTCAGCTAACATTAACGTATGAGATCTTTTACCACCTTCCAATTGGGAGGTTGATATCTGTAAAATAACACATTCAATTCTTCAATTCCATTATCCTTATCCAAATAACCATATATATAATGGGCACTTCAATTTGAATGATAAACGATTTATCTGCAAATTGTGAACGGTATTTATGAATTTACTAATCAGCCATTTTGGAATAAAAGATTTTTAATCTATTGTCCCGTGTTCACTACTCATTAAAGACTTATTTACTTTATTCGACGTAAGAAATTCGTAATTTCCATGTATAACATAAACATAAAGCTTGACAAGTCATGTTACTATATTATGTCAATTTTTCGCAATTGATTTTCAACTCTACGCTCAATGCATTAAGCTATAAAATAAGTTTTTGATTGCATGACCTTTTTACAATCCATATAATTCTTATCATATAAAGTGTACTCACCCTAAATATACAAGGTATGTCACGTTTGCTGGCGTGTATGACGTCAGATTCCTTAACAGAAGTAACACTGAATTCGGGGTCCCGCATATCCAGGACCTGACTGACGCACACTGACGGTAACGCATTCCTGTCACAAAAACATATAATTGACTACTATAATCCTTTTTAAATAAACATCTAATATCTTCACAGTCAAACAATTTCTATAACGATGGTTTTTAATATTTGGAAATACAAATTGCCAGAAATGGAACATTCACTCTATTTTATAATGGGTATGTTCCGGTATACACTGCGACCACTGAACAGTATGACGTTAATTTAGTATACTGGAAGCCCGTTTCTTTATAGCTAGTTATACTGGTGACTTTTTAAAACGGAACGCAGTCCAGTATACTGTTAATCCTGTTTTTTGGCGCCATTTTCAAACTTGTTAATGCAAGGTGAATATAAATATAAAGATTCCCTCTTTTCAAAAGAAAATTGGAAAATTGTATAAAAAATTATTTATCAATTAAATCCATCTTATAAATAAACGTAAGTATTTTTTTTTTTTGTTTATTTAGAAACTTATCATTTTCTGATTCTATTTCGACTGATCACGTGATCAAAAGCACTGCGAGTACCTTACCTCGAAATCTCCAGTGCTCACAGTACAAATATGGCGGCAATTTATGACGTCATAAATTTCCCTAGGGTACTGGCAGTCCATAACGGAACGGATTTTTTAGCAGTAAGACCACTGCGCAGTGCTCGCAGTGTATATCGGAACATACCCAATATCAAAGAGTTAGTGTCAAAAGTCAACCAGGTTTAAATTACTATAATTTTTTTGTAACGATCAATGAAAAAAAGTAGGTATTTACCTATCTTGTGATATGTCGTAAAGGAACAATTTGAAATCGCACACGACAACAAATTGTCGCATCCAACCTTTTTTCACACCTCCCGGCTTTGGTACCTGGAACGAATATTTTAGTTAAATAACGATAGCTGTTATATTTAAAGCCACATACTCTGTAACCGCAACCGATACACGTATCGGTTACGTGGTATTATGTGGCGCCCTACCCGCGCACAAAATCTAATGGGGTATTCAGTATGAGCATGCTAGTAACTCTTTTGGGTAAAATATTTTAAAACTATCACGTAACCTTATTAAACCACATCACATTTATTTTTCTCCAAAAAGCGTTATTTAATATAGGAAAGGATATTTTCATTCATTATTTTACATTGTCCCGCGAAAGCAGTCAGTCGCGTGATATTTCGGGCGGTGACAGGTTGCACAAAGACGACGTTTAGTTTACTGAATTGTGACAATGCTTAGTTAAAGGCGTTTAGTTTTTGTAATATACATATTATCAATCGCAAACAGATTAACTTGGTAAAAAAACTGACAATTTGATTTTGTTTAAAATATATCACAAAGTTATTGTTTACATATAACTTACCATTTCCAAGATATAAAAAGAAGAAGAAAAAATAAATTAATTTATTGACCCACAAACATTAGGTCCAAACATAACGAAAAAAAAAACAGAAAAAGATAAACTTAACACAAATATCAATAACTATGTTTATCTTTTCCGAAATTCATGCTATCAAACTAAAAGCATACAAATAACAAAATTTTAGGGATTATTCATAACATTCTTAACGGAAAATGTTTAAAAAAATCCACTCTGTCCCTAGCACTCTGAGATGGGACTCGAACCTTACGTAACCCGAGCGACTGTTCTAACCACTAAGCTGGCCAAGACCTAACAGGACTGACCACATGTTACATTATTAAGCATTTTTCATTAAGAATATTTTCCAGTATATCATTGAGAATACAAAATTGATAAAATACAAATTGTACACAATTATTTCAATAATTAATAAATAATTTATCTCTGCCTTTTATGCTATCGGTACTTTCTATTTTCAAATGACCTCACGCGGGTGTTATTGAGGCAAGGTTGAGATTAGCAATCTACTGGAGTTATACCTTGACGTATCCCTCGTACGCGGTGCCCTGCCCCCGCGCGGGATCTATGCCTAACGGTCTGCGGGATCGCTCGGGCGGCAGCGGGCAGCGAGCGGCCACTCGCCCGCAACACCGCGTGTGTACCGCCAGGCCGCACGTCTCGCACACGACGCCTTGACGGGTCAGACCGATCTGTTCGGCAAACGTGTTACGTTAGCACACATTTCATTCATCATCACCAGCGTAATAATGTCCCACTATGCTGGGATACGCAAGAACAGGGATGACGACTGGGTAAAAAAATGCAATTCTATTTAGTCCGTCAGTCAGACAATAGGAAAATATTAGATACGTGTTTTTTTTTACTTCAATTTAACAAGAAATAACTTAGATAACAGGCATTAAAGTTGAGGAGTGGGGGCTCGCTACGTCACAGTTTAGTAGAAAACGTACCATAACGGCGAAATTTCAACTCCATGTAACACGGTAATTTAATGATTAGAAAAAAAAAAAAAAAAAGTGTTTAATATTTTTTTAACACTCTACCTGACGGACAATCAAACAAAAATGAGTCGTCATCCCTATAGGGACAGACAATGGGCCATGACCCACCACGCGGGTCCAGTGCGGATTGCAAACGCAGTCGGGACCAACTGCTTAAACGTGTCTTCCCGAAGAGCTCGAGATAAGTTTTTGGTCACCCATGCTGTAACCGGCCCTTGCTATAGTTGCTTAACAACCGTATCGTTATCGTATCGTATCGTAATCGTATCGTATTAAATTCGTTATACGTAATTAATTCATCATCAGCTTTATAAGGTCTCAGCTATTAACTAAAAGCCTCTGTGACTAAATCGGTAGAATAGATCATGCATGGCCGGACACATTGGCTAGTGCGGATTGGTGTGTATTAAAAACTTTAAATATAGCGGACCAACGGAAGCGCTTACCACTGCGCTGTATATGTTCATTTGAATGAAAAAGATTACTTATTAACTGAAGAGCGGAAATAACAAAATGTATATAATTTATTAATAAAATAAAATTGGGAAATTGTATTTAACACTTACCATGAGTGACGTGCAATGGTTACACTTGGTGGGACTACTGAAGGTCCTCACTAGGAACTGGTGTACCTTCTGTTTGCCAGGCACAGCGGGACCCAGCGACGGATCCTACCAATTAAAACTAAAATTGAGTACATTTTAAATATATTTTTTATACAGAGATCAGACGCAATTTAGATTAAGGTTTCCCAACTTTCACAAGTACTGTATAAATAAATGATTTTAATTTGAATTAATCTTATATTTTTAATTATTTATGTAAAATATTTGACGAAAGATATATTATCTATTCTCAGTCTTGAAAGAAAGAGAAAGAAAACTTATATTTGGTTTTCTTCGTCTTTATTAAAATTCGAGATTATGAATAATAATTTTCGGCTGTTAAATAGCTGCTAAAATACGACCACTACAAGCAAGAAAGATATAATATGAGAAATTCGACAGTCTCTTAGTCAGCTGAAAGAGTAGTGAAAAGTTGCGGTTTCGAGACCTAGCTAAAAGAGCCTGATATAATACGTAATTCTCAATTTTCCTACAAAATAAATTAGCTCTTATCTTGACAAATTTCTTCTCCGTAAAATTTCGTAGTTTCCGTGTTTCCAAATAAATATATTTTTAGTTTATTCATTCTATTTTTATACACTATTAATATAATGTTACCGTAGAGACCTCGCTAGGGGAGCTTTTGCTGGAAGCTGGCGACGCGGCCCTGGGATCGACTTCATCTTGCGAGTCCATAGATCCGCTTAGCACAGCCGATTGTTGAGATCCATACATAATCTGCAGCAAAGACTTAAGTTAACACTAGAGAATACCGCCAGATTATAATATTGCCGACCTTGTCTTCACATTTCAAAATATATACATTGTAATTTTAATATATATGCATATTATTTTTAATATTAGAGCAATATAATGTTTCGAGTTAAATGAAATGTTATTTGAAGGCATGTACAAATATTTTTATTATTTATTTACTTATGACCAGTAGAAAACTCAATTTGATGACAATAGAAGTATACTTATGACATCAAAAGCTAATAAACCCTAAGCGCCAAAAGCCAGGACTTAATGTTCCCCTGACATTTAGTTTTGTATGCCATTCGATTTTATAATCTGATAAGAATTGTAATTTATTGTAACCACCGGCTTGGTGTACTTCGTATCAGCTCTCACCGTTTAAATCTTCCCTGGACTACGAAAAATAGCTAAATAGGCCCAGCCGTTCTCGAATATTAGTGAGGCAAACAAACAGCAATTGATTTTTTATAAATATACATAGATTACACACACTATTAGTTTCATTATAACACTTTGTTAATATTACCACTCATTAAAATTACTTAAATGAATTAGCAAGTGTTACTTAAGCCAATAAAAAAAATTAACTAAAACAATTATACCTTAGCGTTGCAACAATACTGGTTATTCCTGTACCGATACTGTGGTGACATCTGTGCGGAAACAAATGAAACAAAATAGCAACACAAATAGTAAAGCTGAACGGGTGTAATTAGGCAAAGTTGTTTTACAAAAATGGTCTCGGAGGAAACCGCAATAAAGTAACTTTTCCTAGAGCAAGTTTTAGCAAATTTACTAATATAGAAATATACTAAAAAAAAAACAATTTCGCCTAACTACTTTCTAATTACAGACACCAATTTATTAGTCACTTTATAAGATGATATGATGGGTTTTTAGACAGCACAAAATGATAATCTACCGATGACAATACTTCTAATTCAGAGTGTGATATTTCAATTACTTTAGAATCAAAATGGGACACTACTTGAGAGGTATAAGAATAAAAATACCGGGATCCATCAACTTTCAAAGAAGTTTTTAATCATAATGGATACTCATTCTTATATACCCAAAACTGCGTTACAATTTTAAATGTTTAAAAATGTCAGGTAAACCATATCACCGAACGCATGAAGTCAAATGTGGGGTAAATAAAAGTGATTTTCAGATAAACAGTAGGATAGTGTCGGTAGTGAAAAATAAGTCACGAAATATCACAAAAACTAAAAATGCCATCGTTATAAACATAGAAATTCTGATATTCAGTCTTAAATCTTACGATTATTACACGTTACACGTCCGGCCATAGTGTGACGTCACTGAAGCGACAACTGTCAGATTTGCCATAAACATATACCTATTAATAATAAATCAAATTCCTAGATGGCGCAGTTTTTAGCTTATTTATAACTTTTTATTTCGTAATCGATCGTTAGATGGCGTTATTTCTGTTTTATTGACACCTTTTAATCTTCTACTCTATGCAATCTGTTTTTTTGTACATATCACAATGACGTCATAAATATGACGGATAGCGTTTTTGCGATTATAAAAAAGGTTAAATTTTGATTCAAGAAAACGTGTTTATTTTCCAAAATATTTGTTTTATGGTTTTTTTTTTTAATTAAAATAAACAGTTACAAGTATTATTTCAAATAGAGTAGAATACCCTATTAAAAACATAGTGTGCGATTCTTATAAAAGAAACACCAAAGCTTTCCAATCTGTTAAAGATTCAGTAAATCACTAAAATTATTTTATATTTCACACGATTTCCACGCATTTCCTAGATAATTTTACTACCTTATTACCCACAAAATTCTTCGCTAGCGCTGATTGGTATATCGTTTGACGTGAACACTTAAAAATTATAATTTTATATCTTGATTTAATAATAAAAACCATTGTTATTTACCAATACATTCGATTTGTAGTCTTTTAGTTTCATGGACTTTTAACGAAACAAATAAATTCTTTATATCTGATTGTTGTCCATTTTTAACAGCAGAAAAAGAAAAAAAAATTATTGAAATATCAAACTCTTTAAAAGCAAATATTAAAATATAACTTTACGATCTAAAACTGACCTTTTGCTCGTTGTTAATAGCGGGCACATTGTCATAATGGCGCTCCGTCGGAGCTTCCTTTAAGAATTGGTCCAAATAACTCATCTGAGACGGTGGCCGGTCCAAGACTGAAATAATTAATGTTGATATTACAAAAAAAAATAACAAAATTATTACACGTCAGTTCCAAAAACTTTATATATGAAAGACATACTATTTATTTTTCAATGTGATTATTGATTATTAAATTATATCTAAAGGGTAAGCGATAAATAATATAAACAAAACAAGCTCCTGCAGTATTTAATATATTGCTTTATTGTTACAATAAACCAACACGTCAACTTAAACCTCTAATTATTATTTTGTACTGAGTCAGGGGAACATAGGATATATCAATACAAAATATAAATAAACTATACAAGTAAATTTTTATATAGTTTTAAAAATAAAAACGTAACACGAACCAATCCCAACCAAAACCGTATACGTCACGTATTAATTACACCAAATATGGGAACAAAATATACATCAAATGATAGAGAATTATCAGATGCAAAAATAGTCGTATCATTTATGTATTTGTAGATGAAAAATTCACTTTTGATAATCATGTTTACTTCTTTCATAAATATATTAATTAAATAACATTTTCAGGATGTCAAATAAAAAAAGAATGTAAAATAATAATTCCATAATATCTTTGCATCCGTTGACCACAAAGGGTTTTTTAGTCAAAATAAAACCGGGGACATAAGCATGCACATTGGACGCTTACACAAAACGCTAAACTACGCCCAGCACAGCTTCCGTACACGAGCCAACATGAATACATTACCATATCAACATATTATTAATGTTCACTTTTGCCTTATCTTAGGAATGTTATCTACTAGTATATTGAGAAAACTGACTGGTCAGAATCAACCACGCAGGCCTAGAGTGAATCGATAAGGGTTAACGACTGCATACATAGGACGAACCAACGCGACAACGTACAATATTGAAGTCTTCAAAATATATTAAATTAAAAAGTGTGTAGTGTCAATACGAGAAAATTTGAAACATTTATAATAAAGAATTCTCGGAGCTTGATCTCTTTAATTTGTATATAATATACTATGTAAGTAGATAATTTACTTAAATGCAATGAATATGTTATGTGTGTATAAAATCATTCTTTCTAATTTTTATAAGTAAATAACTGCTGATAGAAAAATAAATGAAAAAAAAAGCATAAATGTAGACAATGCGATAAATATAAAATAAAATGTATACGGTAATCACGCGCAAATATCAACACAGCGTGTACCATGGGATGACAAAATTTCTTGATCGCTGCTGACGGCCCGTTGATAAAAAATATGTATGAGACCGGGGCGGACAAAGACAACGCAGAACCGTCGAAAGACCATGTAACAGCTGTAGCCAATTTCCATTGGCAAACTCGTCTGGGATGGGCATTAGCAGTCATTTTAGTATTTAACTTACAAAACGTCTGTCGATTTAAAGCTACATAGTTACAATGTTTAATCCATAGAGAAATACATAAATGTTTAAACAATGAATTAAGAACATCAACGCCATCTGTTGACGCACAAAAACAATGTTATCGTACTATTCCCCTTTCAACATTTTACGTATGACAGACACGTAAAACTTTACCCAGAGCTCTTTGATAATTTTATTTTTAATATTAATTATGAAATTAATATTCACATACGAATTACCGTTATATATATTTCTTCGAAGTATTTTAGCAGAGCCTAAGTCTATCATTGCACAAAAACTATGTAAACTACTCATAAATTTAAGATAAACTGTAGTAAATGCTGTAAAAAATTCCCTCGTGAAATATTGTTATAAAATGAATTTAGATTTAAGTATGGTATGATGGGGTTGGCATGTTCTAAAGAATAAAAACCCCTTAAAAATTAAAAGAATTAAAAAATATTTATATTTCTTTGTAATTTCTAATGTCATTTTCTTTACTGTAGAAACAAATATGAAAAAATCTATAAAATTATTTTAATGAAAAATGTTTAAAAAATCCATTTGGTCCCTGACGCCCTGAGATGGGGTCCGAACCCATGACCTTTCGCAATCCGGGCGACTGCTCTAACCACTGAGGTAACCAGGACCTAACAGGACTGACGAATTTTTCAAGCACTTGTTACTTTGTCGCTACTACAGACCGTATTTTCATCAACGTTCAAGCAATCCACCCAAACAGCCGAAAGCGAAAGAGTTCATAGATTCGAATCTCATCTAAGAACACCAGGGACAATTTTTTTAAGCAAAATACGAGAGTAGACAGTAAACGATTTTTTTTTTCTGGTATTGTAAATATTAAAAATTTGTCTACACCACATTATAATCTTTGTTTTCTTATTTATAAATATGAAATCTCTATCCGCCTCTTTGCAGAAAGATGCTCGGTTTAATAGTGAGACAAAGTCATTGAACTTTTTTTTATTAAAGGAAGTACAAATTCAGTTACTTATTAACACAATGTATTTATGTTGACTCGAGCTCCGAAAAGTCGTTTAACAAAAAAAACAAGGTACAAGGTGTAGGTATCGTAATATTGTTCACAATTAAATAAGTATTAGTCAAAAAAAGTCCTATGTGCATACAAACAAGTGTTAAAGAAAAACCATGTCGCTCGGGGCGTTATAATGGGTGTTATGAATGGACGTCTCTCTAAGGCTATGATGTGGTTTGAAAATTAAGAGAATTATGGACCGTTTTTACCTTTATCGTCACATCCATGCCACCGCAGCAAGCTCAAGCAAAAGCGAAGCGATTTACAAGAAACAAATAAATATCTTTTCGCCAATTTACAGATCGCTGGTTTGGGGTAACTCTAAATTTTGTTGGAACATTAATGGCCACAGCTGTATTTATATATACATAATTATCAATCTCTAATACACTTGGTTTTTAAGTTATAAAATTGGCAATGGACACCCCTGGTATATGTGTTTACATATTAGAATTTAATGCGTCAAAATAAGTTTTAAAAATTCAATAGCAAACGAAAAACTAAATTTGTTAATTCAGCAAAGAGTATACCCACAAAACAGTGATGAATATGTACTTCTATTAAACAAATTTTTCTTTGACACTTGCTCGTATTTACAAAGAATTTTGTATTTATTTCGATAATTTGGAGAACGCAGCACAAAAACAACCTTCAAAATGATGCCACATTACTTGTTGTTATTTTATGGTTTAACTTATTATACGGAGCTGGCTCTATTTACTAATAATACTAGAATATATGTAATTACTTGGGTATGTAAGAACTGTCAATAGCTATTCATAATATTATTTAAACTTTTAACAGTTCTAATATCGTTCAAATTCTTGTTTATTGGTCAAACATATTTACTTAAGTTATCCCTTCTTTTTATTAAATAACATTCATTTTGGAACAGATTTCGAGACAGTTTTGAGAAGACATAACATAGAGCCAAAAACGAGTATATTTAGAATTGGAAACTCTTGATTCTACTTTATTGTCTTTAATATGTGTATTTATTTTTATTTACATGCTGTATCATAGTCGTAGGTACATATAAAATCTGTATTATAGACGTTAAATTAATTAAAGAAATTTATCGGACGTACAGCTCAGTGTTGTGGTCTCATCAAAATCTTTAGGTAAGTATAAATCAATAACGGTTCTTTTTATATAACAACAGGTAATGTAAGGGACAAAACATAGCACAGTCACATACAATAGTGTGTCTACTCTCTAACTGGTTTATATTTGATAAAAACAATAACGAACCGTTGTCTTCCTTGCCGCTCCAGTACGTTGACGACTTGGCTGATCCTTGCCTTGCTGCTTGCGTATAACTTACAACTTTAAATCCATTGAATTAAGATTCAAATTGAACGATTATTTTTTTTTAGTTATGGGCTAAAATATTTTTTTAATGAGATTGACAAGTTAAATAAAACGAAATAAATAATAACAACATAGCATAACGGTGCTTTAATAACTTATTTACATCGACGAGTCACATCGTGACATAAGTTAGTTACAAAATAGTACTGACCACTTAATGAAATATAATCAAAAAATGTATAAGTAAATGCAGAATAAATGTGCCGATAGTAATTTAAAAATATAATAAAAGAAAAAATTATCATAAAAAAAAGCTATTTCGAAACTATAGTTAATCAGTGTGATGGAAATTATGAAACACTTCTTTATGGAAACTTTATACCGATATTTACTGAACGAACTTACCATTTAAGACAATATTCCTATATAGATCAATACGGAAAAAAATATACTTGACCATAGATAATATTATATTAGATTTAACATAGAGCCGAAGTCATTTACACGTATGGCTGGTAATATTATAGCGACTTAATAATTAGCGGTTCATAAATCATCATCATCATCATAGAACTGATGACTATAGTTTCGGAACTACAAAATGAACGCTGAGATTCTACAAATTAATGTAAATAAATGAAAAACTTAAAACCTATTAAAAATATAACGTAACATAATGTTATAAATATGTTTCCTGCATTGTTTCGTCATCTGTCATGATACGTATGCAAAATAAAAATCTACATTTTATTAAAATTATTGAGAAAAGAAATTACATATTGACTAGACTCTCTTATATTGTTGTTTTAATAAATAATAAATGAAACAATTAAATTGACAAAATATATCGTAAATACAATCTAATTTTTAATTGTCACTGTATCAAAATAATTTAAAAATAATTAAAAAAAAAGGATTACATTCTCGTCACATTCATATCATCTATTCGAGATTTATGATAAGATCGATCGTGGCGCTACAAATGTAAAAATAAATAATAAAATTTAATAATCAATGTGAAAATCTTTGGTAAATTTCTATACTAGAATAAAATAACAACGACTAGAAAATTCCTGAAATTCTTTTTGGATAAATCCTAAAAATTCATTAAATACAAAAAAAAAAACTTGAAATCATTTTGTGAGTAGACAATAATGATTTGGAGTTCTATAGTAACAAAATTATACCCGATATGTATTTGTTTCTCAATTAATAAAATACTTATAGATTATCATCATTGATAATAACTGATTATGTTTATTTATTAATGTCCCGAGTTATATGTAATAATTAAGAAGATTTCATGTAAAAAATAATACCAATCTTATTAATACAGTAACGTTTAATATATGTTTCAATTGTCATACGCGACTTTGAATCTTATGTAAGAAGGAACAGCGTACAATTTTGTGACTATAGAAATAAAGCAAATATCAGTCGTATATCTGGTGATAAACGAGTATTGCCACACCCCATAAACATGAAGTCACGCCTATAAACAACGGCATATATGGACTCGACCATCGCCACGACCGAGCTGTTACCATAAACAATGCAGAAACCATAGATACAAATTAGAAAAGAAGAAAAAAAACAATAAACGCGTTATACGCAAAAAAAATAAATGCCACGAATACATGTTTGGTTGCGTGCACAGTCGAATGGTATTCCAATTTCAAAATAGCCAATCAACACAGATCGATCACAGTTTGGAATTTCACATTATTTTTTATATAATAACACATTTTTAGAGTCCATATAAGGTAATGCGTTGTCCATAGACATATTTTTTTAAGCAAACAACCGCATTATTTCCGTTTTTTTCGTCGCGGGCGACGTTGGACTTTGAGGTGGGAGCCCAAGTTTCCATTGATAAGCGCCATTATTGGACATGTCATATTTTGAATGGGATGGGATTGTGCGGAACATGTAACGAAAACAAAAAGAAAAGGTGCACTAAATAAACATATTACTATTTTATACATAAGGCGGTGCGCTGTAATATAAATAAATAGAATACATTTAATACACATACATATATAAACACACGTATTTATGTAAAAAAAAAAACAGCAAAGGCGTTGTGAGTAGGTCACTTTATTTTGTGCATAACACAATGTATTATGCGTCATAATCTTGTCATCTATTATAACTATGACAGATCTTAAATTGTTTGTCTTTAAGACATATGCTGACGCAAGCAAATCCGACTAAAGAGGGTATATCTTTAATTCTTGGATTTACTTTTGGTAAGTTAATATCTTGCTCACTTTAGTTAAATGACATTTATAATTTGATTACATTCATAATTCTTAAATTGCCTAGCCAAATTTAATTGTTTCCAACAGAACAATAAAAATATCTATGTGTATACAGATTCGAATTGATTGTTCAACTCCATAGTGCAATAACTTTGTAACCAACGATTACCCTGTGAAAGGTGTTGGTGTTGGACAATAACGTTATGTAACTAAATAAATTAAGATTAATGTTATTTCCAACAATTAAACTATAAAAGAAAATATTATAATGTTAACAGACAAATTTTTTTTTATCTTAAGACTTTGATTCTTTTATTTGACCACAAAGATATTCGTGTTATAATAAACAGAATCATTTTTAATATAATCATAACATTTCCATTGAAATAAAACATGTCACACATTCTTGAATGAGCATGTATAGCCACCCTTCTGAATTAAATTAAGATTGGCTACTTTATTGGCTCTTCAAAAATAGGCAAATAGGGTAGGTGCGCCAGTTACATTCCAGGAACTAGTACACCATTTCAATCTTCAAACCAACATATCTAAGATTTCTTTTAATTTCGTTTGGGAATCATTTCCGTACTATAACCAACCATCATCACCAGTCCTTTTACGTCCCCGCTGTAGTGGCTCAGACTTCCCCTATGAATGATTAAAGAAGGACCGTGACCCTCCACGTTGGCCCAATACGGATTGGAGACCAACAGTTTAACGTGTCTTCCGAAGCACGGAGTAGCTCGAGATAATATTTTTTGTCACCCATGTCGTGACCGACCCATTCACTCTCAACTCTAAACCAACCATGAGATCATGGAAAAGCGATATAAATGCCACCTACAACCTAGTCCACCTTAGGCACATTGCCACTTGCCACATTTATTTTATGTAAAAATAAACTTGATGGCAATTAAGAACATATGAATAAGCTACATGATTATATGGTAAAGAGTTTAATGATTTTTTCGCAATGATGTGATACGTAATAATTGAGTCACATCATCAAAGTTAGTTTAAAAATGTTGCTAACTACTAGTGCACCCACCCTATTTCGTAATTAATCTCCTATAGTAAAATTCGAATATAAATTTAGACAAATAAATTGGTAATCACATTTTTATTTTATCATAACCATTCTAGTACCAATTAAGACAAAGGACAGTATATAAGTGTATAGAAGGTATAAGTATAGTATACTCACAGGAATTGCCCGGCTGATGGGGAGCGTGTTGGTCCAGTCTAGCTTGCATGTCACGTATATGCTGCTCCTTGTGTTTCATGTCGCGACTGAGCGATTCAAGCCGTTGACGTACTTCCACCAATTCCCTAGTATTACAATTTATTATAGACTACTAACATTTATAATAATTACACGAGATACCTACATTTCAAAATCTTTTCAATATTTAACACCCAAATGACGTGACACTTGTGAATATTACTAGACTGGAACTGATAGGGTAACTAAATGTAACATTACTTTGAAAGGTAGATCTAATACCTTAATTAGATCTACCTTTCAAAGTAATGTTACATTATGTGCACCTTAGCACATGCTTGATGTTTGTGAACAAGGATCGTCACGCACTATGAATAAAGTTCGCTATTATGTGGCTATTGAAATAAATCTCCATTTTTGTAAATAACAAATTACATTGACTTTTTAAAAGTTTTTATTCAACTTGTTGCGGTAGGCAATTAAATAAATGATTTCCAAGTTAGACAATTAAGCAAAGCAACATAAAGTTTTAGCTTTTTTTTCTATTTGTCTCCACAAGAATTGTGGTCAAAAATAATATACAGGAAATGATGATAGAATTAAAAGTTAACCATGGGAACTTCGATACAACCAACAAGATCCCTGGTACAAGATAATATCTGAAGTTTATTTATATTTTTTTCTGTCATCGTATCTACCGTTTCACATTTTAGATTTATTTGTCCTCACCTCTGGCTAGCCAGCAGCTCTGCCCTGGTCCTGCTGAGCTCTTCCCCTACCGCCTGCTTGGCCTGTATCTCCGAATGCAGGGACGATTGTAACGTGAGTATCTCCATCTTGTCCAGTTTCTGCGAGCGGCGGTTCCTCCATCCCCCTCCGCCCCCCGCACCCACTGCGACCCCCGCCCCTGACCCGGGTGGGGATGACGGTGGCACCACCCCGCCCCGCGCACTCGCTGTAATTTCAAATATTATAGTCCGTTTCACATAGCATAAGTACGAAGACCTTTAACAAATCCATTTCACGCAATTTGTAATAAAAATATTAAAATTATTTTTTTAATAGCCACAATTACTGTAATCTGACGCTCTAAAGTTTAAAATATCAATACTTGTTGTACGGTCTATCGACCTACATTTTATTTGTATAAAGTCATCATTTTTATTACATTCAAGTCAGTCCACATTCAACTCGCGACTCATCAAATAGTATTTAAATAACAATTCATTACGCAATAAAGGTTTATCACTCAATATAATTCTGGTGTGTGGTCATACATCGCCATACACTTGTAACGAAAATAAGAACGTTTTTTTTATTAGTAATTAAATCAATAAACTCGTTTCAACCAGAGTATGTATTCGATAAACATTTGACAGGTTTTTAATTATTGTTGTCATCACAGTTAAATTTTTCTGACTCGGGTTCATCTTGTTGATGACTAAATTATAATAGTTTTTATATATTTTTTTTTATCACCACATCACCAAAATCTTAAAATCCCAAATGTCAAGTTCTTGTGAATGTCGAAAGTTATGCCATCGATTCGTAAATCTACGGCGGGAGATCTTACACTGAAAAGAACCGACAAGAAACTCAGCAAGAGCTGCATTCAGATACGTCGAATTAAAATTAAAAAATGACTTCATTAGAATATGAAGTTACTTTCCATTATATAAAAGATACACAATTTTTTCGATAATCGATCCGCCACTGTCACAATAATTATCTCGGACTCTATAAGCACTTTACATTAAAAAATGACTTAAAAGATAGATCAAAAGATATAACAAAAAACTCACCATGTTTCAAATACTCCAGTTCTTCAGTCATCTTAGTGGCGAGAGCTTGTAAATAGCCCCTAGCTTCTTTCTCGTCGGCTACCCATCTTATAATATCCGCGATCTAATAACAAAAAGCAATATAATAATAATAGATATGCATTTAGCTACTTAAATTGGGATCTAAACAATATATGTGATGTTGTCTTATAATAAAATTCTACCAATAGCCAATATGACTTCAGAATTTTTGTAAGTTGGCAATCGGTTTACAAAACATTTTAAAACTAACCACTGAATCATCATTGAAATGTGGTTATGAATATTATACTATCAAAATTGTATTGTAGAACATCAACCAATTACAATGGCGGAATTGAATATAAAACGTGATGATTTTCAAGATTTTGGCTAATAAAAATTGCTGTTTCAAATAAATATTGCTGTTTAAGTATTAAAAAACAAGATAATTGAGGATAGAGATATATAACAAAATTGTATAAATCCCTTCTATGAAAGTCTGCTACGTAGTTTTCACATGATAATATCAGTAGTATATAAAATACCTGAGTCTCCCAGTGTTGCATAGAGTCTCGTTTGGTTCGAAGCTCTTCGAGTTCCAGTTCCATTTGTCTTCTCTCTGCTTGCCACCGCCGTCCGTTCTCCGCCATCTTGAATATTAGTAATGATATTTACTGATCTACGATCAATTTATGCAAATGATTTCTATCAGAAGAAAAACGTCTAAATAATTACAAGTCATTAATATAATCAGTGAAATAGATTAGGTTAGAACTATTTTTTTAATGTTTTCAAGTGTAGGATACGTTAGCGACCCCAATATTTATGAAACTGTTTGCAAATATACAATAACTCTAATATTTTTAACTCCCTTTTATTTTTACGACTATCGCCCGGTTTCTGAATTGAGAAAAGTACAAAATCTCAGCTTATTATCCTCAATACCTTATATATTTTTTTAATTGCATAAATACTATAATAAACATAGAGCTTCTGATTTTGAGTCTAAAAATAGCACGATTATCTTAAAATGAAAGTGGTGATTTTTTATGTCACGCCATTGTGTGACGTCACTTTGGCGACGACTATCAGATTAATCATAAAGATAAAAGACAATCTGCTCAGGGATATTATATATATATATATATATATATATATAATATCAAATTCCTAGATGTTTTATATTATATTTATATTATGCCAATAAATATATTTTAATAACAAAGAAATTTGAAACTGTCCCGCTGATCGTTACTTTGAAGAAAAAATATATAATAATATGTTTACTACAATACAAAGTTACTTTGAAGTCGAGACTGAGAGATGTTAAATGTTGATATTGTTATATTATAAAATTTATAATATCACTTACCGCATCCAGATCTTTCGCTAGCTTCCTATTCTCATTGATAAGCATTTGTCTGTCTTCATTATCGCTTAGTTGTTCCAATCGACGGTTTTCCAACTTCTCTTTAGACGTCTGCAGCTAAAGAAATAAAAAAAAAGAATTCTCAAATGTTTTTCTTTCGCCTCGTTTGGTGCATTCCATTTTGGTAGATATATGATCAGTTCAATAGCCTCATTATGAAGTATTTGAATAAAAGAAATTGGTGATATCGACAACTCAGGGTGCAAAGGTCGTAAACAACATAGACGCTCTTAAAATAAATAAAGTTAATGCTCCTTTACGGTAAATGGGTGGTATTTTTTTAACGGAAAAATTGTAACTTTAGGTCGATTGATAGATACGAGGGTCAAACTGAAAGTTCTTAGAAAATCAAAAACTGATTACATTAGCCAGTTATTAGTTTTATTATATCTTTTCAAAATATTGTCCATTCACGTCAATACACCGCTGCATGCGATGGAACCACTGGGAAAAGCACTTTGCCCACTCGTCCTTAGGGGTCTCTTCAATGGCATCGCGATACGCAGCCACCGCTTCTTCAGCATCCATAAACCGCTTTCCTTTAAGTTTTTCTTTAATTTTTGGAAATAAATAAAAATCACAAGGCGCGAGGTCGGGGCTATACGGCGGGTGACCCAGTAATTCAACGTTTGATGTCGCCAAATAGTCGATCGTTCGCTTGGCGGTGTGCGACGAGGCGTTGTCGTGGTGAAGGAGGATCCTACTGCGAGGTCGTTTCTCTCGAACTTTTTCCAAGACAAGTGGCAAACAATTGGTAGTGTACCATTCTGCAAAAACTGTTTTTTGATCCTCTAACACAATTGTTGCAAAATGACCTATCCTTCCAAAGAACGAGGCCACCATTTTTTTTCCCGCACTTCGATCTCTCTTCACTTTAGTTGGCAACTCCTCGAAAGGAAACACCCACTGAGCAGATTGTCTTTTGGTTTTAGGATCATAACAGTAAATCCAGCTTTCGTCACCTGTTAGTATGTCGAACACAGCATTTGAGTCACCTCCGTTAAATCTTTCAATCATTTTACGACACCAATCCACACGATGGAGTTTTTGAGCCTCAGTCAAATTATGAGGTATCCACCGGGCGCAAAGCTTCCTGACCGCTAAATGTTCGTGGAGGATTTTGTGCACTTGACTCATACCGATGCCTAAGCTTGTCCGAATCTGTTGATAGGTCACTCTTTTGTCAGTCTCTATCATACGCCGCACAACACAGATGTTATCTTCAGTCGTCGCCGTAGAAGGCCGTCCCTCACGTAAATCATCAGTGAGATTAGTGCGACCACGTTTAAACTCATTAAACCAGTTGTAAACAGTCGCACGAGATGGGGCTTCATCGTGAAAGGCCAATCGTAGTCTATCATAACTTTCTTGTTGACTTAAATGACATCGAAAGTCATAAAAAATCATTGCACGAAAATTTTCTCGTGTTAAATTCATGATGACGTGACACAGACAATTTTCAATTTGCCGCCAAATCGTAAAACAAATGACAAATGAATGAAATATATACTCAGTAATATTGGCAAAGAGTTATATTTTCAAATTTTAGAATTATTTTTTTATTATATTGTTTATAAGTGGCCAGTTCTAAGAACTTTCAGTTTGACCCTCGTATTGAAATTATAAACAAAACTGCATCAATGACTAGTAATGGTGTTTGCGACGTTTCTATTCCACTGTATCGATGTAGGAACATAAAAAGACTTCAGTTTGTAAAGAAAAAAAAAATCACCTCTCGGTTGAGCACAGTCCGCATGGCATCCGTCTCCTGCAACTGATCCCTGAGCGATGCTAACTCCGAGTTATATCGAGCCTGTTGTTGAGCCAAAGATTCCTTGTATTGCATCTGTCACAAACGTATTTCTTCGTTATATTTTGCCATAAAAACTATTTAAATCGTTATTTACTCGTAAATGTATTTAACGCTTACATTTGTTTTATAAGTTTTATCATATTGCCTACAATCTTGTTAATGGACGCCAGTAATCATAAACAAATATTATGCTACTGCTGATTATGTATGTATGATTATGATATATTTCTAAATACTATATAACTGTTACGGAGCGCAGCAGCGCGATTTTCATTAACTTGTTACTAGATGGCGTTGTACCGCTGCAGTGGCGTAGCTAGGTAACCTAGGGCCCCGGGGCAAATAAAAAAAATGGGGCCCACTGCTATCAAAACTGGTTAGGTTTTTTGAAGAAAAATCATTAAATATACAAATACTTTAAAAATGCTAAGCAACTTTATCATCAGCTCTTTTTCGTGCATGGGCAGGTAATAAAACTATTAATCACTAACAACATAAATTACAGTTATTTTTATACTTGGTGTAGGTATTGGGCAATAAAACGAAATAGAAAAGATTCAAGGTTTTATTATGTATTTATTTAAACATAGATACGTTGAACCAGCTTACTGTTATTTAATCTATCGCCATGCAAGCTATTTACAAAAATTATCAATAGAAATATTTTGTCCAGAAGTACTTGCAGAAGGCTGACTAAAAAACTTGTCAATTTTAGGCAATTTTTATTTACTTTCTTCTCTTTCTTGGCGTTTTTTGCGTTTAAATGCACCACTGGGTTTCTTTTTTTTTGTCCATAACATTAGTTGTTTAATTTATTTTACAAGTAAAAGGAAAGCGAAACGTAATGATACGATACAAGACGTCGTTGGGGAATCCCCGGCAAACATTTTATCGCCGCCAGTGTTACCAAAATGACAAAAAAAACACGTAATTAATGGACGGCCCCCTACCGCATATAACTTGTATTTTTCACGGTATTTTGAGTTATATAGTCAGTAGCCGAAATCTATACATTTCTTTACGTAACTATGTATACGTACTATAATCAAATAAAATTGAACTTTTGTGTAGACCAGTACAAAATATTTATTGACATACGCTTACTTACTCCTGATACATTAACTTTTTAACCATTCTCGAAAAAAAATCTTGACTCGAAGTTCACAATCGCCAATCACAAAAACGCATATCGATAAATAATAATATGCAAATATTGATATCTGACAAATTGATAAAAACATTAATAACACTGTCAACCCACACAAATCATTTAGGGGAATTCCCTTTTTATAACTTTGGAATTTCTCACAATTGAGTTGCCATGATTAAACTCGAGTTGTCACCTGTCATATTTATTTTGAAAATGGGAGAAATTTTCAAAAGTTGAGTTCTTCTGGTAAAGATTTGAGGGCCCCCTGAGCTTGAGGGCCCCGGGGCACTGCCCTACCTAGCCCCTTGGTAGCTACGCCACTGTACCGCTGACTCGCGCTAACACTGTCGAAACTACGCGAGTCAAATACACGTCGAGGAGAATGAGACGGGTGACCGCCCTCGAGCTCTTTTAGGTCACACATATCTCAAGGGCCGAGCGAGACCCATCTAGAAATTCCTAAACCTAGAACATTTGATGTGGTATTGGCCCCTATAAATACGCAGTAGACTACCCGCTCCGACATACTTTCAGTTAGAGGTGGATATAACTGCTTAAATTTTTTAAGTGTTATTATATTAGTTGTACGATTTTTAATAAGCGTTTCTAAAAACTGCTTATTACTTAAACGCTTTTTTTTTCAACTGACGATTAGAAATCGTTATAACAAGCGTGCAACATTGTGTTATCACTACATAGTATAAAACAAAGTCGCTTTGTTTGTCCCTTTATCCCTATGTATGCTTTAATATTTAATACTACGCAACGGATTTTGATGCGGTTTTTTTTTCATAGATCCCTATCTGATTACTTGATTCAAAAGGAAGGTTTTTATGTACAATACAAGACCACAATACTATTACCGTTTACACAATCTTGAAAGTAATGCAGTTCAATAATATTTAGAATGTTTTATATACACATCATCACCTCATAACAAAACTTATTAACATTGTTTATTTAGGAATAAACAAAAGTCATTACTTAAGTAACATACAATACAACGTCCATCTCTACTTTCAGTGACTAATGAACAGAATACAAGAGCGATCGGAAGCGAAACTCGAAGCGATAACTATAGACTTCAAAAAATACGTCACCGTACCCATGTTATATGAAACGGACTTTAGTGAAGCGAACTATCTGGACAATCCAAGTAGTGTTGAGAAACACAACAAGTTAACAAGCTATTTTTGTGATTTTATTTGCGTAAATAATATCAACTTGTGAACTTAATTGGTGCTAATTATAATCCCGAACCCTAAGTCCTAACATTACCATCATTTTCAGACATAGACATTTAACATCATATTATTAATAACGACTACCTACAAAAAGAAACAACTTTTTATTTTAAGATAAAAACATAAAAAAAGCTTACCTCTAAAGTTTCGACCTCGTGCTGTAACCTGGCCACATCTGCAGCGGCACCAGTGGAACCTACTGATTCGGTACGTTGAGAACGAAGAGTCTCTTCGCGAAGTTTGCGCTCCTGGTAATCAATTTATTATTTTGCTTATTTCAATTTACATAAAATAACAATTTTCGCAATAATTTAAAAAATTAACTCCTGAAATTTGCGGGAGACTTCTAACCTTATTACTAGGAATAAAATAATAATATAAATATATAATGCGCGTTACCTTAGCGGCCTCCCCGATGGCCGCATCTAGCCTGGCCTCCATTTCCCGTCGGCCTTTGTCTGCCCGCCTTATATCTTGTCGGAGCGCATCGATCTTCTGCATCGCCACTTCCAACTCCTCTTCTTTATCACGGACCTGATGACGTACACATAATAAACTCCTATACCTTATGTCCAGTAATTTGGGAGCAAATTAGTTGTGACAGATGGACGGATTTCACATGAGTATTCCTATAGTTCTTTTTTATTGTAGGAAAGAGGACAGCCAAGGCGGCATACGAAAATATTCTGACCCCTTTCAAAATTGACGCAATTCGCAAAATCAGACTACTAATTTATTTTGTAAGAAATCTTAGATGGCACTGTTCTTGTTTGATCGATAGCTTTAAATCTAAATAATACGCTCTTTGCGTCTGTCCTATTTACATATCGATATGACATCATCAATGTAGCGCACAGCGGTTTTGCGGGTGTAAAAACAGTAAATTATAATTAAAATTTTAAGACAGGCAACCGTTCATTTTAAAAAAGTATATTTTGAATGAAAATAAACATTTACAGTTACTATTTCAAACAAAAAAGAATACCCTATCACTAACGACTTATGGTCAATCGATAATACAACAATATATCGATATAATATAAACCTGTCGCGACAGCTTCTGCTTCTGCTGTCTCAGTTCGGACAATTTATCGGTGACCTCGTTGTATTCAGCCATTGCCAGTTTCCTTTGCGCCAGCGCGTCCTTCAGCTCTTTGTCCTAGTGATTTTACGAGCATGTTAGTTAATAAGTTAGTGATAAAGGAACAATTAATTTGATGTTAATTAAAATTGATGAAAACTCGATAAATTAATAAAGACGTGTAAAGGAAAATATTGAGAGGTGTATAAAAGAAGTTTGAATGAGGAATAAACAATATAAATAAAAACGTAACACTTTTATATTATATCTAGACTTTGTATACAGACAAATACAAGAAAAATATGAGCTATATCAGCAATGGTCTAAAATTTAAAAGTGCGCATTAAGGCGGAGAGAATACGAGATGAAATGGGGCTGTGCATTCAATAAGACAAATAAAGACTGTCTACAGAATGACTCAAATATTTATAAATATTCACTGCAAAAAAAACAATAAAAATTTTATAGCATTGAACTGAAGAGTTAACCTGTCATATTTGTATGGGGAGAAAATTTTCTAACTGAACCCAGTGTCTAAGAAATGTAATGTAGATTAATAAATACATACATAAGTATTAATGTTTTTCTTTAGATGTCTAACGTACTGAATTGAGGATCTAATCAGATTGTACTTTTAAGGCAAGAGTAAATCAAGGTAAAAAAAAAACAATATTGCTAATTCTAATACAAGAAAATCCAGAAAGACAGAATTCAATTGTTACATAGACATAGATGCATAATTATAGAACAAGGTGTGCACACACAAGAAACACTAACTTAGGGACAAGATACGTAAGAAAAAGGTTTATTGTTATTTTAATTTACCTGCAGCTTAAGTTTCTCCAAAGAGTCTGTTTTGTCTTTGGTAAGTTCTTCCTTTTCGACGGTAAGATTGTTTATGGTTAACTCGAGCTCGCGTAACCGCAGTGCCAGTTCTTGTGGACTCGACGTCATATCCTATGCATAATTATTGTTAAATAAATAATAGTTTTCAATATTATAATTAGGGGTCATCCATAAATTTTCATGATTTTTTTGCTCCTCCCCTGTCCTAGTCACAGCTGATCACATTTGTAAGACTCCCCCCTCCTAGTGTGATGTCACATATGCAACGTTTTCGTAAAGTAATAGTTTAAAATTCGTGTTTTAACACTTAGATTATAATATATTTTGAAATGTGACGTCACCAAAATTTAGGACCCTCCCACCTCTTGTCACACAATGTCACACTTCGTCGACCCCCTCCCTCCCCCTTAACGTGTGACGTAATTTATGGATGGCCCCTTAGCCCTATTAATATCCCATCAAGTACATTGACATGAAGACTTAATGGTAAAAAATGAGTGTCTATGATACAAATAAGTGACTTTCACCACAATGCCTATAGAATAAGTAAGTCCACATGAAGGTTTGATTCCCAAAACACAACAGTAAGGACATATTCAATACATTAATGGTACACAAAATTATCAATTTGTAACAGTTCCAAAGCATAAGACGTCACAAAGATTTAAATAGATGTAGTATAGTAACTCCAATATTTGTTAAAAATATATATTTAACTTACCTGAGCAGTGATCCCACTGTTTAACTGTTCGTAGCATTTCACTTGGGCTTCCAGATCGGCGTTTCTCTTTGATAGTACAGCTAGCTCTTCTTTCAGTTGAATTAAATCGTCTACCGGACAATGATCATTTAATATTAATTAAAGACAGGGTTATTAAGGGTCAGTGCGAATCTGGCAGAAGAATCGTTCATATAATTTAATTTCAAAGGAAGTACCTTTGCTAGGTTGATTATCCGTCGAGTAACCAAGTTCATATGATATATTTTGTCAGTTATGACGTTCCGCAACGGATTTTCCGTCAAATATACACCCAGATCTAATATGTAACTGTATCCGTAAAAATATCGCATATACAAAATAAAAATCTGCCGGCAACAGTATATAATACAAAAATTGTGTTCTTATACGGACGAGCCAATAAACTGTTCGATGCGTCTGAATAAGCCCTTTATGTTATAATAACAGCCAGCGGCTTCGCCCGCGTGGCCCCTAAGGAACTGTATAGCGGGATAATTATTAATAAAATTATTTACTTCTGTGTTAACAGCTTAAATCATTTTATAATTGATCATATCGTGACACTGATATAATTACAATGGCAAATTAAATAGTAAACAATGGTTACTATGGTAACGTTTATTCCCTATATAAATGTCACTCCTATTTTCGTCCCTCTATTTAGTCTCTCGGGATAAAATATAGCCTATATTTACTGCATATGACTTTTTAACGATTTTTTAAATTGGTTCAGTGGTTACGGAGCCATTCGTTGCAAACGAACAAATCTCTTCTACCATACATCTACCATACATACTTCAGATAACATACCAGTAGGAGCATCAGTATCACCGGTTGTGCCGCTCGCTCGTAGTTCGGCGATAGTTTGGGCGAGCAGAGCGTTCTCACGCTCGAGCGCTTTGAGCGCTGCACGATCACCCGCGTTACATGGCGCCTGGAAATATTGCGAGTTGTCACTGTGTTATTACGATTGTCAGTATCTAACCATAATTAAACTTTTAATTTAATATTGTTAATTAGGGTAGGAGGTCCCCCTTCCTACCCTAAACCAACCGACTATCTTATTTTTTCCTTACAAGATAAAGGATGAGGTTTAGATAGTTCTTACGTAAGATAACAAAATCAAAATGTTAAGATGTAAATATATGAAAATAGCTCGTATTTTTGCGCTCGAGTGCGAAGGCGCGAGCAAAACTAATGTAGGCAAAAATTCTTTAAAAATACATTCACCTTATTTCTTTACTTTCTAAAATAATAATTACTAAACTAGGGAGGGGTTGACAGAATTATAAATATTTTTTCTTACATAAGAGGGGTAAATAAGTGGTAAAAATCGTCTGACATAATAAACCGATGACGCCTAACTAAAAAAAGCATCATACATATAGTCTGCCATTTCTAACTTAGCGATTCTTCGAGCTGAAAAAAGTAAGTCTATACTATTGGTGGATGAGCTAGTATAAGTACCTGATTGACGGCATTCTTGGCGGGGCTAAGTGGTGATGCGGGAGCACCGAGGTCCGAAAGTCTAGAGCCAGCGGTGAACGTGAACCCGACGAACGGCAGGTGAACGCCTGAAAACGCCGAGGAAGCCGACGGCGGCGGCACCGCCTCCGATAACCTAAACAAAATCGTTCAAACAGTCTTGATTTACAGTTTTTCTCAAAGGGTGGTCAAAACATAAGACATAAATATAAACATTATTGTGGTAAACCGTCTTATTTAAAGTAAAATATGGAAATTATAAATGGTACACATAAAACTTGGTTCAGTGTCAATATTACAATATTTCATTCAAAAGAATTCTATCGTCAAAAAAGATTGAAAACCTCTGTCTAAATCTCTTATGAGCACTCGTGAAAGAACTATCATATCTGGGGGAAGCTGAAAAGTAATATAAACATGCTGAAGGTTTCCAGTTGATTTTGAATTCTACATACCGTAAATTAACGTTTAAAATGAAGTGGAGAACTTTTACAGATTTGTATAGTCTGACGTGCTGTTGACTGTACAATTTCGTTCACGTAATGTAATAGCGTCATGTACACTCGCACTTATAACGACGTGATATAAATCAAACTTACCTAATGTCAGTGTCATCGACATCAAAATTGGATGTGTCAGTTGGACTGGAGACGTCAGGCACGAATGGAGCTTGCATCTCCCTGAGATTCTCCCACTCTAGACCGGCGAACCATGCGTGATTCTAATACATAAAACAACAAGTGTTACTGTCATAAAAAGACCTGTCTATTAACAGTATTGTGACACTTTGATAACCTTGAAATTCGTATAGGAATCTATACTGATATATATAATATAGGAAGAGATAATAAAAACACAATTATAACGTTTTTTTTTTTTCATTTTATTGGAAAAAAACAGAGGGGCCCTAGAGGGACCGTGAAGCCTTACTCGGGGTGACTCCAGCAGAAGGAAAAAATTAAGGTACTACACGGTTCAGTACAGAAAAACACAATTTTTGTGAAAAGGCTGGAATTCTTAATTTTTCAACAAAATATAAAATCGTGGTGCTTATTTAAAATTTAAGAAAAAACTAATCCTATTAATATTATATTAATGTTAAAGTTTCTTTACGAGTTTACTAAACGGATTTTGAAGAAATTTGGTATAGGGTACTAGCTGACTTCCATAATAGGATATTTTTATCCCACTAAATAGTATTCTAGGGCGGGCGAAGCCGCTGGCGGAAAGCTAGTGAATAATAAATAAAGCTATAAATGTTGCACTTTAATTATATTTCCATCTTTTTTTTTGGCTTTCGGGTACTATCAAGGTCGCCACAATTTTACAGCCTGAACAGCGGCTGTACATCGAAAAAGTTTGAACAACACTGCCATAGATTCAAACTAGGACCGTAATACGAACCCAAAGTACTTACTTTAAAATCTTGTAGTCCATTCTTTCCTAATCTTGTTTCTGATGAGCAAATAAGTCTTTGGATTAAATCTTTAGCCTCTTCCGATATCTAAAATAAACAACAGATTACAATTTCAATTATGTTTTTTAGGCTTTTTTTAATGACACCAATTTAGTAAACTATATGATTATTAAAATTCTATTATACATTTAAAAAATCTATTAGTTGTTTATGGATTTGCCTAATTGAATAATAATTATTCACTCGAAATCCATGTTGATTTAAAATGTTATGTCTCTATTCGTGTACTATGACGTCACGACAAGCGCGCCAAAAATTCCGGCGTTTAAACTGCTCTTAGTTGTTACTTATTTTCATCAATTTATTATTGTTACTAAATTTTAGTTTTTCGTGTGCCGGGTATATTTTAGTTATATAACGATATAATTAAGCATGAATTAAAAGCATACTCCCTATTCCATATTATCAAATGTTAGTCTGCTTTACTAATTGGTCAGTGGTAATCCATTCGCGTTCCCGCACTAAATTCATGGAACAATTATCTTATATACAACCCACGCATCGTATTATTTCACATATTGTTTACTTTCATTGAATCTTGGTTTCGCAAAATATCATTTGGCAATTAAATATTCCCTCATTGATTCCTGCCAAAAAATTACCTAAATGATCAGTTAACATTAATATTTACCTGTGCCGCATGTTCATCTGGTGGACAATGGAAAGATCGCGCGTGATTCATTATTTTTCCGTACGTCTCCACTAAAGACTCCGCATAGAAAGGCGTCTCGCCGAAAAGCATCTCGTACATACACACACCTGAAGAATAAAGCTTAATTTTATTTCGGCAATTTAAAAATGAAATTTCATAAAAACAACAAACTCTTCTTATTTTTCAGCAATTCAATTAAATATTTAATGGATAAAACTTAACTAAGGTGATAATGAAACCTTCGTCATTTTTTGATAATTCGATTACATATTTTATGGATAAAACTTAACTAAGCCAAGTGACAATGAAAACCAATGATAGGGAATGACGTCACTTATTTGCAAACATTATAAGATGTCAAAAAGGTTTGATAAATTAAAAATCATTGATAGTTATATGGATATGACGTTTATAAAAAAAAAGTGAAGTTAACGACATCCCTGTCTTTAAGGTAATATGCCATTATAAAAAAAATAGCATCAATGTTTATTTAGCTAAAAGAATAGGTACAACCCATCGTAACAATAAATATAATACAATGCTAACTCACCTAACGACCACCAGTCGCATTCTGAACCATATCTGCCTTGACCATCTTCCATCGCCTATTAAATGAGAAAATATTCAATAGTGACATAATCTTTATTTTATATTAATACCCTTTTGTAGTCTTTGTTTTGGTGTCAAAATAAACATTTGAAGCAACATTTATATTTAATTTGCTTCATTTAAATTTGCATATTTTTAAAAACCCTGCAGGTAAATACTGTGTTACTTAAAGATTTACTCAAAACCTACTAACACAGCTACAGAAGTAGACAGGGCCCGCATGCGGAGCGCGGCCAACCTCTACGAGCTCATCTCTAGTCTTGTGTAGTTCCCGAACGAACTAGTTCGAAAAGACTAATGTCGTTTCATTAGAAATATAAAGTATATTAATCACTGTTTAAACAATAATCCTAATTATTTACATTATGAAAATATATTTTATGAATAGTTAATATGTATAGCTATGTTATTTTTTTTTGGCCAAAATTTTGATGTTCAATTATCAATTAGCAGCAGAAACAGTATCAAAACAAGCGAACGAACTACCTTAAAATAATTCATTAAAAGGCTCGTTCGTTCGTTTTAAAACCGCTCCTGCTGCAAAGAGCAAAAAGTTAAGAATCTATACGAACTAACGAACTAAAAGAGCGAACTAATTTGTTAGAAGCCGTGAACTAACACGCTAAAACTCAGTTACGTCCAAGACAACTCATCTCATTGGTCAATGAAACAATGACCAACCACAGAAATCGCCCACATCCCGCACGCGGACGTCATCGACCAGTGTAAATGAGCTATGATACACGACGACATATTAGGAACATATATGATGTAGTAATACAACTTACCCTCAATATTTCAGGGGAGATATAATCAGGTGTGCCCACTGCTACATTACTTTGTACCTGGAACGAATAAATGATAAATAAATTGCTTACATCTATACTAATATAAAAAGGAACGATTGGATTCTCTCATTTCATTCAATCGGCTCCGAAACTACTGTAATGATTTTGAAAATTATTTCACCTACGGGGAAGCTACATCATATGGTCTATAATTTGGGCAAGCAAAGTCACGGGACAACTGCCCTATAGTCGTGTATACCTCATGTATATAGGGTTATTTTTTAGTATAAAACACTAATAACCTCGCAGGATTGGATAAGTAGCATTATAAAAACTACGTTTGATCTACTTTAAACATTTTTTTAAATAACTTTAAATGAACTGTCACGACTTTATATGTTGATGACGCTCGCGCGCGTATATGTATTTACATAGATATTAGTGTTGTGCGTAAAGTTATTAATATAGTGACAATAAATTAGATTGAAATTTATTTTCAAACGTAAGCATAATGCAACTATTTATCAAAAATCACAGAACGGACGATTTTTTTCTTACGCCCCCCATACAGTAGCACGTCGTTTTACTCTAGTTACTCTTACAAATTCTCACTGGTGTTACTTCTCTTACTTCAATTCCTTATACTATTTCATAGTGGGATAAATAGTATCCTATGTTAATTTCGTCAAAATCCCTTCAGTAGCTTTTACGTGAAGAAGTAACAAACATACAAACTTTCGCCTTTATAATATTAGTAACATTTATTATTCAGGTATTTTTGTTTGTTGACATTTAGTTTATATTTCTATTTTTGTCCTTATTACGTTTACATTTTGTTTTAAAATAACCCTTTTACAAATAACCTTATATAACCCGCGTGTCAAAAGGCAAATAAATAGACAATATCTGTTTCCAAAAAGCTTCGGTCGCTACACACAAAAAAATATATGCCATAACATTGTGAAAGAACAAAGAAAACTAAATAAATTTTAATGTGACCTATTTGAAACAGACGAAAATAGATTATTTTTAAAGTTTTTTAAATAAACAACTAATTAATGTACTATAATGATCAATAGGAATTGGAATCAAGTTAAGATTAAATATTCTTATATTACCTTGCCGTCATCACCTAACCGCAAACATGAACCGAAGTCTGCTAACCGAATGTGACCGCTCGCGTCCAATAGAACGTTGTCTGGCTTGATATCCCTAAACAATAATAAAATTAAACCTCATACACTTCATAATAAAATCATACTACTTTTCACTTATAACATAAAACAAAGCTATTAACTCACTAATATAAGAACAACAATTATCTACTATTTTTAAGAATACTAATTTTTGAAATTTGAGTCTTATTGCATACAACATAAGACTTACCTATGCACATATCGCAGCTCGTGGACGCTATGTATGGCCAGTATCATCTCCGCGATATAGAACTTCGCCATATCTTCCGGTAACCTATCTTCGAATTTAGATAGCAGAGTGAGGAGATCACCACCGCAATAGTAATCCATAACGAGATACTGGAAAAAAATAAGCCAAAAGTAAATATCAAATCAAATTTAAACATATGATCAAATACTTGCTAAAAAACAGAAACATATTTTTCAATAATTGGGTCAATAGAAAAAAATCGCAAAGATGACTAAGTAGTAAATTTCATCTTAAATATATAAAAAAATTAGTTCAAAAATTATACTTTTGATATTATTGTAATGTTACACAAAAACCTTTTTTTACAACTTCATTTGTATTTTCTGTGATCAAAATTTATGAAATCAAACGAGCGCGTCTTTACTCTTGATTCATATACGTATGGGAACGTAAGCGGAGGTAAAAAAGGGCCTTAAACCATTATCCGACCAAAATAAGTCAACACGTGTCACTTTGACATTTCTCTTTTGTCACTGTCAATTTGCTTTAGACTGCAAATGTTTTAAACCAAGGATAAACTTTAGTGGTTGTTTAATAATAAGAATAGAATATGATATAATGGAATATGTCCAAAAACAGAATGGTTCACTCACCAGATTATGTTCGTCCTGAAAGGCATAGTGCAGATTTGTGATCCATCGCCTGTCGCCAAATACCAGTACGTCGCGTTCTTCTTGAAAGCAAGCAGTGCCGGCTCTCTGTACATAACATAAATAAAAACAAATATAAAACACATTTCTCGCATTAATTTGTGAGCAATAGTCTAACGCTCGGTTGCAGCAAAAGGTATTACATTTTAAAGACTTCATTAAACACTAATGAGCCATTATCTTGCTGCGCAAAATAGATTTAAGTCTAATTTTAAAACACCCTTAAATTTAACGCAATGAATGTAAAACTAATTATATTATTAAATTGAATGTAAACCCAGACAATTTAATAATATAGTTAGTTTATACTCTATGTAGGTTCTGAGACCCAAATGTCTAATTTTAAAATCGACGGCAAAATGATGATATTGTTAATTGGAATTGTCTAAGGCAAGCGTTTGATGTAAATATAACTTCGACTTAACCGATTACTGCCTAGTGTCCATATGGACACATAATTATAGGAGAAATAAAAGCTAATTCAACTCCTAAGAGTTTTTGGGAGTTGTCAAGTGTCATTTCACTCGCTTATAGTTAAGGTTCAAGATTTTGTATTGTGGGTGCAACTGTTTTCTTTGTCTTTTTTACCAAATTTTTATCATGTCTCTCGATCATTCAAATCATTTGTTTCGAAAACAATTGCGACTTTAAACATCTCATAATTCCAAATATTTATTGCTATACCTTTGAAACGGAATGCGATGGATTTTGAAATAACACAATTTAGCCACAGATAGGTTACTTTCAACAAAATGAAGCCCTGATTTTATCAATTTGACAGATTAACTAGGATGGACAGAATAATCCTGATTGGTCAGTTAAAGTTTCGATCACGTAAACCGCTTATATGAATTTAAAATATTTGTGTTCTTATTTGTGACTAGCTGTTTTCTATGAGTATATTATAACCTGTCTCACCCGCACTTGACGTAGCTTGCCGAAAGTGATTTTTTTTAATTAGGCCAGTATTTTCAGATCCTATTCAAAACATTCAATTAAATTTTATTATCTAGATAACCTTGAGCATTTCCCACTTATTGAGTATTTTCATAGCGTATACTCGTTCTCCTGTTGTAGTGGACACTGTACCGCCTCCCACCGCCGCCATGTTTACCCCGCCCTCCGCGCCCTGAACATAACCATACATAAATCACTAAACAATATAAAAAAAAATGCGAAATTCAAAAGTGCATAGTATTTTCACTTAATATGCATAGAGGGGCGTTATTAAAATTAAATGTGCAATATAATAATGTCTTCAGGGTGTTGTTGGGGCTGCCTCGCTTCTGTAGCGCTTCTGGTATGTTTGCTAAGGCTCTGACTCTATCTAATAATAAAGTTGTTTTTTGGCGTATGATAGCGGCAAATCCATCGGGTATGGCAAAGTCAAAGTCAAAATAATCTTTATTCAAATAGACTTCTAAAATGTACTTTTGAATCGTCCAACATTTTTTTCCCTACCACTCGTTCAGGACGTCTTTTGGCTGATAATGATTTGTTATTTGGCGATGGATTTGCTACTATCATACGCCAAAAAACAACTTCATTATTAGACAGAGTGCATGTCAGCACAACATTATCCTTAGGACTATATCAGATAAATATAATTGTCCTATAATAAGACATTATATAAAAAATATTGGATCATATTGAAAAGTAAAACCTAGTTTGTAAATTGATTATAATTTGTAATAAACCATTTGAATTTTTGTTATTTGATTATTATTATTATCATTATTTATATATATTATTAAGGAAGAAGTATTTTATGTATTAGATGAATACAGGATGTAATAAATTTAATAAACATGATTTAGTTTTGTATGCGCATTGACACTTGTTTCTTAAGAATATTAACTCTTTATATCAATCTAATAATAAAAAATATATTATAAGATTGATAGAATAATAATCACCGATTGATTTTAAACCTTAAGTCATGGCAGTAGAGTCCAAAATCGATACTGAATATTTTAACATATATCCTATATCTTTACGCCTCACGGAGTAGGCAGAGCAACTTATGCGATGTGTGTGCATTCATTATGGGAGTATAAAAGCTTATTTTTATCGTAGTCGCAATATATAAACATACCTGCATGAAGGAAGCTCTCACAACGCAAACTTCACCGAAAGCGCCGCGCCCTATAACCTTCACCAGCTCGAAGTCATCTCGCGATAACCGTAACCGTTTCAACGCTGTTACCACAGGCTTTACTGTTGACAGACATTAAATGGTTTAGAATATTTCAGTATGTAGTCCAACTTTCTTAACAGCTGACCGGATTCTTTATATTGTGTTATATAAAAAATCAGTATCAGTAAAATATTATGTGAATGTTTATGTACCTTAATATATATTTTATGCTATATTAAGGTTTCTTTTTACATAGTAAACCGTTACAATAAGTTATAATAGCTGTCATATAAATTACTATCAGAAAAAAACTTTTAAAACTTAATTCTTCCGAAATAGATATACATAAGTATACGGCAATCATAATTGTCATACAAGACGTTCGACCAGCAATAAATTAATTGTTACCCCTTGCACAAATATCCATTAAAATTTTCATTAGTTTAAAGCGCCCCGTTACCGATACAAATTTACAGCTGAACAGAACAGAATATTCATTACAGCTTAGTCGTCATTAAACCTCAGACTCAGCTACCCCCCCATCCCCCTCCCACGCTCCATGAAGTCGAATTTTATATAATCATAGTTTTGAGGTGTATGTTATTAAATATTTCATGTAGAGATTTTGAAGCAAGTCCGTCCCGCGTAGCCTATAATGTGTATCAAAAGATTTGTAAAGCTCATTATTTTTTAAACTGTAAATAAGTATTATACCTATAATATTGCCCCCCCCCTCACGCCTATTTTGGTAAAGATCGTTTGTGAAACTGAATATTAGTCTAGTAAACACAGAACCTGTAAGGGATCCGAAATGTCTGAGAATTGTATGTTTCAATTATTGTGTGCGCGTGAAAATGAGCGCAAGAAACGAGTAAATGATTACCCAGCAAAATATATCGTACCTCCAATTTCACTCACCATATTGTATGAAGTCGGCGACCGCCTTCTCCCTCCTCAGGGAACTATTGCAGCACTCATCGTGTAGTACCAACAGGACGTCTAGCAAGGTCTCCACACTGAGCCCTGCGGCTGCAGCCCTGGGGCCTTGCAATCGACGAGAGAGGAACATCGTCTCGATCTGCTTGAGACGCTTGACGCCCAGGACTGGAATACAAAGATTTCTTACATTAATTGCTGTGCTCATTGGCTATAACTTTACGTGACATTAGGGCATTTTAGTAACAATAACTTTTTAATAATATCAGGAGAATTGTAACAAAAGGAGGAAACTAATAAGAGGAGTAATAAAAGGAGTTTCCTCAAAGAAGAATTAATATTTTTAACTAAATGTTCTAATTCATTGTAATTTCATGTAAATAAATTCATACTTTTTTTGTATTATGCACCAAATCCATTAAGACACTATCTTTAATTCTTTAGTTTTATTCTATTGACAAACAACCTAAGGTACATATTGAGCTTGTAACACAAACTGTTACTCCATTGTCATAAGGTTTAAAATATGATTAGCGCAACAACACGCATCATAAATCTAAAAATGGCGAAACCTATACAAAAATCATTTCACACCATAGAAGTGTTGACAGACAATCAACAGGAAACAATGTCTAAAACGAGGAGGATATCCTATAGTCGGAGAACAATAAGTGGGTATGTAGCGCGTAACGCGACATTCTCGCGTGGTATTAATTAATAATGTTAAGGTGTTTACATGACATAACCAACGTAACGAGTACATGTGATGTACTCATTCATACCGAACTGTTTGACGAAGAGTATGTAGAAGTCATGGTAACATTGCCATCATTATTTAAATTGGTATTTCATACCAATTCCAGGTCGGATCGATGAGAACACACGTGAATCGGACATTGACACCGAGGGTTCTATACAAATATAATATGTAAAAAAGAACAAAAAAATCATATAGGTTTAATTCTTTATTTTCTGTCCTGTCTTTATAGTGCTTAGAATTGATATCGCGTTGACTATTTCTTACCAAAAATGTAAATTGCAATCTAGTAAAGTTCCACGCTACATCAAATCCATTTCGTTACATCAAAATGGACACATGATGGACACAAGCCATTATCTAGCAGAATTATTTTTACCACTGTAATGAATAGTGCAATAAGGATAGGTGCAAATCTGACGGCAGTGGCTCAGGAAAAGTGTGTAAGGAAATAGTGTTTTATATATTTCAGACCTGACGTTCCTCAACCGATTTTCTTCCATTACATCCGAATTCTTCCGTCAATCAAGCACCTATACCTATTGGACTACTCTTTATACTGTTGAAATTATGGGATTTCAACTACTCACAGAGATTATAAAAATTATTGGAATCGTGTTTGATTATGTGTATTGTAATAATATTGGCAAGATTTAAAACAAAGAAAAAACATTCTCGAGCATCGCATTCAATCCTCGCTCTGCGCCGCTAATGTAACCCATGCTTTAAAGTACATATTAAATAACATCTCATATGGGTGCGTACACTAAAATGATATACAGGGAAATGGATAAGCAACGTAGAAAGCACAAGTGCTGTATAAAAATATTATTGTTAGATAATAAGTGGCCGCCAGCGACTTCGTCCGCGTTTTCCATTATTTCTTCCTTGATAAATGGTCTATTCAACACAAAATGATTTTTTCAATTCGAACCAGTAGTTCCTGAGATTAGCGCGTTCAAACAAAAAAACAAACTCTTTAGCTTTATAATATTAGTATAGATTAAAAACAATCCAATAAAAATTATCAGCAATTGATGACAAGATTAAGTTTTTTTCAAACTGCAGAGTGTATAGTGTTTTAAAGAGATATATTTTCTTTAATCTATCTATTTTTAATGGGTTTTGGTTTGGAACAAAAATTAAAAATATCATTACGTAAGTAACAGGATGTAGTGTGTCTATGATGAATTGATAATACAACTTTACATCTATAAATGTTAATTAGTTTAATAGGGCAACCTTCGTTTACGTAAACAGTTAATTATACAATTAGAAACTTCCAATTAAAGACTTGAAAACACTTATACTTTAACATGTTTTATAATATCCATTAAATATAACTAAAAATAATGTCTAATAATAAACCATATTTTTGTGGTTTTAAACGTTCATGGTCATTAACGTTACAATGCTCGTTAATTACAGGATTGCTACCATGTACAGTGAACAACAGGGTAGACTATAAAAACTATTAATTTTCTTTCTTGATTTTAATCCTGAATGTATTGTTGGTGGAGTATTAAATCAATTGAAGAATATTTTGCATATTGTGTTCATCTATAGAGTTCCCGATAATTAGGTGCTGTAGCAAGCACCTTGATCACGGAGTTACACCGTTATTAATAGAGATGCGCCGAATATTCGTTTGATTTTCGGCGTATTCGACATCGGCTGCCGAATATATTAGTTCGTGTTATTTATATGTTCTTGGCTTCACAACACGATATAGACACAGAATATATATAACAGACGAAAATATATATACAAAGTGCGGTCAAGCAACACACACATAGACAACGTTCACGGACACAATGTTTTGGACCGTTTCGAACCAGTGCAAGCGCGAGTGCCGTCGGCTTTAGACATAAGTCTGTGAATTTTTTAACGAAATGAAATGACAAAATTAGTATTACTACAACTATTCGGTGAAGGGTTCTTTAAATGACGATAAATAATTTCTTAAGCTACCGTCGTTTCAGAGATATTAGTAGGTAATTACTTGTATTCCCCTATGAGCTTTAAGGATATATAGATAGAAATATATTTGATGAATTAATCACTCATTTACAATTACACGAAGCTCGCGTAGTTTATCTTGTGTATTACTAAAGAATCATGTCAAATTAGGACTTCAAAATTGTGTATATCTCAAAATGTAGCTTATTTTTTACTTATTTCATATGAGGAAATTCACCCCCATCCCATGGTGCAGAAGATGCAGTGCACGATGGAGGGCGCCGCGCCGATGATGATCTAATATTGTAGAACCTACTCATCGATGACTTCGGTAATGCGCCCTGAAGTTGTAATTTTATTTCAATAATTTTTATATTTTTCTACTGCTGACGCTAAACGAATCTTTTGAAATGGCCGCCTCCGTCGCATTACCAATTTTTTTTAATATAACTATGTGTAAAAATAAATTTCGACACCTTTTCCCTGCAATGCTTGCACCCGGGCACCTGTTGTGCTTAAGACGGGCCTAAGAAAATTAAATCTTAAAATGACTTAGTTTAGGATCAAAATTGCGAGGCTTATAATTATTTTCAAACAGGACCATGATAAGAATCTCAATGCGATTCGGACCCAATGAGGGTTTGCTACGTTTCGTTTCATGTAATAAATATATTCTTTCGTTATATAATAAAAAAGTGCACATTACCAATTACATTTAGATTTATTTCCATATCAAACTTTAAAAACCTTTGATTATAGTGCATTAATTTTTAAAGTAGCTTCAAAATTATATCGTGTTTTGACAGATTTTATAACCTCAAAATATTATTTACAAATTACTCATCATCTCTCTGTCCTCCAGATGAAAAGATGCTAAGTTATCAATATCATTCTAACAGAACTAATTTTGAATTATAACTAAAAGTCGGTAGACGCGATCTTTTAAAATAATATGTTAGGTCAATATGGAAAGTGGCCATGATTATTTGTTAGATTTTTTAATTGTGTAGATATTACCTGTGTTGTTTTTTGTGTATTTGATAGGTTAAGGTCTAAAATCGATTTATTACACTTTTTAAATATAAGCATCGTGCATTTCGTCAATGCCGAAATCCTCGCAATGTAAAAATATTTAGTTAATATTAGTTTATTTTTCTTTTCTTTCTGTTTAATTCTCAACAATAAATCAAACAACTAGATACGAGTGTACTACGATAGCTTTTTGTGAATGAGCCAAAGTTGACAACCTTAGCGCGACAACCGAGCGTAGTTATAAGAAATGAAGTACATACATTTCATTACCTTCTGGTATATTCTGTGGTATACATGTTTTAAACATTAAATCAACATTTTATTTTAATCTTCAAATTAACATTTTAAGTTGTTAATGCATATATTTAAGGGGATAATTGACAACGATAGACAATGTAACATATAATAGAGACAAAGAGGCACTAAAAATATTATCATCATCATCATCATCAGCCCTTTTACGTCCCCACTACAGGGGCTCAGGCCTTCCTTATGGATGGTTAAGGAGGATGGGCCATGACCCTCCACGCTGGCCCAATGCGGATTGGAGGGTATTAACGACTGCAAATGCAGCCGGGACCAACGGCTTAACGTGCCTTCCGAAGCACGGAGTAGCTCGAGATAATAACTTTTTGGTCACCCATCCCGTGACCGACCCTTGCGAAAGTTGCTTAACGACAACGATCGCGGGCCGCGGCGCTTATCCACTACGCCACCGAGCTTAAATATTATAGAGATCTGTAATTAAATAAAATATAGGCAACATGAATACATATTCTAATATTTATGTGAACAGTTGCAAAAACGTCCATTTAGTTTTAATGATACCTTTAAGCACTAACGAATGACAAATTTGTATGAATAATGTTTCTTTAAACTAATGACGTTTGTGCAACTGGTATTAACTAATGGTAAATTATAGAGTAGAATCACCAAGCTCTCGACCCTATTTGCCAAGAGTTTTGCATATTCCTACATATAGGTTTTTTCATCCGAAATAATTGTTCGCTATACTAGCAGATGCACTGGGAAACATTCAGGCCGAATAAAAACAATGAAATGATAACTGAGTAATTTCAAATATCCAGTTTGGTGATCCTAAAACTGAATACTATTAAGGGTTTTTGTTTATTCAATGAAACTATTCGGCGCATCTTTAGTAAATAGCAATCATTCAAACATATTTTTTATTATATTATATATGGTTGCAGTTTCTATAATGTCATCACTAGAATTATTTTAATGTTGAAAAATAAAAAAATTGCCATTGGGTTTAGTAATCAAAATTATTTTTAAGAAAAAAAAATCTTCAACAATAGTTTTTTTTAATTACATGCACTTAATATGCTAAGGATTGCTAGTGATATCATAGTTTTGTAACTAACCTGTCAGGTGGTCAATTCTGGATGAAAGGTGTTATTATTAAAGAATTGTTTTAAAATATGATGTTAAAATTATATAAATAATATTTTGTGTACAATTTAAACCAGCATAACCATGTCTGAGATAGGATGCTTACATAATGACATCCAATTACTGTGACCTATAAAATTATTTCAACACTATGTTGTTGTGATTGGTAAGCTGTTCTTTAAAACTTTTCTAATAAGAAGTCTGTTTAAAATAGGTGTGGTCAAATAGGGTTGTTTCATAACTGACAAATTAATGATATTTGTCCGTAAATGTGAAGGGTCTTCTGACAGATATGAACGCACTCATGGATTGATAGCCGCCTGACACTGTCAGGTCTGCGGCTGGGCACTATAACTATCAGCTGCGATAAAGCGTATGGTGTAAAGGAACCGCCAATTAACCATACAATCATAGTCGGTGATTGTAGCACTTCATTTTATTATTATTATGTGTGCAGTGAACTGGCCCTACATTAAATTCTAGCGCATAGGAGTGTTAATATAATATACCAAAAAGAATTTGTAAAAAATATTTGTTCTATTAGATGTGTACAATTACAGTAAACTGTTTATGATATTATTTGAAACTGTCAACTTCACCAATCAATTTTAAACTATATTGAGATAAAAATTGCAATTTAAAGTTGGCTATAGAAAATTCGACATTTGTGGCAACTTGATGTTTGTAAATTGCACCTTTATGAAACTGAGTAATTTTCATATTTTTAATTAGCTGGCTAAGTTTAGTAAACAGCTTCTCCTGGGCTTGGGTGGCCCCTAGAGAAGCTGTTTATTGGAATAAAAAGTAACCTGAGATTACTATTTACCAAGTTAGATCAAAATCCTTTCAGTACTTTTTTTGTGAAAGAATAACAAGCATATGAAATTTATAATTTATATAAAACTTACTTGGTACATTGTTGAAGGGCACCAGAGCCTGGTCAGGGGATGAATCCTCCTCATCTGACATTTTAATCAATAAGACTACTGTCTTTCATTCACCACAAAGTCAGTAAGACACTTTTCTGCACATGTCACAATCACACTTAAGTCTTAACAGAGGTATTCATAAAAAATCTAATTAAAAAAAATTAAAGCATGTACATTATTATTGTATATCTCATATCCAACTTCCATGGTCATAATTATATATCTGAAATAGAAATAAATTTGTTATTTATAATACATAAAATTCAACAATACTCCACTGCATTTGCTGTTTCAAAGAACCATATCAAAACTGTTATAGATTAAATCAAAAGTTTACAAGAATCTGCATGTTAATGATTTGGAAAAATAGTGGAATTGAAAAGAATAATACAGAGCAAAATGAAACGGGTACATATTTAACTTTATTTTTTTTGTTTACCCTAAGTTTCTAACTTTTGAGGAGATACAGTAGGAAATTTATTATTTTATAATTTGTAGAAAAAGTTTATAGCTTTTCTTATCAAACAAACTGATATGATAAGTAACAGTTTATCATATTGATTACTAATTGATTCTCATAATAACAAAAATCATATTGGGTATGAAATTATAAAATAAGTTTCTATCATCAAAAAAGGTTGACTTACTTCACAGAAATAAATCCTAAAGTAATAAAAATTAGTGAATAAAATTGGATGGTGCAAATTTGTCATCAATTTATATCAGTGGCCACAAGGAGGAATTATTGAAATTTCTCTATTGTTAAAATCAAAAAGCAACAATTGCTTTCTATTTGTTAGGCACAAGGTTGCAGGTGTCATTCAATACCAGAGCACTTTCGCAACCATACGAATGAACTTCGAATTTCACACAAAAAAACTACAAGACCCGATGACATATCGATACATTTCCGTATCGAAACTATAAATAAATAATAACATGTACTTGCGTGTGCTAAAACTATCATTCGATCTAGGCCAAGATAATCTGAATTATATTATTATTATATTGTTTCAAATACACTATACGTCCAAAGATCTTAACCTAAATTTTTCTATCGATTGTTATGCGAAAACACACTTATGACTCATCAAGGACATTTTATTACCACACCGCACTTTCGAGTTAAATATATTACCTGCTTAAAAATAAGCTAATAACTGATTTTCACTACAAATACCATTTCTTTCTACAAAATTTATTATTCGAGTCTTTCGAAGCAGACATTTTTACTTGTAGGCGCGGGTGGGGGGGGGTCAGTGTTGCCCACAGTTGAATAACAATGTTGTCAGACCGATAACAACGGTGCTGCCATGCCTTTTGTCACAAAGAATTTCTTTAAACATCTTGGTCACACCACATATGATTTATCAATCGGATGGGGTTGACATTGGCTATAATTTACCTGTGCGAAGTCAAGGGAAAACAGGTAGTTAAATTTAGATCACATCATTATTGAGATATTTTGTTTTAGGGAGATACATTTGATTTTATTTATAAAGTAATGATGATGGTTCGTGCGACTCATGCAAATAGTTAGGGACTGTCCGCATCGCGATTTTATTTCGTAATTGAAAACGAGGTAGAGGAAAGAAATATACATTGAATTGAGTCAAACAAATTAACAAATTAAAATTGTTCTATAGTTCATTTTAGGGTTTCATACCCATAAGTAAAACGGGGACTCTATAACTAAGGCTTCGCTGTCGTCTGTTACCAGTCTGTATCTCATGAACCTTGAAAGTTAGACAGTTGAAATTTTCACAGAATAAAGTAAATATTTAAGGGGGCTCCCATAAAACAAACGTGATGTTTTTGGCTCGTTTCCGGTACGGAACCTTATGTGCACGAGTCCGGCTCGCATTTGACCGGTTGATACGTTCGTTTCGACCGGGTGCTACATAAAACTGACAAAAAGTCTTGAATTTGTCATTTATACATGCTATGCCTCAGAATACAAAAAAAAACATATTACGCTTTTTGTACGCTACGCCTTTGTCTACACCACCCAAATATCACTTTTCACAAAAATTATTTAATCAATATTTTTTTTGATGAATCGTAATAGTTTGCTATTAATTAAATAAAAATAGTTTATACTAGAATTTGGGTGGTGTAGGTTGCCAGTTAAGTGTTTTATCATTTTCCACGCCTAATTTTAAAAGGCTTCGCGGACCACTTACGTTACCTATTTGGGAACCACTGTTCTAGTCAGTATAATAAGATAATGTGATTTTCCATCTCTTAAATATTTTATTTTAGATACATTTAAATCAAAGTATATTTTATAAACCTACTCAAGATAAGACAACACACTAATAAAATGAGATAAACTCGTAAGCATAAAGTAATCATGCCATGCTTTACTTTACTACCTTTTGCTAAATTCGGAAGTCGTCTAACTGGCAAACGTACTACGAGGAACCGGTAGTTGACTACCGTATATTTTAATATCGAATATAATATAATTAGCAATAACATGAACTATTGTAACATAAGTAAGCTATTAATTTATATTATTATTTAATAAAAGTATTTCTGTTATTACGTATAGTAAAATATACTTTAAAGAACATAAATTCCAATGTTATGAGTGCGTCAATTGATATAGCGTCACATACGTAATGGAGGCAACGATCTTTCGACAAGTGAATAAAATATCGTATTTTAGCTAATTATTGGATGAATCTGTGCATTTTGTGGTTTATTGGATTGCAGTGAATGATTATCAATAATATATGGATACCCACGTTGGTGAACAGTGTTCATACAACCTCGTTCTGTCATTGGTATGTATGCCATCAAAATATTTTGGAAAGTTCATTGAAATATTACAAAAAATTGATTATTGTAACGTAATGTAACTGAATTGCTGTGATCTAAGTGGTAAATCAAAGTTAGCTACTCAATAAAGCGTCGTAGAATACTTCGATGTTTCATTATTCGACGTCTTTGTCGTTCGCGTAATTAGGTAGCTGATCAGAAAGGTCACGCATTCATTTTCGCTTTAAACTTTTCAGAACGATGATCACAACGAAATAAATAATATTGCTACGTTGAAATAACGACTATCGATTCCGATTGACCGGAACTACGGGTTAATGGTTTGGAGAGAACATATCCACTCTGAACCAACAAATGAAGCTATGGCTTCAGATCAACCTGTTAAAAAGAAGCAAAGAATAGATGCCCCCGATATTGACGATGGTAGTGACAGATCAGCGGAAGATGTGCTCACTGATATTTATGATTCTGGAACCCCTGTGGATGTTGGTGAGGAGTTTCCATCTCGAAACGGCGAGTCTCCAGATAGTGGTACCGTAAGTGAAGATGCAGTTGACTGCTCAGCTATCCTGAGGCTTCCTACTGACAGCAGGAATGATATTGTGCCTTCATGTTCAAGTTCTGCACCACATTGGAACTCTAATGATGACAAACTCCTTTCTGAATTGAGATCACTCCAGGATGCTCTTGTGGGTCAATGTTTATGTAGGTTTGATGACGGTCTTGTATCTCAACTATTCGATAGGCAGCTTAATATTGTATCCTGGCCATTAACATGTTCTTTGACATATCTTTCAACAATGCAACTTATGTTTGATATATATTTGAAACAAAATGCAACAGGTACAATATGTTCAAAGGTAATGCAAGCATGTGATATTTTTGTTAGAAATAGACATGACTGGATTACTGAGGTTGTTGAACTGGCAGATCATAAGAGTAAATTTATTACATTTGTAGCTAGTAGAGTACTTGCGAGTTTCTTAATAGTTTCTAAGGATACTGTTGATGAAAATTGGCTACAACAGATTGCTGAAAATATATATTTGTTTGATAGAATTAACAGAATCACAGTACAAAAGATAAATTTCAGTCTTGATATTATAAAAAGGATAGTTGAATGGAAAGATGTGGAACAGCACCCTCTAGAAGATAACAATTATATAAATTCATCAGGAGGTATGCATGTACAAGAAGATAATCCATTCAGGAGTAGTGTGGGCTATGGTGGTAGCAGTAATAATTCAGATGCTCCTTCCTCAAGTTCACAAAGTAGTACATTACATAATGCATTCTCAAATCTGCAAACGCACAGTACACCATCTACATCAACTGAAGATAAGCCATCAGAGGAGAGACATACTACATTCAAATTGCATGACCCTGTATTGAAACTTCCAGCTGAACCACAGTCAAGTATAGATTTAGATGATTCTGCATCACCTGAACCACCACAATCAAGAATAGAGAGGATCAATGAGAATGGTTGTGTAACAGTCATTCTAACAGATTCTGAGTCATTTGATACATCTCACATTAAATGTTTAACAATAAAGACACTGGAACATCACTGGCCGATTTTAGTGAAAAATATGAAACTCCTGCTTCTAAGGTACCTGAATCTAGCTAATGCTGAAAATTGTATACTTACATTTTTCTCTTTGTGGGAGAATATCATTAGTGTTAAAGCAAATCTCTCCATTATTGATACTAAACCTTTTTATGCTGACTTGCAAGGGTTTGTTGATTTATTAAGGAATACAATGCTCCCATATCTTATTTATACACACCTATTAAGCCTTTTTAATGAAGTCCTGTGTTATGGATCAACTCTAGCATTGCAGGATATATTGCCTGAAGAGATATGCTGTCTAGCTCACTCCATAGTGAGATTTGTCAAAGATTTCAGGCTCTTAACGGATGTGAGAGTGCAGAACAGTAGGAGTGGTTTTGGATTCTTGGGTCATGAATGTCGTGTTATACATAATTATTCCCTAGGCTCTGTAGTAACTCCGATATCTACAATGATACAACTAGTTGATCAAAGTTATGGTGAGGATGATAATGAGGATTCAACACATTCAAGGAATGAAGTTGACAAGACAATGTTGCAAAGGATGTCTTTATTAGTGTTGAAATCAGTTGCTGTCACTGTAAAAGAAATGAGATGTGATTCATCAGATAGCTCAATTGATTCGTCAGACTATAATGCAATACAAGACATGCAAATAGTTGAGAGATCCATAAGAGATGTCTTGAAGAAATTAGATGTGTTCATTAGAAACAGCTTAGAATTTCATCCAGAAACACCATTCACAAAGATGTTGATCCATCTATTCAGTGAGCAGGATGACTATTTGATCGAATCAATGGTGTGTACATTGGACATAACGTGTGGTATTGTGTACAGAAATTCAATGTATCCAGATCTGATACCGATGCTGAATCCCATTTCATCATTCATTGAATTTCTCAAAGTCGTATCTCATGATAGTGATGTATTACTCGATTACCTCGTTAATAATGAGACCTGCTTTCTATTATACTTGCTCAGATTTCTTAAGTATGTGAGAAGAAACTGGCCCAAATTCTTAGAAACATGCCAGCAAACAGACTCTGGAGGCACTCGAGGTTTGGATGAGACTATGAGAGTGTTGATCAGATTAAGGCTGCAGATAAGCAGACTAGTATCAAAATCATTGTTTCCTTATAATATTGGCCCTGTTCTAAGGTTACTTGAAGTATGCGAGAGTCTGTATGAAGGCAATGAGTTTAGCTGAATTTGTGGAAAGACTTCAGAATACAATGAGCCATAAACATCAAAAGCCATTTTGAAATATTGACATGCAAGATTGTATTTGTTGGTAGAATGTAAATTTACATCTATAATGGCTGGTTTACTTATAGCTGCTCCCTGTGTGGCTCTAAATCTTCAATACAGGTTCAGCACAATACAGTGAGTGAGGTAGGGCATGGATTGAATGCTTCATGAGACATTTTCAATAAAGCAGAACATTGCAAAGTTCAACAAAAACACCATTGTCCTTCCCACTCTTTTGTGAAACCTTTAAGGTGAAACATTATGGTTTCGTTTAGTTTAACTGTCAAGAGATGGCACTAGTGTTCTAAATAACTTTATATTTTTATTACAAAAAGCAATTTCGAGCCATAAAAAAATATAGCAGTTTTGAGCCATTTTCAAAGAACAATAGCACCACATCATGCACCATGCAATACAAACGAAACCATGATCTTCCACCATTTTTAAATATCTACCTAAAAATCAACAATCAATCAAGACTGCCAACATGTGTAACATTCCAAAATTACTCGATTTTAATTATTTTTGGTTGTCGTAACTAAATTAGATAATTTTAACTTATACTAGTTGTAGCAGCTGAATATGTAATATTTAAAAGCATATTAATTATTTTTAATTGTTAAGTATTTTATGAAGTCTTCCTTTATTACAGTTGTAAATCTTATAATTTAGTGTCATTTTTCACAATAACATAAAATAGGACTGGATATATCTCAATTTTGTAAACCTAACTACATGTGCCTTACCATAACATAAGGGTGCTCATAAATAATAAATATATTAATGTGTTTTTGCACAAATGTTTATATACCAGATTTAATATTTAACAATCACTGGCATGATATCTTATATGGAATGTGTTTAGTTTTAAGCAAGGCTTAGCGATAATTTATTTTAAATAATGGTTGTATTATAATATGTAATGTAATGTAGTTATAAGTTTCATTTAATAATGCGGGTCTAAATATTTCTTTACTAAATTATTTTCTGTACCCATGTAAATAAAGCCATCATACAATTTAACTTATATATTGTAAGTAACTGTAATCAGTATTAGTACACTACAGGGATGGGCAAAATGTAATCAGATTTATGATTACATGAGATATGTAACTGTCATTCTGGTTTATAATATATTGTAATAATTGTTCGGGCATCTTCTTATATCTTAGGGCATCAAGTTCTTTTAATCCGACACTGGTGCTGCCGTAATTACGGCAGATACGACTAATCGTGCTTCCTAAAAGCATGGAAGAGTTTAGATACTAATTACAAAGTTCACACAGTCCATTAGCACTAATCACTACGCCATTAAACTTTTTATATAGTATTTGTAGGCTCTTATAAACAAATCAATATTATAAAGATACCTTGATTGTTCACCTTAGGTAAATAAAGTCATAAAAGAAAGTATTAAAAAAAACTAAAGTACTAAAAAAGCATCTCCACTAGATGGCGATTCTAGCAAAAGTTGATTTTTGCAGGAAACAAATGGATCAAAGACAGTCATATCTGTTCCTTTTAACATATTAATAAACTAAAATTTGAAACGTTCGAAACTTAGATATCAATACAAATACGAAATAGAATACAAGTTGTTTATTGAGTTTTGAAAACTACTTTTAAACATGAAAGAAATCCGGAAGGGTTGTTATGGAGAAATCAAGAACATATCGTAGCGACATCTAGTTTCATTTCGGGAACTAATGTTTTTTTTTAATACTTATTAATATTGTTATCTCTAATAAATTTATCTGATTACGTTTTGTATATCTCTGGTACAATATCATTATTTAACTGAAATAATTAATGTAAGACATTTTATTTGCCAAATTAGTTTCTGCTACTGCTGAATATTTTGTATTGTTTTAAAAATATATCTACATGATTTTGCTTGAATGAAATTATAGAAAAAATATATTTATGGATTATTCATAACCTATTCATTTTAGCTTTAAGTGAAGGCAACATGACAGACTGTTATATAGGTATATTAATATGTCCAATTTGTTAATTCATGTTTAGATTATTAAGCTGTTATAAAATTTCTAACTACACAATTGTGAATCTCAAAAATCCTGTTGAAATAATAAGGAAGCAGTACTGAAGACTGTTTTCATTAAATCGAATTAACCATTAATTTTATTGATATATCTTGCCAGTTAATGTAACTTAATTAAATTGCTAGATTCTTGTGGTATTTTGTATTTTTTTCATTTCATCTAAAACATTTTATCCCAAATAATGAATTTGCATCTCAAATTGTTCTTTCGACAGAAGCGGTTCATTATCTCAAACTGTTGTTTTGACAGAAAGAGTACATTAACATTTGACAAAACAAAACTAAACATTTGACAAACATCTCATTTCGCAAACATATTACTTTATATGTAGGTACCTTATAGCTGTAGAGATGTCGTAAGTTTTACTAAAAAAAACGAATTGTTAAAGTTTTTTTCAAATTTGTGATTTTACAAAATTATGGTCCATAAATTGTTGCCTTATTGCACTGTAGAAATTGAACTAATTAAGATTTATATAATTTAATCCTTATGAAACTAGTGTGGATTTAATACTCAGATCTTGTCACTTTTCATAGTTCTGACTTGACCCATTCGCTACAATTCTTTCTGTGTGGCGAGAGGTTCCTGACATGAAAGGACTGCCACCATCATTGCTTTATTTTGTAAAACAAGGAGGGAGTAAGCTGCAAAGCAGCTTTGTCGCAATTATTTCATTCGTAATCTAGCAAAGCTTATTTATTATTTTATTTCATTCGTAATGTTATTAGATCGTAAATCAATTAATTGTTATATCAGTGGCATAGCGGTTTGCATGCCGTTTTCAAGGTGTCGCCACCACTGAGGAACCGGGTTTGATTCCCAGCCCGGTCAATGTGAAAAATGAAATTTTCTGCATTGTCTCGGGTCTGGGTGATTTCATCTTCGTTGTTTCAGATTTCCATAATAAAAGAGCTAAAATTTACTTAATTTGGGAACTGAGAAATGCGACTTAATTTAAATATTATGCATTGCATTGAAATCAATTAACATGATTATAAAAATTAATTTAAATACAGATAATGCTATTGCCAAAGAATTTGACAACCAGAGAGTAAACTAATCGAATGAGGTCAGTTACATTAAAATAGTTTAAGTATTTATGTGTTAGGCCGCCCAGGAGTTTCGAAGCTTATTCGTTACAAACAATCAAATCTTTCCTCTTTATATTAACATAGACTAACTTTCCGTCAGACGCTTCTCCCGCGTGGTTTTCCTATCTTTACATTTTTATTGCTGCCATGCCTATGAACTGACCTATAAGTCACAGCGTGATGCCTTCCAAATAATTTTTCAATTCGAACCAGTAGTTTCTGACATTAGCGCGTTCAACCAAGCAAAAAAACTCTTTATAATAGTATTCAGTAGGTGAAGATTACTTATTCTCAACACTGTTTCATATATTCTGTTACTCAAAAGTTTATACATTTTTTATTCGGGAGTGATGGAAAAATTTTGATGTTTTTAGTAATTAAAAAAAAGACATGGTCATCGGGTTTTTATTTTGATTAATGTTTTAGACAAATGCGTTTGTTGCGTTTAAACAAAAGGTTGAATATTTTAAAAATATACAGTGAAAATGAACTGTTTGTCTAAACAATTAGAGTTCACTTTATGAATGGACTAGAATATTGCGCACAATCTATTTCCAGGTGAGATGTCATTTGAAGTAAAATAAATTCTTAAAAATATATATAAATATACAGGAAAGCTTTTAATCAGCGCACTTTAATGTTGTTTGTTACCGTAAGTACTTTTACTAACATGCCCCAAGGCAGTGGCGTAACTACTACAGGGTGGCATGTCGGCACAATGCCACGGGCCCCCAGCTGGAAGGGGCCCTCGGTCAGAAGAAACTCCTTATTCCTGACATTTATTATTACGCAATTAGTAAAAAAAATAAATAATATCCAATGAATTTACCACGGGCCTCAAACGGAACAGTTACGCCACTACCCCAAGGTTAAAATTCCCTTGGCCTAAAGATACGTCTATTGTAGGCGTGACAAATGATGACAATGAAGCATGAATCGTCCAATAGGTGCCAACCACGTGGATTTATAATAACAATTGTTCTTGTAATGAGGAAGTATTTAAAAAAAAGCATTAGTTCCCGAAATCAAACTAGATGTCGCTATGGTACTTTCTTGATTTCTACATGACAACTCTTCCGGTCTTCTTTCATGTATAAAAGAAAATTAGTTTTCAAAACTCGGTAAACAACTCATATTCTATTTGTACTTTTTCGTATTTGTATTGATATCTAAGTTTCGAACTTTGCAAAATTCAATTTTTTATATGTTAGTTTAAAGTAGAAAGGTACTTTTTAGTGCGTTTTTTAAATACTTCCTCATTAGTACGTAGGTACTAATCTTTGTCGGGGTGGCGAATTATTTTTTTAATAATTGAATAACTTAATGTAAATATACACTATTAAAAACTTTTCCTGATTATATTTTCAATATTTGATAGAGTCCAATATTAAATATATCCAAATAATTTTGGAGCTGTCAACATGACGTCTTCTGTCTCTTTCTTAACTATAAAAAAACCGAGTGAGGCAGTTACAAAATAATTTGCGACACCCTTAATCATACATTTACCATTATATTAAATAAAAATGACAAGTCGTTTTATAAAATTCGGCCTGAACATAGTTTGACACGGTTAATCAAAACATTTAATCAAAGAATCATGTCCACTTTACATACATTGATTGGTCCGTCACCTGTTTTTTTGAAGACCGTGTCTATCTACATTAGTGATAATTTTACATAAAATACAATAATATGTAAGCATCTTTTCATCTGGAGGCTAGGGAGATTCGCAATTTGTAAATAATGTTTTGAGGTTATCAGCTGTAAAAACTCGAGATAATTGTGAAGCTACTTTAAAAATTAATGCAAGCATTTTATACTTTGACTTGTAAATGTGGAAATAAATTAAGATGTAATTGTTAATGTGCATATTTTAACCTTATGACGAAAGAATATTTTTCCGTAGTAGATGAAACGAAGCGTAGCAACCGTAATTGTACGGTCCGAATTGCATTAGGGTAGTGCAGCCAACCGTCATTGTAGGGTCCGAATCGAATAAAAGTAACTTTTGAAAATACTTATCAGCCTCGCAATTTTTATACTGATTTTACATTAAGACTTTATTACATGATATGAAATAAGTAAAAAATTAGCTACATTTCGAGATATATCATCACCAGACGCGTCAGTAAATTTTTAGGTCAAAATTGGACATGATTCTTTCTAAAAATTATACAACAGAACATAGAAATATATTAGTGTAGTGATGCAATGTGAGTGGGGCTGATACAACATTAGAATGTGTGCGATTGTATAAATCAACAGAAACGTTCGTATCATTTTAGGTTTCCGTAACCAAGGGGTACAAACTGGACCCTATTACTAAGGCCGGTGTGAGCTAGCCAGTTATCACAGATGATTTATTTCTATTGCCGCTATAAATAACATCACATTATTAGTTTGTATGAGTTTATAACTTGTACGACGGCCACAACTGTTATATGACTGGCCGATGTGACTAAGCGCAAGGGACATTTTGGAATCGCGGCCAATCAGAACGTCTCAAGTGCCGTGACTGAGATGGAAAATCCTGTGCGTTGTATTTTACACCTCATGGTATTTAAAACAAAACTGACTTTATTTTTGAATCATAAATTCGTTATTATCCGAATTGGTAGGTCTACTCCGTATAAATGAAAGCTACTATCATTCTGTTTTGGGCTCTGCTATGGCTGTGTGCGAAAGCTCCCAATGTTCAAGTGTCAAAACTTTCTTTTGGACGACAACAGATGGCGATGATGACATTTATTATTATTTATCCATGTATTTGGTTTTAAATTCCTAAGATAATTATAAGAAATTTTATAAAAGTATTTTAGTGACATGATCAAATGAGTAAGTATATTAATAAATAAAAGAATATTGAAACTTTAACTATTTAAAAAAATATTAACACCATATATTGAAAAAACTAATAGGTTTGTTACTTTGCACAGTGGTGGTGATATCGTTAAACCGACTCTCGTAATTCTAACATATTTCTGTGTTCTGTGATCTATGCAGATTAGAAATTGTATCATATTTACATTCTACAAATACTTGCTTACAATTTACAAAAGAAAATTCATAAACTTGCCTTTAATTTTTCCACGTTTCAGATGGAGCTTGACACTTCATTTGTTTTGACTGTGAATAGATGGCGCAAGTGTTTTGAAGCGCATTGAATCGGCTTCTTGATTACAACAACAAATTATGAAACATAAATTTCGTGGTTTTTTTTATCTTTAACGCCACCTAGGGACAGTCGTAAACAATGAAACCGTAACTTTTCACAAAAAGAACTTCATTCTCCTCACTCTTAGATAATGTTCTTACAAAATCATTAACTAAACATAAATCTCATTGAAAAAAAAAAACAAAAAACGCACTCACAAAAACAAACGATCTTCATTATACAAAAAAACAATTACACGACTTACTGAACTAAAATTATACCTAAACTGGTAAACAACAATACAAGCCAAATGTGTTACTCAAATTAATATTTGTCTATGGTTGAGTGTTATTTTATTTACAAACATCTTATCTCTATTTTCACTAAATAGTTTTATTATCGTATCAATTTATAAAGATACAAAGTAACGCTCATTACTGTCGAGTGATGGCGCTAGACATTAGTTTTAATTTCTCACATGAGATGTCACACACATAATCATCATCAGCTCTATTATGTTCCCACTGCAGAAGATCAGGCTTTCCTTAAGGATAATTACGGAGGGTATTAAGGACTGCAAATGCACCCGGGACAAACGCGGTAACGCGCCCTTCGAAGTACGAAGTAGCTCGAGATAATAATTTTTTGGTCACCCATCCCGTGACTGACCCTTGCTAAAGTTGCTTAGCAACAACGATCGCGGACCCCAGCGCTTATCCACTACATTACCGCGCTGCTCGCACACATTAGTGTTCAAATTTGATAATATAACCTTTTTATGGAATAATACGTACAGTTATACCATAAGGCTATTCAACTCTGTCAAATTTCTCCATACAATTTTAAACCTTAATGCCTTAACGTTAAGGGTCCGTCCATAAATTACGTCACACAAAATTCATGATTGTCCCTCGTGCCACATGTTTGTCTATACAAATTCTACTAAATATTGTTCTAATGTCACAGTTCGTTGACCCCCCCCCTCCTAACGTGTGACGTAATTTATGAATGGCGCCTAATGGATAGTAGAGCTTAAAATTTCTATTATAGTGACACGTATTGCGTGTATAACATTGCTGATGTATCAATTTACTCTACCATAGTCACTAACATTGGAATAATTATTTAGATCGAGTGCTCGATATTTGACCACAGCGTAACTGAAATGTTGTGCTACGGATAAATGCTATTGGCAAACATATAAGGTACTATCGCCTAAGAAGGTCCAATATCTTGAACGCTTTAGTACGGATAAGCATACTAGAATAAGTCTCGATTGCAATCTCGCACTAACTCATGAATAAGGAAAGAAAAATGTAATATAAACTTATTTCTGTTGGGTTCTTACCACATCGGCGGTCCAAAACAGTGGGCTTTATTAGACAATATTATCTTATATTTATCTACCCACCTACAGACGACATTGCAATCGTTACCCTATCATTGTTTACTCAGTCACCACTTGGACATAATATTGGGATTCACTAAAACAAATTACATGGTAATCCTGTAAATGCATACAAATAAAAAGTTCAAAGGCTCGAATCATTTAAAGATTTTTTATAAATATATTTTGTGAACTAACCATATCCATCATTCAATTTATTAAAAATACTAGCTTTTACCCGCGACTTCGTCTGCGTGGTTACTTTGTGAAGAATTTATCAAACCCAATTTAAGCGGACATCTTCATCATAATAGCTCCAATCCTTAATTTCAGTTCAATCAGTCGAAAATCTAAGAAGATTTATACAAACTTTCATCACCTATTTTATCCGCTAAGGGGTGGAAAATAACAAAATACTTTCTTAGGGGATTTCTGTCATATTAGCTTTATGCACGCAGTCTCAGCCCGATCGCTTTAAAAATGATAATGTTTCATACAAACTCTCATCCCCTATTTTATCCCCTTAGGGGTTGATTTTTCAAAATCCTTTCTTAGTGGATGCCTACGTCATAGTAGCTTTGTACATGCAAAATCTCAGCCAGAGCGGTTAAAAATTGACAGTTTCATACAAACTTTCATCCCCTATTTTATCCACTTAGGGGTGGAATTTATCAAAATACTTTCTTAGTGGGTGCCTACGTCATAATATCTACCTGCATTTCAAATTTCAGCCTGATCCGTCCAGTGGTTTGGGCTGTGCGTTGATAGATCACTATGTCAGTCAGTCACCTTTGAGTTATATATATTTAGATTGCGTTATGACCTCGAATGACATCATTAAAAAGTAACACAAACATTTTCAATTCTAAAAACTCTTAAGAACACTAGCGCCATCTCTTGACATTCGGAACGAATAAATGACTTTCCACCTTAAAATGCTATGTTACACAAAATGTGACAAGACGACAGATAATATCTAAAATTGACCAAATTCGTGTGACAAAACTAAAATAAGATAGACCTTCATAAGTAGTAAATAAGGTTGTTAAGAAAATTATTTAATTTATGATGACCATTGGCTACTTGACAGTTATAACCACAATAAGAAAAATGTTGGTAATGTTAATAATTATATGTAAACAATGATAATGTAGTATATTTTGTATTTAAATAATATATTTAGTAAGTATATTTAATTTTTTTACAAAATTAAGTTGAGATTTATACTTTGTGGATACAAGAACCGAATATTTCAATATTTTGAACGTCGATAAATTTCGATGGTTTGGTTTTTCACCTACCTATATTTCCCGACTTTATACCCGTCTTATACAATCTAATATAATGCAACGCGAAAGTTTAATAGTTTATATTAGTCAACGTATTTGTTGCGAGTGTTTATTGAAATATGACGACACGGCTCCCGTGTCTGTTTACGCGGGAAAATGTATTTAAATTGATGAAAACAATATGTATGATTTTCCTTTATTAAGTTACACTTTTTTATATGATCAATTTGAAGTTTTAATTTGTTTCTTAAAACTGTCAACCAGCCAATACTGGATAGATGATGTATGGACATCAAATACAAATATGTTCTGTCGAAAATCACGGTAGCGAGCAATTCTCTATTGTCAAATAAATTACAAACCGTTTCATCTTTCCGGTATCATTTAATATAACAGTTTTCAAATCCCAAAATCGAAGACAGTTTAATTGTAATTATGATATGATAAAAACTAATTTGTATTTGTGTTTATGAAAACGTTTAGTTTCTAAAGTCAATGAAGATGTATGTACACATATAAAATTTCTTCTCATTTCACTACTATTTCGGTTTTTCCACCTCATAAAATTAATAAATTATGTTGAATAAATACAAACACAAATTGAACATAACTTTGATTTGACTATCATGCGAGAAGAACATTTCTGTTTACAATTACTGGGATATCTTTTTTATTCATAGACAATACACAAAGATACAGTGACATTAGAAATTAGAGACATATCGTTAAGGCTGCATTTATATGAGAACTATTTTGCGCATGATAATATGATGTGGAGACATGCGGCTGCCGCCTTATGGCTGCGAAATTTAATTTCGTGACATTCTTCATCTATCGACTAGTAGAGTTGAAATTTCATATTGTACGCTGCCACCACGCGGTAGTTGCAAGACTATTTTCGCCTCGACCGCGCCAATAGTTGCGGAAAATTTGAATCTAGTATGTAATTTACAACGGTCACGCGAAAGTTATTGCGTTCTAAATGCTCCTTAAGAACTTGTCTTAATTGTTTATAATCGTACGAACAAATGATGCGATTTCGTCGCACGACGAATTAAAGTCACAGTTGAAGTTCTAATTGAAAATAAGTTATTTTTGTTTGTCAATGCTATTTCTATTTGTTGTTGAAATGGTGCTCCATTGCCTTGATGATACCGACATCGTGCGATATATCAGTATACTCACTGAACCATCGCACGACGAATCATATCATTCAAACGTAGGATAATTACTCGATTAAAAATTGTTTACGAAACATAAATGAAAACTAACAATTAATTTAAACACAAATAATAACAAAACTCATTACGAGCACAAACCAAACAATAATTTGAATAACAAATCTTGTGCTGGTAAAAAATATAATTACAAAACACATTAAATGACGTTAAAAATAATTCAGGTATCATAGTCCTCGTCTATTTGTAGATTGCCCGAATTCAAATGATCTATATCGATAGGTCGCATTTGCGGTAACGGCGGTTTCAAATCCACTTTTCTACTTTCAGACTTCACCTTCGAATTCTGTCTATTTAATTTCACGTTACTCTTGGCAGTCTCTTTTTGTACACCAACCATACTAGCAACTGTATTGTCTAAGACCTTTATCTCAGGTTTCGCTAAGTTTTTAGTGAAATCTATATTTAAAATTGGTGTAACCGGTGTCCTAGGTGTCACAGGAGCAGCTTTCATGTCTACGTAGTAATCTTGTTTTGGCACTGCGATTTCTATCTTGTGGACCGGTTCCACAGGAGTTAAATTCGTGTAGCTAGTTGAAGGTTGTGGGCTAGCGTACGTGGGATTCACTGTTATGACGCTTCTGTGTTGCACATCATCAGTTAGCAAAGTCTCTTGGTAGAAATTGGCTGTTCGCACTGGTCTTGCCTCTGCAGATCTCTTGGTTAAGTCCATGGCAGTATCTAATGATAAGACTGTGGAGGTCACAGTCTCGGTTCTGTGAGGTCTTGGTTCAGTGTCGGCTGATAATGCCCTAATTAGCTTATCTCGAACTGTGGCGCTGATCGGCTGTACTCTGACGTCGGAACTGCTTGAGCTATTCGAGTCTTCTCTGACTACCCTTCTAGGTGGAGCTGGGGCTTCGGGAAATCTGAAAAAAGAATTTGGTTTTCAAGGTGCCGTACTAAAAGTAGAAAACACGCAATTTTATTCAAGGGATCGATTGTGCGTGTCTGTCTATCACAGAAGAAGTTACTGAACTTATTTTATTGAGATTTAGGGATATAAGTTGCTGACCCAAATACGGTCATAAAACATATATGAACCAATAAGGAACTTGGCGGGATCTGCGAAACCATTGGGCACAAATTAAAACAAAAACAAAATAAGTATATTGTGCTGTGTTCAACGTTTTATTGAAGAATCAGTACCAGTCTTTTGCTAAACATAAGTTTTTTTGGCGACCGTGACATATTTGAACGAATTGAAATTCGTCAACGCCCATGGAATCGTTAGCCGTGAAAATATACAACTACGAAGCCAAGAAAGAGATTTATAGCATGTGGATTGAGAATTTTAGGCGTTCGCTTACGAGATCAACGAATCAACAAAAGAGTCGTGCTTGAAAGCTACACAGTCTTCGAAATTTCATAAGTGCCATCCTTTGTTCCATAAAGCCTTCTTACAAAAAAAAAAAACACATTCCTTACCTAATATTTCTTAGTGATATCCATATAATTAAATTGTTTCTACTTGCCCTGGGTTTGTCTAATTTTCTGAATTTATTGAATAAACAACTACCTAAGACTACAGGGGCAAGTCACGAGATTATAAGTACTTTATACTTTGCCTAATACTTTTGTTTAATTAAAAGATACAAAATCATTCTTCATTCGTTACGTTACGTGTAATAAATAGTGCAATTTATATTTAATTTACCTACGTACTACGTAAAAATACTTAAAATAAACTAATTTAAATTGAAGCCTTTATCATTAGTACGCATACTATTGCAAAATACATAGCTTTATACAGTATTTAAGTTGGTATTCTGAACATTTCCAGGCAATTAACTTTGAGTGACCTTTGGACTTGAAGAAAGCGGACGGAATATTTTCGCCAATCCGGAGAGAAAGATAAGCCTATAATTGACTATAATATATTAGTATTTATTTAATTAACCAATCTGATTTAATTTTTCTCCTTTATTTTTCTCTTCAAGCCTTGTTGACTTTTATTAAACAAAGTTTACTATAATATTGTAACATTCATTAATTAAGATTTAAAATGACTTCACCGATATCACCTAAACCACAATGAGGAAGTATTTAAAAAAAACGAAAGCACTAAAAAAGCACCTCCACTAGATGGCGACTCTAGCAAAAGTTGTTTATTTGCAGGAAACGTATGGACTAAAGACAGTCATTTCCGTTCCTTTTAACTAACATATTAAAAAACTGAAATTTGAAAAGTTCGAAACTTAGATATCAATACAAATAAGAAAAAGAACAAATATATATGAGTTTTGAAAACTAATTTACTTTTAAACATGAAAGAAAATAGGAATGTTTGGCATGGAGAAATCAAGAACGTACAGTAGCGACATCTAGTTTCATTTCGGGAACTTTTTTTTTAAAGTACTTCCTCATTATCAAACCTCACTTTATACTAAAAGAAGTTCGATAAAGGGACAAATTACAAAATTTAAATATTATATAGAATAGCTAAATGATAATAAAGAAAAAAAGATCTAACGTAGAACTTGCAGAATTAAACTTAAAGTTAAATAATATTAAAGGTTTGTCAGCCAGGTTTGATGACTTGCAGACTGAGATAGATAGATAGATTTCTAAATCTAGAGAAACGATTTCGGAAAAATACAGAACTAAAATTGCAATATGTCAGTTACATGCAAGAATATCAAGATTTAAATCATATATCTGAATCAATAACATGTATTCCAAATTCATCCTATTTTTTATGCCATCACGATGTCTTTAAACAAGAAAGCGAGTAACTAAAATTTGTGTGGTATTCGATGACTAGGCTCCCTTCACCTCAGGATAGTCTTAAAATGATATTCTGATGGTGAGCCCTAATGTACAACAATCTTTGTTATCTATATTAATTAGAGCACGTCAATATAGATTTCTCTTGACTGGTGACATCGCAAAAATGTATTGTCAGGTAAACGTCAGTGAAGAGGATAGAAACTTACAATGATCCTATGGAGGGTAAACGAACTCTGTCTATCGAATTTTGATCTATCCAATCAAAATTTTTCAAATCAATATTATCACTTACGGAACCGCAAGTGCTAGCTACTTACACCAGATGTCTTAAACAAATTGGTGAAGAATGTAGTGATCAGCTTATTAGAGATATCATACAAAATGACTTCTACGTCGATGATTTAATAACCGGTTGTGACGATGAAGCACAATTAAGGTACATTCTAAATTCAGTTATTAATTCACTAAATGTGGCCTTTACGTAAATTTAAAAGTAATGCTGCTTCATTGTTTGAAACTTCACATTTAGATTCTAAGGATAATGTAATATTGAGCGAGTCTTCGAGCACGCTCGGTCTTGGTTGAGATTCTTCAAAGGACAGTTTTACTTTTCCAATTAAAAGTCCATCTGAAGATGATATAATTACAAAGAGAATCATACTTTCCCACTCATCTCTCATTTTTGATCCATTAGGCCTTTTAAGTCCTTGTATTATTCAAGCTAAAGTGCTGCTACAAAAACTATGGCTAGAGGGATTAGAATGGGTCTAGAATGTAATGGATTAGAATGGAGTTTTATAATTAACAAAACCTTGATCATGGCGCTACGTTCCAACTTCATGTAACCCTGCTGATCTGATAGCACGTGGTATCAATGCCAGCCAGCTTTCTAATTTGCAATTATGGTGGTCAGGTCCTACTTATTTACTTAAAGATGAATCTGAGTGGCTTACTTCGATAAACAAAAGGGTAATTGTTAATTTGCCTGAATTAAAGGTGATAACAGTGTTTGAACAAGTTGGGAGTGTTTTAACATAGAATATAATAGACTATTAAATGAAATGACTTTAATTTTTAAGTCTAAAATTCTATCGTTGTCACCATTTGTAGATGAACATTCCTTAATTAGAGTTGGAGGACGAAAAGATTCATCAAATTATCAATTCGAAAAGAGGCACCCTATTTTGGTTGCTTCTCACTATATGATGAGGTTACTTTTTGAGCGTGAACTTATGAGGATAATCCACGCAGGTTCTCAGTTATTACTGGCCAGTGCCACGCTTAAAGAAGCTATATGGCCTGTTAATGGTAGAAGACTTGCTAGAAACGTTGTTAGAAATTCTAACATCTGCGGCCGTCTTCGTGGCCAAACAGTCATGCCTAAAATGGGCGATTTACCTGCTTATCGCGTTTCAGTTGGCTTTCCATTTCGTTCAGTAGGAGTTGACTACGCTGGTCCTTTTTTTAATTCTAAATAGGAAGGGTCAAGGTGCTAAATTAAATAAGTGTTATTTATGTATTTTTATTTGTTTTCGGTCTAAATGCGTAAATTTAAAAGCAGTATCAGAATTGTTAAAAGAAACATATATAATAACGCTTCGCAGATTTGTTGCGCGTCACGGTTAGCCTGCGGAGGTATATTCTGATAATGGACGAAATTTTTAAGGCAAAATAACGAATATCTATCTGAGTTTGCGACTCGAGAGGAAGTTAAATTTAGATTTATCTCGGCTTATTCACTTCACTTTGGTGGAATCTGGGAGGCTGGGGTGAAATCCGCGAAATATCATATCAAAAGAGTTATGGGAAATATACATCTTTCGTTCGAAGAATTCGGCACTATGTTAGCGCAAGTAGAGGCAATTTTAAATAGTTGACCTATGTCATCCTCACCTAACGATCTCCTTACACTATCCCCCGGGCACTTTTTTATTGGCAGACCATTAAATGCCTTGTTATCAGCTGTTCTTGAAAATATGAAGGAGGCATCATTCAATCGCTACGCTCTTCACCCCGAACGAACGCATACGCCAGCACTTTTGGCGAAGATGGCAAAAGGAGTATATATCCGAATTACAACAGAGAACAAAGCGGAAGACATCTAAAGTAACTCGCAATGTTGGACACATGGTGCCGATACATGAAGACAACAATCCACCACTGATTTGGCGTATGGGAAGAGTAGCTCAATTATTTCCTGGACCAGATGGCATTTCCCGCGCTACCGACGTTCACAACACTGTGTCGTCTGCCAGCTGTTGAAGAAACTTCGGATTGAAGAACTTAGTATCTTCAACGTGGGGCAAGATGTTTGCGCCTAGAGGCGCCTTGCGTTAGTCCGACTGTGTTGTCTGCCAGCTGTTGAAGAAACTTCGGGTTGAAGAACTTAGTATCTTCAACGGGAGGCAAGATGTTTGCGCCTAGAGGCGCCTTGCGTTTTATTAGTAGCAAATCGCCTAAAGTTGCTATTTGATTATAGAAGAAGTTCGTATTAAACGGTTCTTGTGAAATTATTTTTATTGATTTTTCTGTCTATCATAAAACGTCGCACTATGTAATTATCATCAAAATAAATAAGTATATTGTGCTGTATTCAACGTTTTATTGAAGAATCAGTGCCAGTCTTTTGCCTAAACAATGCCACATTGAAAATTCGAAGTATAAAATTATCAAAACTGATTTACCTCGACGTATTTGGGGAATTTTCTGCACTCATCGTTTCCTTTTCTTCAGCTGCTGAAACATCTGGAATATTCTTGACCTGAAATAAAAAAAAGGCGTGAGTAAATCTTGTAACAAGTTCCGGGGCGTGTAGTCATAATACTCATAATATAATATATGTGTTGAATGAATCAGTAAGCATACCAGCCAAGCATATATTAGGTCACGATTATATTTTTGTAACAGTTAATTTTTAATAATATAATGTATTAGGATAGGGATGTTGTCTGGGTAAAAAAAAAACTATTTAGTCCGTCAGTCAACAAAGCACTCGTCGAATGCCATATCATTCTTCATAAACGTATCTATAATAGGTATAATGCCGTTAGATTTGATTTTCTCTTTTTCGTTTGGCAAACAAGTGAAAGTTATTAAACAGAAAATAATATTCATAAATAAAACCGTAAGTATTCGCTAGGTTCTTAACGCTCAAGATGAAAATAGATGTTCTTCATATCACTCACCAAATCTCGAAGGAAGTCAAATCGCGACTCTGCAAGGATGCACTGCTTCACGTGAGAGGGGCTGAGGGTCCGCGCATTCCTTGCCATCGTCACTTGCATCGCCTTGCTCAGCAACGACTCCACGAACAGCTCAAGGGTACGAGGTATTGGTGGTAACATATTCGAGTTAAGGATTTTGACTAATACTACACTAATAAATAAGGAAGGAAAGTTTCTAACTTTGTTTGTTTGTTTGTAGAGGGTAATCATCGGATACACTGATCCGATCATGAAAATTCTTTCACATAGGCCATAATTTACGCGGACAAAATCGCGGGAAAACAACTGGTTATTTGTATAATTAATCTCTTTTCATATAAGGACTGAATAAAGCTTAACGTAAGCAAACAGTCGTTTTAGTAAAGATTAAATCATTAGCCTGTTGATATTTCCACTGCTGAAGTACAGGCCTTCCTCATGGAAAGAAACAGGGAGAATGACCCATAACAAACTGATGGTGTGCTTACGACGACTGATGCCGCAGACACTGACGGCTAACGACCCTTCAAAAACATGGAAGAACTCGATTTAAAATTTGGTCACCAGCTGGAAGTGACAAGGTGGTGATGGTGGCTTATAAGGTTCCAGTTTATATGGCTCCAGCTTATGTGGCTCTTGCGGCTTATACGGTCGCGCGCGATGTGTGTGACATCAACGCGAGCTCTCGCTCCAAAATAACTAAAAATTATTTCGATGCAGGCTCTCGCTCGACCAGCATGACGTCTACCCCTAATGATGATCAATAATTATCTCGAGTTCTTTGCTTGCCATCTTGGCCAAGCTTCTAAAGATTTAGATTAAAATTAAACATACTTGAGTTTTTTTAATATAGAATTGGGTTAATTTGTTTATATACCAGTTCTGCATATAAGAACACCTGTGTAGATATATCGAACGGAACTAGGTGTATGTTAAGGAAATAATACTAAAATAATAACTAATTTCCATACCAATATTTCGATATATATAACGAAGCGAATCGAACGAATTATATTTTATAGAAATTTAATATTTCTTCAATTCCGAACAGCAGTAATAACCTCGTAAACTTTGAAGTGTGATCAAATAGTTACCAGTGACATAGACATAAGATACATTTATTGATTTAGTATGACGCATCGGAACATAAAGACTTCACGACTAACATAAAATGTAGGTATTTTACATTTACATAACATATTTTTAGTTTTAACACATGTTTTTGTATCACGATTTTTTCATCTTATATGTTTAGTTATTAGATATTTTTATATATATAAACTGTATCCACTAAACGATAACTAAAGAGCATTAGTAACCTTATATTATTATTAATCTAGCTACGTTTCATGAGACACACCCTGGTGATAGACAGACAGACGGACAGCAGAATTTTAATAACACGGTTTTCGTTTAGTTTTACTCTTTGGTCACGAAACCCTTACTAGGAATATTTACAAAACTATTAGTATTACCATATTCACAATTTATTTTTAAAGATCATAAAGATATAACAAGCCCTAAATATATATAAGTCCGTCTGTCTGTCTGGTGATAGACAGACAGACAGACGGACAGCAGAATTTTAATAATACGGTTTTCGTTTAGTTTTACTCTTTGGTCACGAAGCCCTTACTAGGAATATTTACAAAACTATTAGTATTACCATATTCACAATTTATTTTTAAAGATCATAAAGATATAACAAGCCCTAAATAAAGTGTGCAATATTCAACAATATTGATTGGCAGCATCACCAACTAATGTCAATTCACCAACCGGAAACGGATTTCCTTTATTATTATTTATAACCAAAAGGTATAAAGTATTGTTTTTTGGCATTTTTTTCTTCATTTTCTATCAGATAATGTGCGTAAGTGCAACTGACATGAAAATAAAGATATAAACCAAAAGATTCAATTTGATAAGAATTTGCAAAATTAGTTTTGCTAAAGAGGTAATAGGTGTTTAGTAATGCCCACTTCATTTTTTATTTGACAGCATAAGCCCATCCTTCCTACACATTGAGATTAGTTTAATTAATCTTGTTATTTCTATAACTATGATACATAATTAAGTATGCCGGGGTCCTAAGAAAAAAATATTTTTAAATATGAACCAATTCATTCGAAAACTTCGAAACAATTTTTTTGAAATAATAAATAAAATGTATTTGAAATTCTTATAAATAAAGGAGCCTTTAATACTATAAAGTACGTACCCCCAAGGAGTTTGCCATGATGTTCAATGTTAATACATATATATACTAAATTTTAACTCAATTGGTCCTGATCTGGAGGGTAATAATGGAAGGGTCCAGTTTTTTCTTGTGAACCCTATAGTATAAGTAAAAGTAAGATCAACTCTCATCTTTGCACAAGACAGTATGCGAGGGTCTGACTGATATGCTGTTGACTGTATATAGGGTCTCTCATAAATTCACAGTGAAGACAAAACAAAGAATAAACTCACAGCTTAATAGGCCTCTATTAAGCTGGGACATTACATTTTCATTAATGAATTAATTTGTGTTATCTTATTTTTTTGTACATTAAAATAATTGAAATGTTATCCATTTGAAGATTGACATTAATATATCTTAGAATAAATAGAATGCCTTAACTGTTGTCAAATTTTGCCTTAAAATTACAAAAACCTGAAAATTTATCTTTTATTCAATTTGCCTCAACCACAGACTTAAATTAAAGGACTGCCAATATAGAATACACTTATCTGTACTTATATTATAAAGAGGAAAGTGATTATTAGCATATACGCTCCGAGTCTACTGGACCCATTTTAAAAATTACTCCCCTATGGTAAGCTGCATCAAATGCGGTGAACATAAGCTATATTTTATCCTGAAAAACAACAAATAAAGGGATGAAAATGGGAGTGGAAGTATATATAGGGAATTAAAATGTTAGCATTAGCAAAGTTGTAATTATATCAGTGTCATGATCCAAGTAAATAATTCCCTAGAGACAATGCGGGCAAAGCCGCTGGCAGAAAGCTGCTTCATAATAATATTGCATTCATAGGCATATGCACAGTGGGCACAGTAGAATGCTTCCTTCACTTCAAGCTAAATAATATAATTCATTCAATTATAAACAGAATTTTTAACTAGTATTTCCCAGAATTCTCACAGGATATTGAATAAGATCAACATAATTGTTATATTCTATTATGATAGCCAAAAAATACATATTCTAAATGGAATGTGTCTTGTTAGAAAACCAATTGGAAATATATCAATTAGTATAAATTTATTAAGTAATTTTCAACAAATGTTAAGATTTATGTATTCAAATATTGAATGATGGTATAATATTTATGACATTTTTACAGTGACAGAAAATAAAGAATTCAATGTTAATATGTGAATTAGAAGGTACATAAATTATTAAAAGGCAATGCTATCATTTGAGTTTTAAGATTTTCCTAATATGAAATGGATTGTATTGAAAGTATCTTATGAAGTCCTTGTAATGTATGACCATTCCAATTGACTATTTCTTATTACACAAAAAATTGCCTCTATGCCCATAGGACTATAGATTAAGAATAACCTTCAGCCATCTAGGATACTATTTATATATTTAGATTCACACCTCTATTCACATCCCTAATAAAGAAACCGAATTCATTATATATTGTTTGAACCCAATATATCATCACAATACAGATGTCATTTGAAAAGGATATAAATTATGATTGGTACAGCTTGTGCAACTTTTCCCACTTCTTCATCTGTCTGCATAATTTTCTTTATTCGTCCCTACAATAAACAGTGTCATGATATCACGAATAAATTTAAATTTGTAGATGAAAACAATGATTATTTTTCAATATCAAGACAATAATAGAGTTGTTATTGTACTTACTGCTGGGAATCTTGCATTGTATTTTCTTTTTTTCGACGGCATTGTGGATATTTGTTCACTTTGACACCAAAAAATTATTAAAATAAGTTCACTTTACCATCAGACAGTGATTCTTCTCGCGCATTTTTGAGGTTATAAAAGGGGGACGTTCGCAACCTACTTCATTTATATACGAATCTGACAGATTTTACATTCTCGATTACATTTTGGTGAAAGAAAATTGCCTTAATTATTCGTGTCAAATATTTTTCTTTAACTTATAATTAATTAAACTACACATTTGATTATTCGAGTGTAACTGTATTTCTATGTATATAAATTTTTCAAATTTTAGGCTGCATATGTTCTAATTTCGCAACCTTACTACAAAGTGTGATCCTGGGTAAAAACAGGCAATTTCCAAGCAAGGACTTAATTCTTATAACAGGACTTATTACTCCGAAGATTTGTAATTGCAAAAATAAACCTTATCACTACAATTTACAGTATACTTTTCATTACTCTTATTATTATAGTACAGAGGCTAATCCGGCCGAGAGAGATAGTCATAACAAAGGTTATGTGTCTCGTTCTTTCATCTTGCCATTATAAAAAATATAATTTATTAACAATTTAAACTAAAATAACATTAGTGGAAATATTTTTATTTTAATGGTTACTATTTGAAAATTTGTAATAATTATATAATCACATTAATTTCGCTAATATTAAATTATTACAAAAAGATAATACTAAATATTATCAAGGTTATTAGTTAACTTATTTTCTATAGTTATCCCTTTTAAATGTCATGGCGGTATTATTTTATTGAATTTTTAATTAAATAGATTTTTATACATTCCAACAGTTAAAATGGTGAAAAGTGTTGCGTTTATGTTTGTCCGAAAAGATTGCGGGACAGGCGTTGCAGGATGAGGCAGGTTGTTGCGGGACGGAGAGGGTTGTGGCAAGTTTTTGCTTTATTTTTCTTAGTTTAGTAACATGTAAATAAAATTGGTCACTCATCCAATTCGCAGATCAAACACGCTAACTATTTCAACATTGATCCAATCCACCTGGCATTCGTTACTGGGCCCACGTGTAGGTCCCAATGCGATTTGGTGGTGTATATTTTTTCTCAATTGATGAATCAACCAACCAACCAACATTCCACACTGGACCCGCGTAAAAGTCCCATTGAGGATTCGCCATACTAAAACATTCTCATAATTAATGATGAAACCAATCCACCCAGCATTCCTAACTATAACTATAAATAGTTCCAAAAAAATTGACAACGATCTACACCATTGAGCTTTTCACTTGTTTTTACAGGAGGGATATTGCCATATTTGGTAATATTAGTAACCGTGCATTTGAGATTGTGCAACTGATATCGCGCCAAAGTAGATCGAGCCAGTCGAGACCTCTATGAGTTTTCAATTCGATGTTTAGGAGATTTTTGACCGATATTGACATATTGTGAACCCCTGTGGCCGTTATTGCAATGTGAGTTAACAAAATCTTGCGGTTCTCCACACATTACATTTGGGCGTGCGATATCACTCATCGAGATCGAATTGCCTGAAGAGCCTAGAAGTATCTAAAATAAATAATAATAACATATTTATTGTAACAAAATGTTTTACGAGGTCATTATGTACTATAGTTACTATTGTGTACTATACTAATAGCAGCAGTAGTTAAAATACTGAACCATATGATTTTTGATTATTTGTTTATTTACAATCGGACTATGAGGATATAAGAGAATAATGAATCTAGGTTTAAAACGTTCATTCATATAGGAGGTTCATTTACAATTAGATAAACAATATTATTGAAGAAGTAAAATTTCTTTTTAATGTATACAAAGAAAATATTGTCATATAAGTCCCGTAAATTATTAACGCATTGGAACTTTGTCTAAATAACACCCGCGTGACGTCATTTAAAAAAGTTGTTTTATAACCTACGAAATACGTTTTAGGTGAATTTTTATATTTATAATGTATTGCAGAATAAAAATATAAGTGATACAAAATGACATTGTAAACATGACGCTTGTTCAAAGTTACTTCGTTAGTTTTATTTTAGTTTTACACCTGTCTCGGAGATCAAGCTATATTTTATGAATTATAGCTTTTAAATTAATTCATTATTTATTATATAGCACTAATGAATTAATGTTTTTATATTTAGTAAAAACAGTAGTTGTCTTAAAAATATTTCCCTGCTTATGTTATGTATAACCTTTCTTGGGACATTTGCAATGAATAGCCAAATATACATACATTTGCAAATGTCCCAAGAATGTATGTATGTAATGCATGTACATTATCTATTCATTGCAAATGTCCCAAGAAAGGTTATACATAACATAAGCAGGGAAATATTTTTAAGACAACTATTGTTTTTACTAAGCCAAACAAAGAGCAAAAACAAAGAAATAAAGAGCCTGAAATATATCACGAATACGCTTAGAGTATGCTAATATTATATTTCTTTTTTCGATACATTTTATTTTAGGTATTTACAAACCTGCGTTGAGTGCATGCAGTGTGGCAACCTTATTTTTTTCTGAACGAAAATATTCAGACTGACTGTTTTCGTTCAGAAATCATCAGTCAGTCTATCAAAATGGCTTCGTTATCGAGGTGTGTTTATTTCTCAAATTATTTGTGATTATTTTTATGTAAGACTTCGTTTGTGTATAGCTCAGTATCCAACAACAATAGTTGTTTCATAAATACAATTTAATATTAGTATAAGTTTCTGTATGTGACATTGTTAATTTATTGAACGACTTGTCACGTCTTTGTGTTATTTTTATTTTATATGCCTGTGTACGTTTATTTAGAAGTGTTTATATTTCAGCTTATTACCTGCTCCTACACAGCAGGTATGGGATCGTGATGATGAGATAAAAGCTAAACGTGTTGGCAGTGCATTAGTAGTTTCACAAAGTAGCGTACCACCTTATGGTCAGAGGAAAGGATGGGTGCCAAGAGCAGAAGAGGATTTTGGAGGTAAAAACTGTTTATTTATCAATTAAGTTATTATTTTGTAGAATCTAAAATGTGTTAATGACATATATTAAAAATCCGAACACTTGTATCATTATTTGACCTTGTAAACTACTAACAAAACCAGTACTATCGAAAGTTTCAAAATCACAAGTTAATGAATTATGGGGACATTAATAGGCTAATGTTAATGATGGTCAATTTAATTTTAAGATGGGGGAGCCTTTCCCGAGATCCATGTTGCACAGTATCCCTTGGGAATGGGAGCTCGAGGCAAAGAGAGTACCTCAAATGCACTTGCAGTACAACTTGACGAGGCAGGACGTGTAAAGTATTCTGCAATAGCAAGACAAGGACACAGTGCTGATAAGGTATGCCAATATTAAATATTTTTTTCTATGATTTAGTACATATTTGAATCTAATATATTAAAGCTATTATAACTAGATAACAGTTATAAAATATGTTACTTGATAGTGTTGAAATGAGTATCTTCTTTTCTTCAATAAACTTTTACTTTTATAGATAATTTACTCCAAGCTCACTGATCTACTTCCATCTGAAGTATTGGCTGAAGATGATCCATCACTACAGAAACCAGATGAGGATGAAATTCAGGATATCACAGAGAAGACCAAGTTGGCATTAGAGAAACTGACAAATGCTAAAATATCAGCTGCTATGCCAGTAAAAGCTGCACCAAAAGCTGTGAGTTGTATTTTCAAGTTATAATTTAACTTTGTATTGACATATAGAGAGAACAGATCATATCCATGGGCCAAGAGGGTACTGATGGGTGTTATTGTTAGAAATGTAATTGAGCCCAACATAATACATGCTTAGTAAGGTATTTTTGTCAAATGTTTAATTTTGTTAATGTTGTATAATTGTCAGTATTACATATTGAACTTAACCACTGCTTTATCAAGTTTTTCACTTTACAGCAGTGATCCTTTTTGTCATTAAATGGACCATTTAAAGGCACATTAATCTAAATCAGCGATTCCCAAAGTGGTCCATAGTTTAGAATCTTTGTCAACCGTCAATCTTTGTCAAATTTTTGTCTATTGATATGGAATTTGATGTATCCCTGGGGGTCCATGAGGGATTCAATGGGGGTCTATGTTGGCATGAAACAAAAACGATATTGGTTATATCTACTCAAATAGATATAACCAATATCATAATCGCAGTCTAAAGCCTTTATGAATACTTAGACTCTGTGTTATTATTGTTATTTATCTATCTATATCATTAAGCCAGGTCTATTTCAGGGTAGGTGAGATTATTTTAAATAAATGAAATTATCAGAACCTTGCAAGGTTCAGTGTTTCTATAATGTCGTTGATAGTGCATGAATGTTTATAGGCGCCCGCTCAATACATCAGATACACTCCGGCACAACAAGGTGGTTCTTTCAACTCGGGTGCCAAACAAAGAGTAATCAGGTAAAGCTTAATCAAACAATTAGTCATATCTAAAAGTACTAATAACTCGTACGAATTAATACATGTAAATGGATCGTCACTTGCGAGCCTATTCTGTTTGTGCTCAAATGAAAATTAGGATAATTTCGAATAATTGTGTTAATTTATGTAAAAATCATAACCATGAAGATTATCTGTGCATTAGAAGCAGCCTCAGCTCATATTTAGTTATGACTAAGTTTTTCTTTGTGTGTTCGTCAGGTAGATTCATTAAATGACATGTGTACATTTTCTACATAGCTGTGACATATTGAGCTCCCACTCCTCAACTTTGTTGCCTATTATCTAAGCCCTTTCTTGTCAACTTGATGCAAAAAAAATGTATATATCTTAAATTTTTCTATTGTCTGACTGATGGACTAAATAGAATTTCTTTTTATTTTACCCAATGTCATCCCTATTATCGAAAAATGCAATTCCTTACAGTCTTATAAGAATCTCGAAAATGGACCAAATTTCGTTTTGGGGATACAGAATAGGCATTCATGTGTCATGTTAATTTGTATGAGTAATATCTAATTTATTTATTTAAGTGAAATGAAATGAAAATATCTTTATTCAAGTAGGCTTATTAAAAGTACTTTGGAATCGTCCAAAAAAATTTTTTCCCCTACCACTTGTTCAGGACGTCTTTTAGCTGACAAGAAGAACAAGCGAAAGAAACTTACCAACTTTTTATCATAAGTAATGACATTTACATAAATCATGTCATTACCAAAATAATATGTATTATCACAATAATAAATACAACTTTCAAATTCTGTTGAACATATAATTAGTCTTTATAGAACAAAGCGAAGGCTTTTAATTCCATGCATTGCGATCCTTAAAATAATCATCAATTTTATAATAGCCTTTACTCATAAGTATGTTCTTTACATGAATTTGAAATTTATTTATGGGTAGGTCAACTACATTTTGTGGAACTTTACTTCCAGAAAAGATTAGCTTAATGTAGCTTGGCGTAGTGGTAAGCGCCACAGCCCGCGATCATTGTTGTTAAGCAACTTGCAAGTGTCGGTCACGGGATGGATGACCTAAAAATTACTATCTCGAGCTACTACGTGCTTCGGAAAGCATGTTAAGCCGTTGGTCCTGACTGCATTTGCAGTCGATGATAATACTCTCCAATCCGCATTGGGCCCGCGTGGAGGGTCATGGCCCATCCTTCTTAATCATCCATAAGGAAGGCGCCTGTGTGGGGAATTAAGGATTGATGATGATGATGAGGTAAGATTCTGTATGTGTCAGGATGGTGGAGGCCCAGGTGGATCCTATGGAGCCCCCTCGGTTCCAGATCAATAAGAAGATCCCTCGCGCGGCGCCCTCACCCCCCGCTCCCGTGTTACACTCGCCTCCACGAAGGGTCTCTGTCAAACAACAACGAGACTGGAAAGTGCCCCCATGTGTGTCACACTGGAAGAATGCTAAAGGTCAGTACTAGTGATGTTGTGGTAGGGCTTCCAATCCCGCAGTATCTTAGTAATTAGAGAATCCTGCATATAAAAAATATTACAATTTATATAAGGCAATTAAAGTAAATAATTAATTAACGTAACTTAAAATTTATTTAAAGTGTTTGTGTTAATTTTGGTCAGGGTTCTGAGAGGTACCTTTTGTCTACAGAGTTGAAAAAGTAATTTTATAGGATTTAAGCTTTTTGTTTGTGCAACAGAACATCAATATCGTATGTTTCTCTTTATGCTTGTTGAGTTAGCCTGTAATTATTGCTGTTTTATGTTAACCCGAAGTGTTCCATAGTTTAGAATCTTTGTCATCTGTAAATAATTTTTGGCTAACTTATAATTTTTCTATTAGCATGAGATCAATCAAATAAGTCCGTTTATTTGTCACCAGGAACTGAAATAAATCTACTACTTTAAAAATAAAATCAGTTATTTAATTTGGTCATTTTGTCCATCGGTGCGCTGTCAGTAACCGAGCGATAATGCTCGCGGGAGGTCGTGTGCCTTTTCCTTCCAGTTCCGCAAATCCCGCGGATCCCGCAACACGGGATTGGAAAAAAGATACGGATTCCTGCAAAACCGAAATCGGTATTCCGAAATAGGAGAAACATCTGTATCAGTTCCTTTTCTTGGGGATTTCTAATTAATTTTCATTTATAGCATGAAATGCTATTAAGATGAACGGGTAGGAAAAAGAAACTATAAAAGTCTATTCAGAGCATTTTTTATTTCTTGTGATCAAATTCTTGCCACCTTTGTATTGCAAATAATTATTGTAGTAAGTTATATGTCCAGTAATTTGCTAATGCGCTGGAACTTTTTCTAATAAAATCCGTGTGACGTCATACCAAAATAGTAAGTGCAGATAGTACAAAAGACAAGAGATAAATTATTTGTTAATCATTGAAATATTTATGAATAATCCCCGAAATATTGTTATTATATTTTAATAACTTTAGTTGGCAAATTTATTGCATAAATTTTTGGAAAAGAATCAATTTATATGTAAATATTGAGGCATATGGAAGATAAAAAAAATAACATTTACTTTGTAATTTTTCAAAATATAATCAAAGTAATAATGAAATGATATACATATAATGATATAAAGACATTAGATAGTATATTAATTATAAATGAAATTATGTTTAGTTATTGTGGAAATCATAATAGCAGTTGCTATTTTAGTCAACTATAACAAGTAACAACAAAACAATAACAATAGAAACCAACAAAAATGATGTCTGATCTCAAAACAACCCAAATCTATAAGTGTACTCGTCAACCAGTGTTTATGAGTTAACGGTAATGATTTTTGAAGGCAATTAAATCATCAAAATGGCTACCAGACGCATTAGCAATTTCCGAGGACTATACCATACCTCAAAGGTTATCTTAATCTGATTTCTCTCTTACTGCTTTCTGATCTCATATTACAAGCCTTCATAAATATGAGACATGTTAGCAATTTCATATATTTATTTCAAATTTCACTTACAGGTTATACTATACCTCTTGACAAGCGTCTGGCTGCTGATGGACGCGGTCTCCAACAAGTTCATATCAATGAGAACTTCTCCAAATTAGCAGAAGCTCTCTATATAGCCGATAGGAAAGCGAGAGAAGCAGTAGAAGCTAGAGCACAACTCGAGAGAAGACTTGCACAAAGGGAGAAGGAGAAGAAAGAAGAACATTTAAGAATGTTGGCGCAGAGAGCTAGAGATCACAGGGCGGGTGAGTTTCATATTCATGATCAACGACACCAGGTTATTAACGTTACCACAGCTGGAATTAAATAGAATCGGGCAATGACCCACCATGAGGCCCAGTGCGGATTGGTGGGTGTTAACGACTGCAGATGCAGCCGGTATCAACGGCATAGCGTCCCTTCGAAGTGCGGAGATGCTCGGATGATACATTTTTGGTCACCCATCCCATAACCTTCCTTCATGAAACTTGCTTAACTTCCGCATCTTAGACTTAACTTACCAATCATTGTGCCAGTGAACATTATTTATGTTTGTATGTCTAAAAAAGTTGCATACTTAATTTACTTTCAGGTATACGAGCTCCGGATGAGGAACAAGAACAGGCTGAGCCCGATGAGTCTGGTTTGACCGCGGCAGAGAGAGACAAGCTGCGAGCGGAGAGGCATAAAGAAAGACAGAGAGAGAGGAATCTGGCTAGGGCTGCTCCAGACAAGAGGTCAGTAACTATAAACAAGCCAAACAACGCGTTATTCAGGTGATGCTTTGCGCATTACAATAGAACTTCAACTCGATAGGATCAAAACTGAACAACTCGTCAATCGAAAACCAATACAGTTTCCAGTAAGATTAATTAGTGTGCTACCGTTCTGTTTAAACATATTTTTTACAGTAAATTGGGAGATATATTACATGATAATCAAAATTAACTTAAGAATATTAATTTTTACTAATATAAAAAATGAAATAATAAATAGAAAATAAAACTTATTATTTGGCAGAGTTAATATGAAATTGTTTGTGGGCGAAATCTGTCAAAGGCAATAAACATTATCTTCTGTTTCTTTTTGAATTTATGGCCTAACTGCATTTACACTATTCCGCCAGTATCTCGATGGTGGTCTTTACACATAAAGAGACATCAAAATTATATTTTTTTTTAATTTTGAGAAGGAAATGAAAGAAAAGTCTCTAAACCTTATGCATGTCTATTTACCATTTATATGCATGTTCAATAAATATTTTCAAAATTTATCTGCTAACATCAAAACACGTTTTTTATTTGTGTGATAACCAGAGGTCGGAATTAGGTAGAGTTATTTATGTACTTGCATCGAAATGTTGATATTAATGTGGACCTTCTCGAGATTCTAATCGTTTTTATGAAGTTCTTTTCAGGCATTTCAAATTCGTCCTTTTTAAGCCAACTTCAAAATATTTGTTTCAATATTTAGCAGTTCCTTTAATAATTAAGCCGCTTTTACGATAAGCATTATTTCTCATTTATTATAGTTTGAAGTTGTTCTATTTGCTGAAAAAAGTCATTATTGTAAGTCTTATTTTTTACTGTTAGTGGGATAAAAAGAAGCCTATATGTTAATTCAGGTTTATAATGACCCTTATACCAAAGTTCATCAAAATCAGAGTAACAAACGTACACAAACGTTCGCATTTATGATATTAGTCGTATGTTGCCAGATAGCTTCTATCTAAACAAAAACTATGTAGCATTTTTTGTTTTAAAATAAATTGTAAGCATAATTTATTTTTGCAAAACTAAGTTGTGATTTTTATAATCTGTGTCTTGGGTCTTGTCGTCGTTGTGTGACGTCACATTTCAATAAACGTAAATGTCAGTCTTTGTTGCGAGTGCAACCAGTACATATCAGTTTAGGTACAAGGTATATAACTTTAGTGTAAATTGTAATAACATTACAGGTCGAAGCTGGTGAAAGACAGAGAACGCGATATATCTGAACAGATAGCTCTCGGTCTGCCCGCCAAGAGTCAGGGCGGTGAAAGTATGTTCGACCAGAGACTGTTCAATAACTCGAAGGGAATGGACAGCGGTGAGTTTAATTTTAATATAAATGAATTAGAATTTATCCATCATAGACAAAATACACAATATAAATAAATATCAACGGATATATACTAACCAACTTTTAGCATAGTTTCAGTACCTTCTAATGAGTTTGACCACATGGCCTGGCCTGGTCAAACTCATTCATGATGTGTGTTTACTTTTATAAATAGATAAAATAACCTATCCTTTACGGTAAGGGATAGGGCACGTAAGGGCCTTTTTGGTATTCTTGTTGTCATTAGCGTAAAATCAAGTGTTCTGCAACGAGCGCAATTTCTTTTTTAAACTGATTTACTAAGAAACGTTCAATGATATATTTACTATAATCCTTACTTTCATCCGTGATATTACTTACAAGGATTTCTCGTAAGAGGCCGTCCATTAATCACGTGATGTTTTTTACAACATTTTTTGACCCCCCTCCTCCCCCTTGATGATACATGGTGAGGTTTAAGACTACCTCCTCCTTCCTTCAATCAAATCACGTGTATTTAAAAAACAAACAAAAAATCCTAATTTATACGTCGCTTTTCGGTGGTGATACATGGTGAGGTTTAAGATTACCCCCCTCTCTCCTTCATCCAAATCACGAGTATTTAAAAAAAAAACAAAATATCCTAATTTTTACGTCGCTTTTCGGTTTAATAATCGCGCGTCGAGGAAAAATAAATACATGCGATATATTGTGATATTTCGTGATTTTTGCAAATCCCCCCCCCCCCCCCCCCCTTCCGTGATTAATGGACGGCCCCTAACACTCGAACGGTTAACCATCCACCACCAGACATTGGGATTATTTACTCTTTGCTTCAGGCAAATTCTGCTAATTTATGTAATTACCGCATCTCAGTAGAATCTCAACGACATTCAGACTTTTTTTATTTTTTATTAGACACGTTATACTCATACATTTTAGTGTTTTAAAACAGCGTTAATGTTATTATGGTAGTACGCTACTACAATAAAATTTACGTCGTTGGGCATGAATTAATATTTTCTGACTTAACAGTTGTCAATAGTAACAAATTATATTGGCATATGAAAATCGAGTTTTTTTTTTCGTCTTTTCCCATCAGATTCTGATACACCTAAATTTATATTCGGTTAATATCTACACCCGTTTTGACTTGCTGTTTTTTTTTTATTCAATTTAGGTTATGGAGACGATGAAGCATACAACGTGTACGATAAGCCGTGGCGTAATCAGGACAACGTCGGCTCTCATATATACCGCCCCTCCAGGAACGCTGACAAAGACAACTATGGTGACTTAGACGCCATCGCTAATACACGAAGGTACAGTCAACAGCACGTAGGACTATACAAATCTGTCAAATTTCTCCATTTGATTTTAAAAACCTTACTGCATTGTGGGTAGAGTTCAAAATCAATAGGGTTGTGTTCTTCGAGTAAAATATAGGTTTCTGTAATATGTTAGATAAATATGAACAATTTTAACTTGTAAATAAAACAAAATAGATTTTATTTCAATAATTTGGAATATATTACAATTTGAAAACATGAAAACAGTAGGGAAAAAAGATTATGAATATTGGTTAAAATACATATGGCATTAAATTACTTACATAAAACATAGACTAATGATAACAGCTATAAACATAAACGCTCAAATAATAAAAATATTACTTAGATTGTCTAGACGCCCATATATTTTTCGCTAGTAGCACGGTGTGACTTCCACAATTTTTATTCCACAAACATAGCACTGTATTTCCGAAACTATTAATCGCAGACATGCTGTTACTTCTACATTATTTCTCATATGTTTGTGGTCTGTTTATTTATAAAAAATTTAAAAAAAATGTCTACTATCTTATAATAGGGTATACCTACATGATATAGAGTACAATATTTAGAGTACGAATGGCAACCCTAGTTTGGGAAATAATGACCCTTTGACTTTAGTGACGTCCTCACTTTATAGTGAGGTTACTTGGTATTCCAAGCGTGTTGCTTTGGACTACTCTCCTTAATATGTATGAAAAATTAAGAATCCCACCTCGTTAATAAATAACTTATTTCGTCATCATCATCACCAGCTCTTTTACGTCCCCACTGCAGGGGCTCGGGCCTTCCTTATGGATGGTTAAGGAGGATGGGCCATGACCCTCCACGCTGGCCCAATATGGATTGGAGGGTATTAACGACTGCAAATGCAGAAGCATGGAGTAGCTCGAGATAATAATTTTTTGGTCACCCATCCCGTGACCGACCCTTGAGAAAGTTACTTAACGTCTACGATCGGTGGCCGCGGCGCTTATCCACTACGCCACCGAGCTATATAATTACTTATTTGATGTTATAAAATCGAAGTTCAACTCAATGTACTCTACATTGAGAATATTTTATTGACGTTATATGTTCAGATTCGTTGCGGACAAGGAATTCGCTGGCACAAGCAGTTCAAATACACGAAGCGGACCCGTACAGTTTGAGAAGGATGCACCGTCCACCAGGGAAGAGCCGGTGAGTGAGATTATGGATAATAAGAACTCGTGTTAGTCGAGAAACTGGCCGAGACTGAGATATGATAACACCCGGTTTCTGAATTGATAATTTTAAGTTGAGCACGTCTCAAACCGTACTTAAGCCATTTTAAACGTCAATTAAACAGGCTTTCGTTACTGATTTCTAATTTTTTAATGATCAGTTGATAGCAATTTGATTAAACTAGGACTTTTTGCCACATGAAACGTAAAAAACCTAAGTTATTCAGTAGATATTTGTGCTTTTCTCAATTCAGAAACTGGCCGTAACTCATTTGCGGTCTCGGGTCTCTCCCGTTCTCGAGTTCGTCTTGCCACGCGGGCATTTGTCATAATTTGTGCCATAATTATAGAAATGCTCGAAGTTATTAAAAAGATTAGGATATTATATTGCTTGGAATTATATTTTATCAATATTGCTTTCACAATGTTATACAATATTAAGAATAAGAATATTGGTTTTTTAATTTTGACTAGCTGTTTTCCCGCGACTTCGCACGCGTAATTTATAACCTATATCACCCACGGATGACAGACGTTCCCGAATTTTTAAGACGAAAAAAAAAATATTTTGGAGCCAATTCGATACAAAAAAAAAAAAGGAAAATATTGTCTCTTTATTATTTTAATTTTTCGACATCTCCATAAATAAAAACCAATTGCTGTTTGTTTGTCTCGCTAAAACTCGAGAACGGCTGAGCCGATTCAACTGATTCCGGTTTTGATTTTTTTTTTATAGTTCAGGGAAGGTTTAAACAGTGAGAGGTTATACGAAAATCCAAATATTTTTTTAAGTGAATGATATTAATATTTCAAAACGAGGAACTTCATAAATCTAAATAAATATCCTTAGTATTATTATGTAACGGTGCACATACATAAAGCAATTCAAGTAAAGGTTATATTGATTTTTTTTTGTTATACAATCAGAGTGCAGGCGTCAGCAGTAAACAGACGAGCAGCGGCGGTGGTGAGGCGGACTTCGATCCGTTCGGTCTGGATCGGTTCTTGAGCGAGGCCAAGCGTGGAGACCGCAACAGGAAACGGGACCATCATGATACCCATCACTCGCACAACAAGAAGCGACGAGATTAGAATCAAACATGGTAAGAAATTACTAAAAAACAAGTATGGGAAGGGGGGGAAATTTACAGTTAAAAAAAATGTATGATCGGTACAAGTACATTTAAGTATATCCATACTTAATATTATAAATGCGAAAGTAACTCTGTCTGTCTGTTACTTAATCACGCCCAAACCACTGAACCAATTTGCATGAAAGGTATGGAGATATTTTAATACCCAAGAAAGGACATAGGCTACTTTTTACCGCGGGAAAATAATCTAAATATAACGAATAATAATAAATAAATAATAATATAAATAATAAAATAAAAAATAAATAACTCAAAGGTGACTGACTGACATAGTGATCTATCATCGCACAGCCTAAACCACTGAACGGATCGGGCTGAAATTTGGCATGCAGATAGATGTTATAACGTAGGCATGCGCTAAGAAAGGATTTTGATCAAATTTAACTCCAAGGGATAAAATAGGGGATGAAAAACTTCGTCAATTTTAAACCGATCGGGCTAAGACTTTGCATGCATAAAGCTACTAATGACGTAGGCATCCCCTAAGAAAGGATTTTGATAAATTCCACCCTAAGGGGATATAATAAGGGATGAAACTTTATTTCAGGTATTTTACACGACATAATGAATAAATATTCGTTAGAAATGCTGCTCGAAGCAACTTTACCACGTGGACGAAGTCGCGGGCAAAAGCTAGTATCCTATAAATTGTGTCGCATCAGTACAAAATGACTACAGCTCAGTGATATTATTGCTGGTGAAGCAAAACACACGACGGGGAGGTTAACGTATAAAACTGAATAAATCAAGACAATTCACTTTTTTTTTTAAATACCATCATTGGTAATCATATTTTAGTCATAATTTATTATTCTAATCGGGAAGATTGGTAACGTAATTTAATTAAAAAATAGCTATGAATTTATAGAAAAAATCAGATCTACCGTCTTGCCCCCACTCTCGGGTAAGATGTCTGCTTTGGCGGTGCTTCATAAGAAGTTTTGCCTTTTTGTTCTATGCTGTGTCGTGTAGCCAAGGAAATGGAAATACTCGAACTGATTTTATTTAGCCGAATACGAATAGTGAAAAAGATGTAGAATACCAAACGAATATTCTCTAGTATCAAAAGTTACAAAACTTTTACATTTGTATCATGCATTATATTATGCACAATAGATAATGTAAATCCATTACCTATTCAGATATTTAATTTCATTTATATACGTTATACAATGCTGCCAGATTTCTCAACTTGATTCTATACCTTAATGCATTGATAGTAGAGTTCCAAATCGAACGTAATTTGACATGTTGTGATAACAGCCCGTGCATATGTATGTACTTAGGTAGATAATATATATTTTTTGTTCCAGATATGGCTGATGTTGAAAGCAGATGCTGCCTTATATGTAGATAAAACTAATCGTTAGTGATAAATTTGTTCAATTTATTACCTCGATCTTGGACATTGTAGTCAAACTTGATGGCTTGGTTTTTTAATTATAGTAATAAAATTATGTTAAGTGTATTAACTCGTTTTTTATTACCAAACTTCCGTTTTTCACTTATTAAAAGCAATATTGCGAGAAAGAACTTTACAAATGTAGAGTTAATATAAGAAAATATTTTTTACCAATCAACCTTAGGGAATGAAAAGTAGACCCAGTAAATTAAAGTTTTATTATCAGAGACGCCATACCCGTACATTATTGCGTTTTAAAACAGCGTGAACTTTATTGTGGTAGCGTTATATATAATACAATCACAATGGGCGCGGAGAAATCAAAAATAGTTATCTCCTTATCAGAATTTTCAGCTAACTCTTGTTAGAACGAGATAAATATACTTGCATAGCTTTACGTGTCAAATGCTGCATCCTCATAGAACACGATGTACGAAAAAATGGCCGCGTTCAATGTTTTATTATTTTTATTAAAATAAAAAAAAAAGAGTAAGTACAGTTCTTACGCATGAAACTCTATCTTGTTTGCTTTTCTCGTTTTCAATGTGTAATTTGTGTATTGTTTATTAAACAAGCAGGAAGGCATTTTTTCACAGAAAATTTCAAGTGAAAAATGACATTACCCACAAAGCTTGCTGAAACGCGACGAAAGCGAAACTTAGGCAATTGTCTAGCTTTTTTTTTTGTCAATATTGTGATAACCCATATAAACTTTTTTATACATTATTGCAGTAAATCATGGAATAGATGGATAATAAGTGGCCTGTATAATTGTTGATTGCAGCTATAAAAATCTTTGTCAATGTGGTCAATAAAAAATAAAACAACTAGATATGCCATATCCATATATCTATAAGGTCCACTCAGAAGCAAATTCGTTGAAATGGGTTTCGTATCATTCTTAGGATTTACGTTTGGCTTTCGCCGCCGACCAATAACCTCTTAATATTATGAAATAAAGGATAAATTACACACTAAATATTAACAAATCCAATTGAGTTCAGAGCAAAACTTTTCTAATGTATAATAAATATAAAGAATAAAACTACATATAGGAAATATAAAAAATAAAACTACGAAATACGTTTTCATTATATTTATTGGAATAACGATACTCTGTAACATACATAAAAGTGAAAAATACGCGAATTAATACGACCGAAATAGGCTGTACGCTTACCCAAACGTGTTAGTGAAGTAACAAGCGTGGAGGTACCATTACAACTAATAAGACACTCGTATAATACAAATATATAATGCATTTACTATATCTCCATAAGGCAAAGTTGTTGAAATTACCAATATCTCCTAACATAAGCCCTGTCAAAAACAAAAATATGAAATATCTCTTTCTTTTTTCTATAAAATTCTACAGCCATTCAAGAAAATACACAAATACATGAAACTTGAATTACATTGAAAAAATAAACATAGTTGGTTAGGAAATATTGTCCAATTGATGTAATTAAAGGAAAATGTGTACTTTTACTGGCAAAACGTGTTTATAAATCGCTACTTATTAATACTTAGTTAACCCCACCTTTTTCTTGGTTGAAAAATAAATGCATAATACTTCTGCTCAGTAGCCTGCTACTAATTGGTAATAAAAATCTTTACAAATATTGTTACGTGAAAAGTGTTTATGAAATGGCTTTTATCCTAATAAAAAATATTTTGTGATGTACATTAATAGAAAGCCGAGATCTATACGATTTTAAATTTAATATTGATAAAGTATATTCAACTATTGAAGTTTTCTTATTTTAATGGACACGTTTTTTATTTATTGTGCTCTTGTTATTAGGTAGTTTACATCATAAGATATTTTACATAATTTAGGACGTCTCAATTATAGAGAATATATTTTCAATTATATATCCATGACTTCAGATGAGAATTATCAAAGAACATTCAGCATTTCAAACCAAAACTATCTTAAAATAATATTGATGAAATAGTTAAGACTCAGATCCAAAGATACATTTCTTTATATTAGTTTTGCATAGAAATTTTGCATACAAATTATACAATGATTTGATTTCGGCATTAACAAAATTTAACAAAGACATTAATATCACAATAAACACCAACTAAAACAAAAGCGAAATTCTAATTTAACCATAGACAAACTGCCGAATGCCCTTTTGTTTTCTAAACGACAATGACATAAAAAAGAGTATTTATTATTAAAACACTTGCCTCAAGTCTAAACGTATTACATAATGGTCACAGATTCCTGTGAAGTTCTTTCATGACTATAGCGATGGGGCATACGCGTACAACTGGTTCGGCGCCTACTTGTGTTTCAGGATGGTCTGTCTCAACTTGTCGACGTTGGCGCCGGCGAACTCCTCTAGTTTCTTGTTGCTCTTGACGAACACGAAGGTCGGCATGGAGTTAATGTTGTATTCGGTGGCGATATCCTCGCATTCATCAACGTCCACCTGGAAGAAATAACAAATTATTGAAAAGACCGAAAAGACCTATCTCTTTGTGTGGCAATAAGGTTGTTAGAGACAGAACATTAAGAATCAATTAATTACTCGGAAACTATAACGATTAATTTAAAAATGTAGAACTCTAACTGCTACAATGTAATCCAATAATTTATAATTTTTTCTTATAAGGAACGGGTATGATTACAAAAGGAAATGGAGGAAATGGAAGGAAATGGAAAGGAAATGGAATGGAAAAGGAAATGGAATTTCAAAATTATAGAGTTTACTTATTTTTCAGTCTATTGATGTGTTAGTTCTAAGTTTTTGACTATAACTAACTTTAAAATATTAGTATTAGTCACAGTATAATTACATAAAATGACCAGACGGTCACCTCCACCACAAACTTATTAATAGGCTCGCATAATTTATACCAAGTAAGTATACGATACGACCTTGGTTTGTCGTGAATAGAGAATGATATTTGATAATTGTTTGTATTTCCGTTTTACGTATTACTACTTTAGTTTATGAGTACTGGATATAAATACTTTATGTTTGGGTAAGTTTATCAATCATTGAAATGAGTAGGTATTTTATTATTCATGGTGGTCGCATATAAATAAAAACTAGCAAAATTTTAATACACTACTCTGCCCAAATTAAATAACTACTACTGTGCACTTGTATTATGGAAATTCGAAGCAACGCAGGTACTACAACACCCAGAACCGAGACAATTTAGAAAAAAAAAAAATTTTGGTTTCTGTACCCAAAGGGAAAAGTGGGTCCCTGTTACTGAGACTCCACTATTCGTCTGTCGGTCTGCCTGACATAAGCTATATCTCATGAACCATGATAGCTTGAAAGTTGAAATTTTCACAGATGCGGTTTGAAAAGTTCTCGGCCTGAGATTTGAGGTTAGTATGTAAACTAATTTATTGTCATTCGACAGTTCGATTTTTTATTTAATCGTATGTCAAGTGCCATTGTATTGAGACTCGGGCAGAATATTAAGAAAAATAAAAAATGCTTATCATTTTTATTTTCTTTGTTTTCTTGGTCGGGCCAAGAACTTTTCAAACCAACCTTCGTATATTACAACAAATAAAATAAATACTACAATTATTGCTTTTCCGTTTTTTTATTATTTATTTTAATGGCACGTAACGTTTCGTGCTCGACGCACTTACACTTATACTTTTTTTTTACATTGTCCCGACCGGGAATCGAACTTAAGTAGTTTTTACACTTTGAAACCGGCGTTAATAAAATAATCAACAAACAACTTCCAATATCAGTATTTAATTACTTAATGAATCTAGTTGACTAAAAGTTTATGACGTCATAATTTAGTTATAGCAGCGCTGAATGCCGTGTCATGTCACCACCGCATAGAGCAATGTATTATTAGGTCTAACCACAATGGAATGCGGTTGCTAATCAGCTTTGTAGGAAAAACTAACGCTATGGCGCGAATGAGTAAAGAAGTAACAGCACAATGTCAAGGATTATAACGTTAAATATTTCTTAATGAAAAATGTTTAAAAAAAAAAACACTTTTGAGGATTTTTTAAGCATTGTTTTAAGAAAGCGAATATTTTTCAGTATAATGCAAAAACTGATTAAATATAATAATTTAATTTAATTAAATTCTATCACCCATTCAGACTGTGGGTAAGACACTAACGAGTCAACAATAGTTTTGAAAATATTTCTTTTCTCACGTTTCATAATTTCGTCGCTTTCTTAACGCATACGTGAAAATTACAATTATCTTTTTATCACGGTTTATGACATACAGCCTGGTGACAGACAGATGGATGGTTAGCGGAATCTTAGAAATAGGGTCCCGTTTTCACCCTTCCGATACGGAACCCTAAAAAAGGAAGAATTGAGAGAAAATTTTTCTCGTGTACATGTTATCATAATACCTACGTGAAACTGCAATGGATTGTGACATCGACCATACAATATATTAAGATTAAAATCAAGTGGGGGTTTAACAGTAAGCCTGACGTACTGTTGATTGTACAAACTTCATAGGTTCTGATGTTCGTCGGTTAAACAATTCAAAAATATAAATGAACCACATGGATACTGTTATCGGTAGAAGTTAGGTATAAAAAAAATGACACGAAGTATTCCATATCATATTTCGATAAAACTGTAATTCATATATATTTTTTTAAAATAATGTTTACTTTAGGAGGTTGATAACAAATGGTTGTATGTATGCAAAACCATAACCAGTAGCGTAGGAATTAATTGAATATCTTAAAAACTTATTTGATAAGAGGACTAAAGGCCGCCTAAAGATTGTTAATGACAGAAGAGAAAATGTCAAACTGAGACCTACTGACTTATTGTGGTCGGAAATGGTTTAAACGTGGCTCTTAAGTAAGTCCTCGCTTCATAATAAGACGTATTGAGTCTGGGAGTAAAGACTAAAGAGAAACCATGAAATCAAGGATATAAGTATATATTTTTTATTAATTACGATTATAGCCCGTAACTCCTTCTGCTACAAAGTGAATTGCACATTCGTTAAGTTTCCTTATAATACTAAGTATAATTACCACAAAAATTAGAAAAACATTTGAATTTTAGGGGTAACCTTGTGTTTTTTTTTTATATGGAGCGAATTTTATAAATTCCCGTTTCAGCTATGACAGAACCCTTAGAAATATGATATAGTTGCCTCATTTTTAATTACAGTTTATTTGGACGTAATTCCTTTATACAAAAGCAGTTGAAAGTTAATGTTGGGTATACGCGCCCTCTTAAGCTCCGAATGCGTAATCGGTAGACAAATAGATGGAATCATAACGTTATCGTACAAGACATGGAAAAAGAGATATGTTATCAAAATACACTCGTTTTATTAAATAGGTTATAACGTTGACATTATTACACCGTCTGATAATTTTAAATGTCGGAACTTTAATAAATAAGTTTCAAACGTATTCCCAACACCACATAAATCAATAGCTCCTATAGTATACATAGATAAGTGTCAGTGTGGGCTATACACCGTTCTAAATTATAATAGAATAAATATTTGTAATTTATATAAATTGTATATTTAATACATTAAAAGAATTTTAAATGAAGATCTTGTTGTAAATGTAAGAGAAACTCTTTCGAACGACATTTCGAATTTTGCGTTTCCCATACTCTGTCTCTAGCCTTTCATTAACACATGTGTCCTCTTATTACGAAATAAAACTATATGATTGTATGCCTCGTAACTGATCCATCTTGTATGATGTGTAAGGCCGACAGATCAATTGTCAGTAACAAAATATTTCGCCAATTATCTCAGGGTTAAATACTCTTCTTGCAGCACTTATAGCTGGAGGCCAGGCCTTATACGGAATATGTCTCTAGATACAATTAGAATAGAAAACGCCTATGCCAATCCTAGATTAACACATGTTGGTCTACTGGCAGATCATTCTAGGGTTAGTAGCCGCAGTTCAGGGTAACGCTCACTTCAATAGTCCAGTCAAAAACGAACGTCTCAAAAATAAACACCCGAGATAAGTCTATGTCTATCGTAAATGCAATCTATATCTAGAATGTAGAGTTAAAAAAATCAACTTTAATTTTATCTTAATTGTACAAATAAAATATCCATTTATTTTTTAATGTCAGGATTTGCGAAAGGAGTGTTATCCCAGATCTTTTCAATTTTTCATGGTAATACTAGTCGAAGTGCAAGTAGTTGATAGCGCTGAATTTTATATACCTTGAGTACGACGATAGAGTCCGCCATCTCTCCAGCCATCTCCTCTAGTTTGGGTCCAATCATCTTGCATGGTCCGCACCAGGTCGCCATGAAGTCGATCACCACCAGCTTTTCGCCGGCTTCGGTCAGCCTGTTCTTCAGATCCTCGGCGTCTTTAATGTGGATTGCCATTGTATTGCTGTGAACAAAATGATTAATCACATATTACGCTTTATACTAATAATTAACATCCTGGAATTGGCTTAGGCTATCATCAGTATCAAGCTCCATATCAGTTTTGCATAATCAGACGAGTTTCTGGAAGTTATGAAAGTATCTAGCTTAACAGGAATCTGTAAATTTTACAATTTATTAATGAGAACATACGTCCTCAATAGCTTCCGAATCATCATGAAAAAGCAGGTGCGATTCTGACCTCAAGAAAGTTTGTGGTCACAGACACCGGACAGCAGACCAATGCGCATTTGGCTATGAATTCCTGCTCAAAATAGCGCATTCCAGCAAAGGAGATATTTACCAGTATATTTGAGTCATTGATCATGATTTGTACAGTATATGGAGTTCCACGTGGGCAATCAACTCGGTATACCATAAAACGTGAGGTCATAACTCTATTAGGATTAAGGGTATGGCTATGACGAATGATCCGGCCTTGAGAAAAAAGTATATATTAACCCTGAATAGGGTTGCCAACAATCTGGACTGCCTTGGGATTGTCTTATAGGAATGACTCGATAAAGTGAAAATAACAAATTCTCGAACGACTCATTCGACGATTATTCGGTATCAGCAGATAACGCATTCGTGTGTCATCGATGTGAGTAGATTTTCGAAATAAATTTAAAATAACAATTTAAACAAAATTATAAGAATGATTCCAGTTTTCATTCGATGTTAAGAATAATAAGTTTTCAGTGTCATGTTGATTCGTACGAGTTATAGAAACAATGAGCTTTCAGGCTGACACACGAAATATGTATGTAGGAATATGGTGAAGTGACCGGTTTCACAGAGATTATTGCTTGCCTGCTTTTCCTGTTTACAACTTCATAAGCCATAATGTTTCACTGAATAACATTACTTTATATTTGTTGCTTGGTAATTCACTTTACAAGATATCACTTTCATCTACTGAAATGAGTTATATGTAACTTAAAATTCCAAACCGAAATATATTTAAGGTACAGATTATACAAAATGTCAAATGTTAAACTTTAATTCATTGAGGAAAAAAATGAAAATCGATTGTGTTAATTCGACATATAAATTATAGTAACGTATCTGTTTATTTTGTTATTAATAATAAACTTTTAAACATTTATTTAGGTAATATTGTCAAACGATTCAATTACGATTAATTAATGCGTTAAACATATTTATACGTATTTACAACAATCAATAAATGCATGTCTATGTATCGACGCGTTAATGGTATTAGATTATACCTATTGTCGGAATTTGAAGTTTCCTTGACCTCGGTTGTCATCACACCAATATATAATTTGTTAAATACATACATTTAATAATATTATGTTCTACTAGCTTTTCACGCGCCGCTTCGCCCGCGTAAATTAGGTTATTATTGCCACCATTAAAGTTATTATTCATGATAAAAACTCCTATGGCTTTCTCAAAGTCCACTATGTCTGTTTTCATTAAAAACGATTCAGTAGTTAACACATACACACAGACTTATTTCGCGTTTATAATATTAGTAAGAGTAGGTATGGATTTAAGAACATGATAATGTTCTTTTTATACAAATTATGACACATTCGCAACGTCGAATTACAGGTTTTAATAAAATATTACATACATTCCTCAGATTCCAAGATGTGTAGCTGACGCCCTACTATGGAATATCTGAACCAATGATACTTTTAAAGGTAAAACTTGTTATGTGACATTTAGGTATTACAACTACTCTTATATTATTAAGTTATTAGGTCATGAAGAGCATGTCAATTCTCATTGAACACGCTCACGAAATACTGTAAAGCATATTACTGTTGTCATTTTAAAAATAAAAATACCCAAGTTCTAAAAACTGTTTTGTATTTTTAAATATCAAAACTTTTAAAAATCAAAACCTTAAGTAACTAGTTTAAAATATGGCAACGGAAAATAAATCCATACTGTATGACGCTTAATATATATAAAGTGCAAAAAAATGTTGTTTATGAAGCAATAAAGTAGTGTTTTCCTGTTCGCAGAATAAAATGTAATTTTTATTTTTTTATTACTGAATATCAATCTTGCGTAAGCTCTGTACAATGCTATTCACAATTATCAAATAATGTCACATAATCGTCTTGTTAATAAAGCTTTAATTACATTGGAGTCATAATTTACAAGATGATAATAGTGACGAATGACAATTATTAACATTAATATCACTTCGTTAAAACAATGATAAATTATTATCATTATTTGTGTTATTATTGTTACAAGTCAATACAATGAGATTTACAACGAATGTAATATAATATTAGATTATTTTTTTACTTATGTATGACTTTTAGGCAGATAAGATTTTTTAACAATTTATTGTATTATTTTTTAATTTATAAAACTCGTACAAAATAAATTTTGATTTGACAGAAATATACACAGTAAGAAAAAGCAGGCAATTAAGATCTCCAATCCGCATTAAGATAAGAAAAAAAAACGATCTATGACTGACCGAAAGGTTAGGTATTAGTATTTTTGATAAATAATTTTATTATTATAATCTCAATAAAACATTACAAAATACCTAAATCATGTTAGTGTATTCAGTGGAGTGATAAAAAATATCGACAGTCCCGCGTATACCTGGACGGATGGTAACCCTGCTCAATACGCATGATTGTTTTTGGACGACCTTGAAGTCTAGTTTGTTTAAAAAGAGGTACACAACGTATGTATATAATAATCATTGGGAACACACAAACAATGGTAATGTCAATCATAGTATGTATGTAGTATGTAATAGGTCTATCATCACCTGTTTGGACACGTATGAGGATAAGTTAGATTAAATGGATACATGCCCACAACTATCGCATAAAACTGTACAAACAATGACTCTTAAACGCTAAGACTGAAGAACCAAAACATAAGTCATTCAGAGTCACGATAAAATAAATGACATCAAGTGTTTGTAAAAAATACGCTTTTGCAGTAATCAATACTTGGAAAATACCGTGGTTACGAAATGAATTTTGATCGGAGAGGATAACAGCACCCGAAGTGTTCCAAGTGGCCAGTATAAAAAAAACAAGGTTCTTAATTCAAACGCAACAAAAAAGATTGGCACTCACCAGAATTAAAAACTAATAATATCACAGAATAAACGTTAGCCTCTCTATAAAACGAGTTAAGGCAACGGCGGCGGTCTACAGACTGGCTCGAAGAGAACCTTGCTTGCAAGGCTTGAGTGAGCTAGGGTTGCGAACAACATTTCAGGTAAATCGTTATTTTTCGAATATGTCACTGAAAATATATAGATATTATAGGCGTTAAGAACTTAATAGAACTCTATTAAAGTTATAAAAATATACAAAACATAAATAAAATACTAACAATAAAAAAAAACAGACCCTACTAGAAAATCTACATATCATAATTTCTTCAACTGCATTCGGATATTGATTTACTTACTAAATTGCATCCAGTCACGCAGTATAGCAAAAAGTCATATATTAATTAACTATAACATTAACAAATTAAAGTTCCGTTGTCAACCCTAGAGTGCTTAATCATAATTGGCGCGCTTTCCATAATGGCGCCCAACGATGACATCAGAGAAGAGATATCTGAATCATGATTGTGAGAATATCGTTTTTATCTATTTAATATTGTGTAAAAATGTAGCAACAGTTTTTGCTCGTCACCACGACTCATGGCAAAGATCACTTCTAAGCGCATAGTAATAACGCAACTATTTACTTCGTAGCTTTGTGGAATAATGACGTCATCAATGACGTGGAACAGGGCTTCAGTTCTGCTAATTTTTAAATAATAATGCCATCTCAACAGAATTATTTTGAACAAAAACTGTGTCATAAAGGGTTGTAGTTGAAGCGCTATTGACTTTCCATAATTACGCTGACTTAATTACGCTACAGAATTGTCCAACAAACAGTTCGCTGTCAGCGAAAGCTTTTGTCTCTACACAAAACGTAGACAAATTTTTCGTTCGACTGCTTTGGTAGATTGCCTGAATATTTATAGTAATGTACTCACTATTAATGAAAACAACATTGTGCTTTGGAAATTCGAAAGTCTCCCTAAGCTCTTGACTAGCTCAATTGGATAATAAAAGTCGTCTATATTCTGACAAGTAACACTTTCGCTTCTCGTCTTATTTTAAGTATTTTCCAAAGAAAGATAACGGAAAAGGTAGGAAGATGAGGGATGAAAGATTAAGGGGCTTGGAAGCATCAAACCGAAACCAAGGGAGAGGCAAACCACAGCAAAAACTGGAATCGACGGTACAGAATAACAAGGGATGGTTACAAAAAGGAAAAATAAAATCACAGCGAAAAAGAAGTATAGTGCATTAACATGTGAAGGTGGCGGTGTCCTAAAACATGTTTAAGGGTCAGTGCAAATAACGATATGTCGCATCGCGTTATTAGCAGCGGTCGCGTAACCGAGTAACAATGAACAATATAATGACATTCAACCTTGCATATTTATGATCCCTTGCCCTTATAAACAATTTCCGTGGGGATAAAAATTAATCAGAAGTAGGTTGACTAGCATATTTATAACTTTTGTGGACACACTTGTTTCTAGATATTACTCTAAACATCCAAGGTATGATCAGATTACAATGAACCCAGCAGAAACATAAGCATATAAAAGTAGTTAACAGTTAAGCTAGAAACTCTCTCAATGGGCAGTGGTCCCGTTGTACAAGACTTCTAATCTGTTAGTTAAGAGCCAGTTAAAAATTCATGAATGATTTATTTACACCACTGCAACATCTAGACATTCAGGTGAACTGCATATTGGCTTTGATTTCATTGGCATTAGATTTAACTAAATGCACTTGAACTTCAATAAAATTCAAGCTAAATAATGGTATTTATTTATTTATGATTTATAGCCTAATGAGGATGCATATATTTTATTCAATAAGTTTGCCAAACCACAATAATATATTCTGTACTTATGGTTATGAAACTTTTTTGGTGATGGAACATTTTCAGAAAATATTAATGTTGAGCCCTCAAAAAATTTAACTTTATTTCAATTCCAATAAGATTGATGACTAATCAAGTTGTTCATTAGGAAAATTATTGAAGAATGCGAAATACTTATTTACTGAAAATTATTGAAGAATGCAAAATACTTATTTATTGTATTATCAATAAATTATGGCAATACATTGAGTTGAATTGTTGCATCTTTGTAAATTTTCTACAATGTATACAAAGATGAGCAGTGAGGGTGTGCTTGTGACATAGCAATCCTCAGTCTCATCTTCAATGCATATTATCTAAGCGGTTTCTTGTAAATTGAAGCAAATAAAATATCTGACTAACAGACCAAATATAATTTATTTTTTTATAACCATCATCCTTATTAATATTGCAATAACCCGCAAAACCCAAATTGTTCTTCAGTGCAAAAAAACTTATATTTCTTTCGATAAAAAATCTCTATAAATGTCCATTGTAACAAATAAAGTGTTCCTTAGTCAATATACACCGAAATAAGACATTTTTTTTTGGAAAAATATAAAGATTTTCCACTCTAAATATCCATTTTGGTTTTGAGAGTTACTACGTGTTTGCTTTCCAGCGTCGAAATATTTTCATAGATTTCCCAAGACATGCTTAGCAGAACCGTGGGGCTTACTGTTTCACATACATTTAGCACACTTTGTGAATGTTTTATATTGTTTTTGGTGGCAAACGTTAACACTTACTTATCTCAACATCACCCCAAGGTTAACTGGTAGAGAATGGCTCACGCATCAAGTCTATTGTTGCACATTTGTGCATGAAGAGTTAAATAACAAATAAAATGTTGCTCTGAAGGATTCAGATCTATGCACTTTGGTAGCAGCCCCAATAGGATTGAATGTTTTGATTCAATTCAATGCCAATAAAATTAAAGTTTTAAGTAGTTAATAGAGTAAAGTTAGTAATATCATCCTTAATATAAAATTAATTTGAATACACTGATTATTAAATTTAGAGCACATATCCTCAAGAATTTAAATAAAAGTACTTCAAGTTAACACTTTTTAAATAGGTTTATTTTCTAGTTTTGTCACGGAAATTAATTCATTATGTATCTACTGTTAAAAATGAGGCAAATTGCGAGGTCAATGACCTCAGTGTGCTCTAAAACTTCATGATTTAGGGGTTATACTTAGTAACAGAATGGTGGGTAAATTATACAAATACTTTCATTTACATAATGGAGGAGTTCCTTTGCCGTTAATGGGTACCATTAGCACACAAACCGAAGTACTATTTCATTGAGACCAACCTAGTTTCAATGAACTTAATCTTCATACATACAGACATGCTGAAACGATACCATAAATATTTGCCAATAAGTAGGTAAATAAACCATGCATCATTGCAATTATTGTGTATTAAAATAAAATAAGATGCCAAGGTTTATCAGGAAAAATCAATGGTACCAATGACTTTCAAGGTCGTTACTAAACCAAGAGTGCGTTTGCAATTCGCAATTGTAATGTAAATAATTAATAATAATAATAACAAACGAAAACTTACATGTTTAGAAGACGAGTAAATTAACTAACGCTGTAACACGCGACGAACACAAGCTACAAATTCCAAAACTGTAGAAAATACCGGAACAGTCAATCAAATCAATTCTGACGTCACCATACAATCACAGACTGAATTTCTTTCTTTCTGCCGTGTCAGTGTTGCCAAGGCCAATTTTAAGTTTGCCGTGAAAGTTGTATGAAAAAAGCCATGTCTTGTTTGAGCTAAGATTGTAGTCAACTAAAAGCATGTAATGTAAGCTGTAATATTATTATGTATATACGAGGACTTCGTCAAATATATCTGTCACAGCTGATTATTTTTTCGTTAATTCAGTCTCCATATAGAAGTCTCCCATAGTAGAAGTTGTTCAGTATATTTAACTCATCCACCCCATATAATGTAATTATATCTTAAAATAACGTTTCACGATAGTTTTAAGACGTAGATGCCTTTTTTAAACAATTCTTTTTTAAAACTAAAACGAAATTGTTTTGTCTAGTATGATGACATAGCGCTAGCATCTCGGTATATCGCGATATCAGAATCCGGAATACAAGCGATCCAACATCGGAGTAACATTATTTGAGTTTTTAAACAATTACACGCCAAACATTGGTATGTGCTTTGACGTAATTGGGAACCAACCTGTGAGGGAATCTTAATAAACAAGGTAGGAATTACACTTACACTTAAAAAAAAAAACAGAATCTTCCTCCTGTTCGGACGTAAAATCATACCCCCAAAAGAGAAAATTCTTTCTACTAGTGCTAATCTGGGTAAAGAGGTGTTGTATTTTGGAAAAAAAAAATTTTGTAGTATCGTCGCATTTAATGCCGCCAGATTTGAGTTTCAGCTTTTTTGTTCTGAAGTGCTTGAAGATCGATCGTTGACTTTGCACCTTCCAAAACGTTTTCTGATTTTGCACCCTACACTAAAATATTACACGTATACCTCATTCTCATCTAGTATTTTTGCTTATATTATAATCTTCGATTATAATAACACAATAGAGTACAATTTTGTAGTTAGGCAAGTGCAAATTAAATCGGAAGGGTTGTCATGTCATTGTCATTATATTGCCATTTACCTATGTAGAGTACGGATACTAAGGATATGAATATACGCACTTAAAAACGCGCTGAAGTTACTGAGGCCTAGAGTAATATTTAAACCTGTTATTGATTCAACTCTTATTTCTAGCGAACCCTTTTAATAACCGGTTAAACGGAGCATAATCTTTTATATAAAATTCTGCATGTACTTCAAACCTATTTAAAAAATAAAATTGTTTCTAAGGTCTGCTAATGGTAGGGTTGCCAGATGGTCGGAATTCGTCTAGATTTTCCGAACATTTCGTATGACGCCCAGAATTCCGAAAAAAAAAACATATATATATAAACCATAATAAGTAGATATATTAGCTGTTTAAATGTAATATTATTATGTGATCTTATTATTTGCTAAAAAGTAGATACTTGTTATTATTTTTAAATGTAATTAATAAAAAGTGGATTTCATATTAGTATTTTTTTTGTCCCGACTCTTATCTCAAAATCCAGGCGTTTTCATATTTTGCCCAGATGTTTTAGTCTCCCCATCTAACAACCTTAGCTAGGGGGTATGTCGTTTTGTTTTTAACTGTTTTGTTGTTGGGATGCGAACTGGACGCCCGTGGGAGCGGTGGCGGTGGCGAATAAGGCGCGGTGGGCATCGTGGTGGGCATCGAGCAATGACCAACGCGCGCCTATTGAGCGGCGAAAGCGCGATTGAGTGATAATTGTGTTTTTTACTACAGTTCTAATATATTTTTAAAACGTAATCAACATTTACATCAGTAAAATTAATAAACAAGTAATTAAATATAAACATTTCCCAAATGTGAAATCAATTTATATTAAACACATAAAATGAAACGAGCGATCTAACCAATGTCATCAAGAACAAGCCAATTTCCTCGAGCCGCTGTTGCCACCGCCACCTCTGGCTGTCCGGACGAGGCCTTAATGACAGTATAGTCTTTAATCAGACACTGCGTGACACCTAGTTCATGTAAGTGTTAGACATTTTATCTATTAAACGTTTTTTTTTTCATTATATTTTGTATAGAAATAGTCTGTCTTAAACTAGTCGTGATTCCAATCTGCTCAGTTTTGTAGTCTAAAAACCGTAGAATACGGCAATAGTTATAGCAATAGCAACACTAGCTAGTGTTGCCAATACTATCCCATCAGCAGCTTTTTATAATATTAAGATTTTATAGTATTATGATTTTGCCAGCCTGATACTGGGGCCAGAGGCAAGTGTCCCTACTTGTCCTCCCTTCACCTTAGAATCGGCCCTGCAATAAAATTTCCAATAAAAATATATCCTTAGGGAATTAGTCGGTTTTATCAGCAATACTTGCGACAAATGTGATCGACCACAAATTATTTTAAAATGTTTTAAACTTTAAATTATTTGAAAATGTTCGCTTAAACTTTGTAGATAGGTCTGGCATCCATATTTAATTAATATAAAGTACACACACGCCAGCTTACCACAATATGTCAAACTTCAATGAGGAAGTATTTGAAAAAAAATAAAGAAACTACTATAAAATATGGCACTAGATGGCAGCACAAATTCTTGGTTCTAAACTTCACTTCATAACGTTAAACCAAAGAGACAGATACTAAAGAGATGCAACAAGTCATAAAAATGATTATTATAATAAAAAATCCGTTTATTTTCTATATAGTTACCCGATATGTATCAAATATAATATGTATTCGTGACTATGTATACATGACTTGTGGCTAAAATTACGTTTGTGCAAAGTGTAACGTGCAAATAACTTGTGTTTTCGAAATTAAGACTTAAAATAACTATGATCAATTATTAAATCTTATATTCATAATTAAATCATCTTCATAAACATTCAGCAATCAACAAGAAACGTCTGTTCTAAACGAACAGCAAGGTTATAACTTTAAATTTCAAAATCACAAAGACACTTACAGTTATTATACTATTTCTACTAATCTAGCATGTTGACGGCGGACGTCGAGCCATGTGTTAAGTTAATTCGTACGGTTGGTATGTGCTTTTTGGTTTTTACAATAATATTGTTAATAATAGATTGACTTCCTACACAACCTACTCTAGAAATCAGTTTTATTGAAATATATTATTTACTAAGTACCTAGAGTAGTCATGCTATCTTAAAATATTATTATATATTGCATTCTGATTTTTTTCAATTAAAATAGTCGTCATATGACCGCAAGACTAAAAATAAGGTACATTTATAGAATAACAAAATGACTATATAAAAAACTAAATAAATAAATCAGTAAAATCAAATGAAAATTAACTAAGTGTAATAGACATTTTTTTTTAATTAAGTTAAAAGCAATTGTCAAAAATTCTTACCAGAGTATTTGATTGGCAATGCATCATCTCGTAATTTTATTATATTTAAAGTTCGATTCAAACAACTTTACCTAAAATGAAGTGAGCAGATAAAAGTAACTTTTTCATTACATTTAATATTTTCTGCTTCAATGTAACTCGGCCATTTTCCTCTTTTGTTTCATCTTTTGGTAATCTAAAATAATTAATATATTTTTAAATATTAAAATTATCGATATAAACCATATGTTAAAGTAACAACACTAGCCATGTAAACAATATTATTTACGGACCGAAATATTATAAAAATATAAATGAAAAGAGCAATATAGCATAAATAGAACACGCCAAAATGCGATATGTATCGATTTATACACGCAATCATTTTCAGAATAACTTACTTACGTTTTAAATACTGTTATTCCAAGAAAGTGTTTAATTTACCGGTGAAACGTAATATTGCTCGGTTTGCGGGATATCGATGACGCACAACCAATTACACAGCACCGAGGCATTGTTTTGCATAAATAATTTACAATTTTCTGCCATGAAAGTTATATAAATTAAAGTTAAAAATGAAAATAACCACAAAACTTATAACACTGACAGCTGAACTACTTCCGAGAATACGCACAGCAAATTTGCAAATGGCGGACAGGTGGTACGATAGCTATATCTCATGACGTCACGTAAAAAATTTTGAACTGTCACACTAGTGCGATCTTTGTTTACTAAAGAAACTTCTTATTAGTTAAAAAAAGACAACATGATGTTTTCGATGTCAACTTCAGATTGCATGATATTTATATAACCATAGAAAATATTTCCACTCTACCTTATCTCTATGGTATAAACCAAACATCGTTCCTTTACATGTAACATAGTAAACAACTTAAACTTACGATTAAAATAAATTTGAAAGTTAGATATTAGAAGAAACATAAAACAATGTCATATTTATTAATTTTCGATACTCAATTTACTTTTATTACGTCAGAAACAAAATTTGAATGAATATCGTAAACAAAATCCAAACACCACGAGTGACATCTAGTATTTCAAGAACTAATTTTTATTTTTTAAATACTTCCTCATTGATTTTGCACTCCACCATTAATGTGAATATGTGTATAATCAAGTGAAAAATCCTGAGTTTTGTAAATCCTGACATGCTATTATATTGATTATACATGCCTGATTTTTTTTAAAGCTAAATGAGGAAGTATTAAAAAAAAAACAAAAGAACTTAAAGCACCTCCACTAGATGACTATAGCAAAAGTAGATTTTTTGCAGGAAACGAATGGACCAAAGACAGTAATTTCCGTTCCTATTAACTAACATTTTAAAAGCTTAAATTTGAAAAGTTCGAATCTTAGATATCAATACAAATACGAAAAAGTACAAATTGAATATGAGTTGTTTACTGAGTTTTGAAAACTAATTTACTTTTAAACATGAAAGAAAACCGGAAAGGTTGTCATGGAGAAATCAAGAACGTACAGTGGCGATATCTAGTTAGATTTCCGGAACTAATGTTTTTTTAAATAGGAACTTCCTCATTGCTGCTTTTCCTTTTCAAAGAATGGCAACTCTAACTAGCTTGCTACATATTAATAATCTGTGACTCTAACCCTGACTTTCCGTTCTCGTACATTCCGAAATTCCGAAGTCGCTTTGGTGTTTTGACGTCGTAGTAATTTTTTGCGGCGCTATTTGTAACGGTGTTTTTTGTTACACGATAAGTTCTGTAAAAATATTGAAATATGTCTCTTGATATATCTGCAATAGGTGCTCAAAAAGTTAAAAGCGTTGCTAATGGCGAGGTAAACTTTTATATTTACAGTAAATAAACCGGTTGATCAAATTTTATTAAATATGTTTAAATAATTGAATCAAAGTATGAATATATATATTTTTTAATTTTCTATAACACAAGGTTAAGAAAAATATTGAAGAAAAAAACGTTTCCATCTAGACTTGTTAACTGAAAAGTTCCAAAAAGTTTAACTTTTTGCCGGTATTTTCGTAGTGTTATTCCGCTATATAGAAAGTCAAATTCTATGGAATGACTCATAAGAATAAACATGTAATTATTGATTAATTAAGTACAAGTAATTGGTATTTCTTTTTTAAAATGTTTATAATTTGTCAATTTTTCAATTAGAAATGTATTCTAATTGGAAAGTGTTTTTCAACACTACTATTGTTTTTATTTACTTCAGTTTTATTATATTTGTATTTATAAAATGTTTAGCTTATTTAATATAATATTTAAGTTAAGTGTTCTGTGTGTCTTGTAGAATGTTACATTTTTTTCTGTTGCCTTTATTTTTTATTTGGATATAAATGTGAAATAAGTACAACCTGATATAAAATAATAAGCTTATTCAAAGTTTATGTCTTTATTTAGTTTAAATTTCACAATATTTTATTGAAGATTTAAGTTATCATTGTTTATTCAATGTGAGATAAATACCTTCTACAGTTGTTGTGAAAAATCCCACTTATATTGGTGATAAGAGCTACTTTTACCATTTAATATAAACAATATGTGTATCAATAACTTTTAGCCACTTGAAAAGAAGATTAAGATAACGGTGCCAATTCGATTTTACTACTCTTCCATAGCCGAGTGGTTCACACCCCGGTTTTAAGATGTCACCGTCTCAGAGGTCCCAGGTTCGATTCCCGGTCGGATCAATGTAGAAAATGCTCTTTTGTCTTGGGTCTGGGTGTTGTGGTACCTTCGTTATCTCAGATACTCCATAATACGGGGGCTTTAGCTATTTATCTTGGAATTTGAGCAATGTATGTGATGTTATTTATTATTTAAACTAAACAAATAATATAATTATCAGTTCATTTTTGTATTGAACTGTTCAATACAAAAATGTGGTTGTAATTGAAGTGTATTTTCTTTTCAGTCTAGAGAGTTGAAGAGCTTTTGGGAAGAGCAAAATGTTGCTATAATCTTCTTTCGTCGATGGGGGTGTACATTGTGCAGGCTGTGGGCCAAAGAGGTAATTAAATGCTTGGGGGCTGGTGTAGAGTAGTCTTCTTGGATCCCTGGTGCTTCTCCCAAAAGTGAGGGTGCATCAGAAGTGGTTTAGTAGGTATGTTATATGCGTTTTGACCCCCACATCTCCTACCACACCAAAGGTGATGTGAATCTTAATCTATGACATATAAATACTGAAAATGATGAAGAATAGTTTTTAATTGTGGGACCAGTATCCCGCAGTATCCAGGATCCCGCAAGAGAGCTCTGGCCCAGTAGTTTTGTAGAATACAATGACATGAATGGATGGAGAATACTCAATTTAAATCTATTTCCATATCCATCATATATCACATATATCAAAAAAGTTTTGCTGACCCACAACATAATAACTATGTATATCACATATACATAGTTATTATGTTGTGGGTCAGCAAAACTTTTTTCTATTCATTTTCTAATTTGCCTTCCAAAACTGGTTTATTAACATGATATATAGAATGAAATAAAAAAATATTTTTGTATAACAGGAAAATATAATGGCTCGAAGGACCAATGAAAAATATGTTGGAAATGGTAACTTAAGACAATTCTTAATGAAAAATGTAAAAAGATCCACTCTGTCCCTAGTACCCGAACCCATGAACACTGAGCTCCGCAGGACCTAACAGGACTGACGAATTTTACAAGCACTTTTCACTTTTTCGCTACTATAGAGTGTATTTTCATCAATGTTGCAAACCCAAACAACCGAAAGAAATATATTTATAAATATTAATCTAGCGGTGGGTTATATCAGATTGAAACTAAACATCGATATTCAATATCGAATTCTGAAACTATATACATATTGTAACTGTATATATTTTTTTAAATACATGTGTGAATCAATCTGTGTCCGATAACTTCAAGCCATTATGAATACAATCGAATGAATACAAAGAACCAGCAAAAAAAATCAAGCAACTTCACTCTTGTTAATTTAGCACGGGAAAATAAACGGGCGTGCGATTAACTAGCTTGCTCATTCACAAGCATGCTCTTTTCGTATGCTTCGTGTTCTTTACAAAATGAAGTGTATTAAAAAACGTGCTAAAATACACAGAAAAGTATGGAAGCAATCTTAACTCTAATACGCTAAGGTTTTGAATTCTAAGAATATTTGAATATTGCTATTTCACCCACTCACAAATCCAAATTGCATTTGGATCTGTTTGATTTTATTACGATGGGTTTGATATCCCATATCTATAAATATCGGATATCGATCGTGATACCTAATTCGACGTATCGCTTCGATGAAGCAATATAGTATTTCAAAAAATATACATAACTAGCTTTTCCCCGCGACTTCGTCCGCGTGGTAAAGTTTCTTTGAGCAGCATTTCTAACGAATATTTATTCATTATATCGTGTAAAATACCTGAAATAAAATTTCATCCCCTATTTTATCCCCTTAGGGATTAGAATTAATCAAATTCATTTTTTAGGGGACGCCTACGTCGTAGTAACCTTATGCATGCTAAGTCTCAGCCCGATCGGTTTAAAATTAACAAAGTTTCATACAAACTTTCATCCCCTATTTTAACCCCTTGGGGGTAGAATTGATCAAAATCCTTTCTTAGCGGATGCTTACGTCATAACATCTACCTACATGCCAAATTTCATCCCGATCCGTCCAGTGGTTTGGGCTGTGCGTTGATAGATCACTATGTCAGACAGTCACCTTTGAGTTATATATATTTAGATGTATATTTTTATGTATGTAACTAAATTATAGTTTCTGTGCGCATCGATGTCGGATATAACGATATTGATACAATATACATTTCAATATCTATATACGATTTGCATCGCCCACTCCTAGTCCCATCTACCATATCAGAGTACCAGGTACAAAATGGTTACTTTAAGCATTTTTTGCTAAGAATATTTTTCAATATAACATTGTGAATGCAAAATTGCTAAAATATAGTTAGTATGTAGTATTTTTTGTTTTAAAAAACATGTTATATTTGAAAGTTTTTATATTATATAATCTATGGATTACAATAAAGGTCAATGTTTGTTGCGAGTACAACTAGCAAGTTTATTGAAATATGACGTAACTGGAACGTAGCTTGAAACGTCACGTGATTGTTTGTTTTATCGAGACATTTTAAATTACGTATGGAAAATTACAACGTCATCACGGGTGACATAGGCTATAAATTACGCGGGCGAAGTTACGGGAAAACATCTAGTTTGGGTATAAAAAAAATGTTTACTGTTTGTGCTAGCGCTGCTTTTTGGTCCCATCTTACTCCTAATTCAATGAAATTATATCGACCAAGCGGTCACCTTCGGTAATCTTGTTAGTTTATATGTACATGCGGCTACACAAAAGGCTACCACAATATGTCAAATTTCCTCAATTGATGTTGAAACCTACAATAATAAGTTCGTAACAGTCGATTAAAATGCTACAATATTTCATCTTAATATAAATATTTTAACATCTTATCCTATCTCAGACGTTTAAGATAAGATATTATTTTGAAACCCTTTAAAAATATATATTTCTGTATCTTATGACTCTATCATAACCTACGAAATATATATTTCCGTTTCGCTTGGCATCTTAAGATACTTTATATTTTATTATATTAGCTGTATGTCTTGGGCTATTGGAATGGACATTTTATCATAAGATATAATATTAAAGCATCTTGACCATCTGTTACGACCTTTAAATTTAAATCAAGTGGAGAAATTCAAATTTTGTATGGCCCGACGTGCTGTCACCTGTACAATATTTATACCTTTAAATGAAATGCCGCAGGTTCAATAAATAATTGGAGAAGTAAATTGCCCTTTAGCATATGTTAGTTTCAGGAACGAAATTGATATGACTTTGAGTTGAAATGTAATTTGAATTGTTTCAATTATATAATTGGATCAATATTGTTTGGATATTTTCTCGTTATTTTATTGTAATTAGGTACAGCATTTTATTGGAAAAGAAATTCTGTTATATAAAATTATTTCAAGAATAATTTCTATAGAAGAAAATCACAATGTTACCCTCAAAAGTTCAATGGGTGATGTCTGGGTAAATAAAAGAAGTTCTATTTAGTCCGTTAGTCATATAATATCAAAATATTAGATACGTATTTTTTTTGCCTCATTATAACAAGAAAAAGAATAGGCATTAAACTTGAGGAGTGGGGGCTGGATACGTCACAACTATACCTAAGGTGTCAAAGATGTAATAGGCTAGTTGACACCTTTTTTATTTTATAAATAAATATTCCATTAATATCTGAGAAATAATGTAACAGCACGTACGCGGTTCATAGTTTTGGTGATATGGTGCTGTGTTTGTGGAATTGTTGCTTGTCGGCCGAAAACGCTCCATACAAATTCAAGGCACTAAGTGACGTCACACGGTGCTACGGTAGCAAAAAACCTATGGGCGCCTGGACAATCTTTGTTATTTGTGCGTTTACGCAACATAATAATTGTTTTAATGAAAGTCGTAACGTTTTATGTGACTAATTTAATGCCATATGTAAATTTAGTATATTATAATAACTATATTTTTCAAGTTTTCGAAGCGTAATATTTTACAAATTAGTGTCATAATATTTATAAGTTAAAATGGTTCATATATTCCGAACAAACAAAACAAACCTGCATTTTCACTAATGGGGCGCAAGCCTATTCCGTAATTTATTGATTACGAAAAAAATACGAGTTTAATATTCTACAACATTTTACCTGACGGATAAACAAAAAAAAATTCATCATGCCTATTATATTTTTTTACATAAGGTTTAATTTTATTTCAGCTAGGTGAAATAGCTCCTGTTTTAGAAAAGCACAATGTGAAGCTAGTAGGCGTTGGTGTGGAGGAGGTTGGCTCCAAGGAGTTTGTCGATGGCAATTACTTTGATGGAGGTTGGTTATTATTTCAATTACCTATAATAGAAAAAAGTGCCTAAGTGCAAGTTTAACTTGTGCAGAGGTACAATATCCTTTCAAGTTGGAGATTTTTTAAAAGGGTTAATGACGACTTTAAGCTCTAATTAATGTTTTAAACGAGAATGGGCGGTTTTGGACTATCAGCGGCCATTGATGAAATTAGTGTCAAATTAAAGTACTAATGCTTAGGACCAATTTTAGTTCTTAAAGTTTTATAGGATTTCATTTAATCTAGAAAATAATTAAGTACAATAACGATATCTGGGACAGTGTGCATGCAGCCACATTTGTCGATATAAATGACCGCTTGAATCGACCAAATCATATAGCTGATTTTGTTGCTCGCAATAAAATAAATAGACAAAGAGCAACGTTCGTAAGTACGACTAGTGATCCTATGTTTGAAGACTTTCCAAATCTCTCAGAAGGAAGACCTTCTTTTTTGCTCTTGGTACATATCGAATCAATCTAGGCCGTAATTATTATGCAGAGCATCTTGTACAGGGGTTGTATAATATTGAGGTGCAATTTTGCCCATTTTCCTCTGTAAAATTTGGTAATGTGGCATTAAACTAATGATAATTTTAACGGCCGTTTGTGTGACTGACTGTTTATGTCATATCATGTTAGTAATTATTTGAAGTGTGAAGGTTAAAAGCAATTGTTTTTTAAATATTATTTTTTTTCTAAATTATCCCATCATCATCACCAGTCCTTTTACGTCCCCACTGCAGGGGCTCAGGCCTTCCTTATGGATGGTTAAGGAGGATGGGCCATGACCCTCCACGCTGGCCCAATGCGGATTGGAGGGTTTTAACGACTGCAAATGCAGCCGGGACCAACGGCTTAACGTGCCTTCCGAAGCACGGAGTAGCTCGAGATAATAATTTTTTGGTCACCCATCCCGTGACCGACCTTTGCGAAAGTTGCTTAACGACTACGATCGCGGGCCGCGGCGCTTATCCACTACGCCACCGAGCTACATTTAATTTAATTATCCTATACATAAACCTTATTCTGGGAACAAACACGACGAAAAAAAATCGAATTTTGTGCAATCGTTCTGAAGTTATGTCTTTATATACGTATTGGCCATTCATTTTTATAAACCTCTTCAATCACTATAGCTATATTGACGAAAACCGCAATAAAATCCTTGTGTAGTTTAAAAAATTTTAGCGTACAGACAGCGGGAAGCGACATTGTTGTATTCTATTAATAGAAGATAGTCCCAAACAGGTGACGTTTTCAATATGTCATTTTATGTAGACAAACAAAATTGCACCTTATCGATCGCAGTTAAGGCATAAACTCTATTATTGTAATTACTTCTTTAATAATTGTTGTAATTTCCGGTGATTATCTTGTTTTGTTATTCATGAAGGTGTAATTATAAGACCACACGTTTTCCTTAATAAGTTACAATTTTCCATGGACACATTATTTACTATTAATGCTGTTATATTTATTTATTTTATTTTAAACTTTAGAAGGCTCATAATTTGATTGTATGTATATTAAAAAAAATTAGAATTTAAGTTAACTGTTATAAATAAGAAATATGTGTTTACTATTTTCTACATAAAATTATTAGTAACCTCTGAAATTATACATCATCATCATCATCAGCCCTTTTACTTCCCCACTGCAGGGGCACAGGCCTTCCTTATGGATGGTTAAGGAGGATGGGCCATGACCCTCCACACTGGCCCAATGCGGATTAGAGGGTATTAACGACTGCAAATGCAGCCGGCATTTGAAGCACGGAGTAGCTCGAGATAATAATTTTTTTTTGGTCATCCATCCCGTGACCGACCCTGGCGAAAGTTGCTTAACGACTACGATCGCGGGCCGCGGAGCTTATCCACTACGCCACCGAGCTACGAGCTTACCGAAATTATATATACACTCTTTTATAATATTTCATCAATTTGTATTCACAATGTTATGAAAAAGAAATCTTAAATGAAAAATGCTTTAAAAGTCTACCAGTTCTAGGTACCTTGGGATGATAAATATTTATTTTTTCATAACTCTGTGAACAAGTGTGACACTTTTTTGTAGCCTTAGACCAGAGGTTTCCAAACATTTTTTTCTCGTAGACCTTTAAAAAAAAAAACTGGTTTCGGTGGACCCCCTGCTGCTACACTTTTACCATATTCCCAAAATTCGTCCAAAATATGAAGATCTAACGATGGAAATTGTTTTTATTTCACGCCAACGTAGACCGCCGTTGAATCCCTAATGGACCCCTGGGGGTCCACCTCGACCACTTAGGGAATCACTGTCTTAGACTGATACAGATTTTATAATTATCATAATGGTTTTAAAGTGGTTCACCTTGAGACCGGTGTCTGAGCTTCTCTGCTACATAGACCGACCAATAATAAAAAATACCAATTGTATTTGTTTAGCTCGATAGCGCGCTCGGTCTGCGATACGGTTATTAAGCAACTTTCACAATGGCCTGTCTTAGGATGGTTGACCGAAAATTTATTATCTCTAACTCCTCCATACTTCAGATGGCACGCTAAGCCGTTGGGCCCGGCTTCATCTGCAGTCGTTTGTTACCCACCAATCCACACTGGGTCCGCGTAGTGCCTATTTGATTCGATCCTATCCATAGGGAAGGCCTGAGCTCCAGCAGTATTAATAGATTTGTGATGATGACTCATTTGTATGTGTTTATTAATTAGTGTGTGATTTTTTGCCTTTTTTATGTTTTCAGATCTGTACTATGTTGAGAATCTATCAACATATCAATCTCTGGGATTTAAGAGGTTCAATGTGATAACTATCCTCACTTCACTCCTGTGGAAACAGTCTCGTGAGGCCTTATCGAAGGGCAGATCGATGGGTGAGCTTCTATAATTGTGTACGTCAAGCTAGCAGGCACACTAAGATATTCCAATATCTCTTAATTTACGCTATCGCTATTTTTATGCTATAAATCACTATTTACTCAGAATTTATTGATTTACCTATGAGCCCCAAATTCATTGGTGTGCTTGCTACCTTTACGTAAATTTTTTTTTCTTTATTATTATTACAAGGAGGTAAAGTTTCTAACTTTGTTTGGTGTAATTGGCCTAATTGTCTTATTTCTAAATCTATAGCAATCACTCTGAATTTGACATTTGAAAGATATCCACGAACTTTACGCTATAACTATTTGACATGTGTTTTTTTTAAGATATTGAATGAACTTAAACGTTTATTTGACGTTAATCGGAATTGTCTAAGCAAATCGATAGTTACAAATAACTTTGAAAGCTATTATGAAATATCAAACGAATTGTTTTTGACATTTATATCATTAAAATCATTCGAACCAAAAGCGATGGTGACTTTAAAATGTACATATTTTCATAAATAACTACCACAACCGCTATAAAAATGAAAGGGAGGGTGATAGATTTATAATTAGACAATTAGGCTACAGGCCACTTTATGTCTTTATAATATTAGTATAGATTTGATTTGGTGTTTGAATAAATTCTTACTTTTTGTCTTATTTAATGAAAAAGTGATATAGAAGATATAAGATGATGGGAAACTGTGTTAAAATGATTCAGTTTTAACCAATTTATGAATGTTGAAATATTATTTTTATTGTAATCTAAAATACTTTAATGTAACTTTACACTCAAGCAATCAATTTTGAAGTTAGCCATCATCAAATGAAGGCTTAAGATCGATTGGGGTTTAATATGTCGTGCTAGCGATTGTACTTTAATTGGGGCTTTTGCATTTTTAAACAAAATTCATAAATTAGAGAAAATTGCGGCGTTATTAAATAAGAGACATGCTCCATTGTACATTAAAGTTTACTTTCCCTGGCCGATGTAAGCCCTGTTTTTTTTTTCGAAATTAATGATAAGAACTACATTCTACAAGCTGAGAGAGCGAATATTTAAACGAGCGTGTCTCCTTTCCGATTACGTCTTCGGATTTCCCTACTAATTTACCATTGTTATAGATATATTAAAAAAAAAACAGTTTTTTTATGTAAAAAAGCGACAAAGAATAACGGATTCTAAACCGCAGGTTTACAAAATGATTTTATCGGTGACGGACTACAAAATGGCGGCGCTTTGCTATTTCAAAATGGCCAACTAGTATGTCACTTCGTGCAAGACGGCCCGGCTGATAGAATATCCAATACGGAAATATCAGAGGTTCACTCAGAATCATGTTACATGTTATTATTACATCGATAAAGTAAATAGAATTGATTTCCAATATACTTACGAATAATGAATCCATATTAATGATATACAATAAAGGCATAGATTTGATTGACTTTACTTTTCCTATTTAGTTAAGTATATGTAGTAGCTGGTACTATAATTGTTTTAGAGATATCGCTAAGGGCAGTAGAATAGGTAAAATTTATAAGAAATGGAGGTATATCTTTGAATGTTTTTTTGCTTATATGTATTGTATTATATTATAGCTTAGCTTACAAAATAGTTTCATTTCCTTATTTAAAATTTTCCATATTCAAAAACATTGGATCAGTGGTTTAGTCGTAAAAGCGTAACAAACCTCTTTTCACATTTAAAAGTATGGACTATGCTTAGTAAGGAAAGAGTTCTTAATAGTAATAATCTTGGAATAGTCGACACCTAAATATCTTCTATATCATTTTTGGCGTCGTTGCAAATTCGACTCTATGGTGTGTATTGATTAGTACCAATATTTGAAATTAAGCACTAGGTGGCGACTTGAAAGGTGATTGGGTGCAGACGGGTGGAGCGTTGCTAGTAGAGAAAGGAGGTAAAGTGTTGACACACTTTGTACAGACTGGGCCTGGGGACCGTTTGCCTAATCTGGAAATTCTTAAGGTAGGTTGCTCGGGTAACTTAGGCTTGAGCCTATCTGGGCATATAGCATGTTTTCATTGTCCTTTGAAGTCGGCTGCATCTGAAATCGTTAACACCTGCCAATCCGCAATAGACCCGTGTTGTGGATTATTGGACGTATAAGTTTTATTGGGTAGCTTCGATAGTGCAAAATAAGTAACGAAATTTCACAAACTAAACTTTATATCGAAATAAACATTGACTGATTTTGAGTTATATATAATATCTTATTATCTTAAAATTAAAAGTCGAGATTTTTAGCTGTGGCGTGACTTGAAACATGACCCGCCATTGTGTGACGTCGCTCAGGCGACATCTCTAAGATTATTAGTTAAAAGATGCCTCTTTTTAATGAATCAAATTCCTAGATGGCGCTGTTCTTGCCTTAACAACGTTTGCCGGGTGAGCTAGTAATGCCTATTTATCTGTAATAATAATAATAATAATAATAATATTTTTTATTGGAACTTTACACTTTACAGATATTATCGTGTACGAAAGCAGCCGCTTTAGTTTAAAAACTGAGTTGCAGCCACAAACGCCCACCTTCATTGTATAAAGAACAACGTTCCACTCGACGTATTTATATAATTCAAGTTTAGAATTAAATTAAATAGCATGCATTCTTATCATTACTACTGTGTGTGTAGAATGTTAGTGTATATGAAAGTATGAGTATGTGTATATGAGTGTAAGTTTGTGTGTATTTGTATTATATGTTATGTTTTTGTGTATTTCTTTTATACAAACTGCGATGAATCACTATATGTCTGTTTACATACAACTCTTTAACAAGTCCTCAGTATCACTGTAGGATAATGTTTTTAGCCACTGTACCAATCGAGTTTTGCATTCTCGCGAAGTGAGAGGATGTAATTTTATCAAGTTATTAATTTTGTTGTATAATTTTGGAGCCAAGAAGTTAAAATGTTTAGCAGATACAGATAACCTACACATCTCGATTTTACATGGCAAGACTGGTCTACGCTTGCTTTTACAGGGGTAAGGCTTATCACTTATAGTTGGAAATGGGAGTTGAGCGTGTTGCCGTAAAATAATTTGCAGGAGATAAATCTGACGCACTGTTAAAACGTCAGTAAGAGCATACAACTCAATAGTGGGGAAATAAGCTGGTTTGCCGATAATAACCTTAAGCACCGCTCTTTGAGCTCTTTCTAGTCGCAAAAGTTCTGTTTTTCCTGAGCTTCCCCAGACGGAGATACAATATGAAAGAACAGATTGTCCCAATGCATAGTAGACTGTTTTTAATGTATCATAATCAGCTACATGTCTGAGGTTTTTGAAGACGTAAATAAGTTTTCTGATACGACCAACCGTGTTTTTTATATGTACCTTCCATGTCAACAGACCATCCACGTGTACTCCCAAATATCTAATCTGGGTTACATGTGTAATTTGAGTACATTCACAATTTATACATGTTTGTGGAGGAGACTTATGAGCAAAGATATGGAACGGGAAGGATGGTAAAGACACTCTAGCAGGGGAAAAAGTTATGAAGTTAGTTTTCGTTAGATTTAATGTTAATAAATTTAGGGATAGCCATTTCATAACAATATGCAGAGCGAATTCCGCATTAGCATGAACATTTAACCAATCTGTACCATGCACTAGTAAAGCAGTATCATCTGCATATATTAAAATTCTACAGTTTGGCAGAGTGAGTTTGCAAAGTTCATTTATATATATATTGAAAAGGGTAGGTCCTAAGACGCTTCCCTGAGGGACACCGAAATGGAGATTCTCATCATGGCTAACGATGTCATCTATTTTAACACATTGACGGCGGTTACTAAGGTAGCTCTCGAAAATTTTGTGAACCACACCCCTGATCCCAATCTCCGACAGCTTGTTCAATAGGAGCGGGACGGAAACTGTGTCAAAGGCCTTAGAAAGATCTAGAAAAAGCCCAATAGTTTGAAGTTTTGAGTTAAAGTTTTTTATTACTGCTCCTGTCAGATCAAGCAAGGCATCTTCAGTGGACTTTCCTCGACGGAAGCCATATTGGTTATCCGCAATTATATTATTGGTATCGAGATAACCGAGGAGCCTACAATTTAAGATCTTTTCAAGGATTTTGGATAGCGTAGTTAAAACGGATATAGGTCTATAATTGTTGACACTGCTCTCGTCACCATTTTTATATATAGGATGCACCTGAGCCTTCTTAAATGATCTAGGAAAAACACCCGTAGATAAACATAAGTTAAAAAGATATACAAGTATTGGAGTCAATGTCCTTTTAGCCGACTTAATCACTACAGTGGGTATGCCATCCCAACCAGTAGCTGACGTATTTTTTAGGTTATCAATGATGCAACTAATTTCTTTATTGTCGGTGGCAAGTAGACACATGGAACTGATGGGAGAATTTTTTTTTATAAAATCATTTGGATTAGTTGTCGACGGATTGGGACTCGATGCGCTAACTATCTTACAGGCCAGTTCACGTCCAATATTTGCAAAAAAATGGTTGACTCTGTCAATAGCAGATGATGACTCGATAGAATCAGGAATAAGTTTACTTGCCGAATTTAGTGTGTCAGATAGATTACCAAATTTTTTTATAAGTTTCCATGTGCTTTTCGAGTCTTTATTTGCTTTAGCAAGTTCAGCTCTTTCATATTCTCGCTTAACTTTTTTAATTAAGTTATTTATAAAATTTCTATACCTTTTATAGGTTAAAATCAAAATGTCGTTATTGGGTTCTTTTTTTGATTTACGAAATAATCTGTCACGATTACGTAAACATTTTAATAAACCTGGTGTGACCCATGGTTTAATTATTCTTTTTCTGCTTGGAACATATATTCTATGTGAATGGGTTTTCACAACATTAGAAATTGTGTCAACCAGTAAATCAGTCGCGTTGTCGGCATCATTGCATAAAAGAATATTAGAATAATCAGTCGTTTCTAGCTCTTGGGTACATGCTTCTACATCCAGTTTCACATACGAATGTTTTACATTTTTATTTTTTAATTTAAAATTACAACATAATAGTACTGGTGCATGATCTGTGATGTACGAATCAAATACTAAAGTAGTAGCTCTAGATGTTGTCTTGAGGATCACGTGATCCAGGCAACTGAGGTTTCTGGTGGGAAGAACATGAGCCGGCAGCATAGCATGGGAGGCAACTACATTTAAGTAGTGGTCACTGTTTGGATCTTGACTATCTGGTACAATATTTATATTAATATCCCCAATGACGGCTACATTACGGAATGATTTTAACGATTGTAATACAATCTCAAGAGAATTTATAAAGTTATCTATTTTTTTGTAAGATGGTGAACGATAGAGAGCAATTATTGCAAGTGTACTTGAAAATTTTAGTAAGAGACAGCTTGCCTCATTAAATTCAGGGACTTCAAATGAAAAAGATACGTCATTTCGTATATAAGCTACGACACCGTCATTTTGATTTTTGTAGTTGGATTTACATGAGCTGTACCCTGGTAGGGTAGGAAGAAAAGGGCATTGACTGAGCCAGCACTCAGATAAAATAATAACATCACAAGAAATACTCATGCTGTTTAGTAAAGGGAGAAGTAAAGGGAAGTTACAATTTATACTTCTAATGTTAACATGTAGTACTTTAAAACTATTACTTGCATCCGATATAAGCTTTCCACAGTAATTAGGTGAGCAATATTGGGACTCGGACACTTGGATTTGTTCGATTTCAGAAATGATAGTCAAACTGTCAATATTAACCATTATAGTTAAAAATAATAATAAGGACTCGAAATCGTTTGGAAGGTTAAGTATAAATGATTTCATAGTTAGATGACCAAAGTTATAACCAGCAGATTTGATAATACCAGTTCAAATTTAGTATTTATGTCCTTTATGTCTTTACTTATAGAATTCAAATCAATGACAGAAAAGCATCTATTCAAAACACAAAGGACAAAATAATCACGGCCAAGAAATAAGAATCGAACATTGTTGCAGTTGAAAATTTTAAAATTTACCTTTAAATTATTATTCGATATCGTAAGCCTCCTGAAGCATTTAGTTTCTAAAATGTGCAGAATTCGGTACATATTCTCATTCGAACATTGCAGGTGATATATGTGTACATATGAATAGAGTATATAATTAACATCTATAATAGTTGCAAAGAGATTACAGAATGATTGCGTGTGGAATTGTAATTTGTAAATAGTGAGTGTAGAAAAAATGTATAGTGTGTATGATTTAACATAAAGTATAACAAAACCTAAAATTAAAATCATGAGGAGCAATTTAGATGAATCTAGTCATTTGTCGTGTTCAAGCCTTATCAAGTCTGTTTCAGAGTTAATATTAAAAGTTTTATGACCTTCTCTTTTTCTTAGATATATTCTTCCACGAGAGAGCCGATCTGTGTCCTTTAGTGTCTAGTGTCTTGTGTCTTTAGTGTTTGAAATCAGTACAGTGTTATATCCATATTCAGCATGTAGAGTGACAACTCTATAGTCCCTAATGTAGTTAAGTAACAATTATTTTCTTATTACAGCACTTCGGCTTGGAAAATGAATATAAAGCCGAGGTTACTGGGAATAAGAAATCGGAACCTATTGAAGAATCTGCCGTATGTATTAATATACTAATATAATATTGTAACCAAGTTTAAATGTTTAAGCTGAATTTTAAATGTGTATATAAGATATTTTATTAAATATCCCTAATGAAAAATGCTAAAAAATCCACTTGCCCCAGTTGCTCTGAGGTCTTGCTCGAAGGTCGTGGGAACTTTCGCAATCCGGGCGACTGCTCTAATCACTGGGCTACCAGCTACCCAGGACCAAAATATTTTGAATGAGAATTATTAATTATTTTTTTATTGTTACGAATTATTTTTCATTATAGCATTGTGAATGCAAAATTGGTCATATAATAATATTATTATTAAATTATTATTTTTTTTTATTTTTCTCTGTGTATTTGAATTTGATTTAAAAACTTTTGACCATATATTAAAAACGCTCGCTGCTTCGGTTTCAAGATGTTGTCCATTCTTGAGGTCCCGAGTTCGATTCCCGGTGGGGCCAATATAGAAAATTTACTTTTCTATATTTTTTATAGTCTGGGTGTTATGATACCTTCGTTATCTCAGATATCCATAATACAAAGTGCTTTAGCCATATTGGGTCTGAACAATGTATGTGTTGTTGTTCAAATGGTATTTATTTATATCTTCAATCAACACCACGCCAGACTATACAAATCTGTCAAATTTCACAACTTTATTTTAAACCTTAATCTTTTGATGGTAGAGTTAATGAACTGGAGGAATTTTAAATAATGTAACCTGATTTGCAGTCGAGTGTACTTAGTATTATGTGGTTCTGATGGCGTGTAGTTAGCAAAACTAATATCAGTGTCAAATACGTTCCGTTTTCCAGACAGAGGCGCAGCCCTAGGCGTTGGCTGAAGACTCTCGAGTATCACTCCCTCGCACCGATACACACTATATGGACGGAGAGAAGATGTAAACACTCCAAAGTGTAGTCTATTGCTGGCTTCATGCACCATGTCTCGTTTATTTGTAATTATAGTCTGTTGGCAGAGAGCTGATAAAAAAAAAAAGAGAATAAGTCGGGGTTGCTTAGCTCATTCCAAGTTGCGGCCCGCTAATATTATTTTTACAGATGAATGATAGAAAAAACAAACAAAAAATATATAAAGAAAAGAACAATTTTTGTTTGATATTAGTATTCGTTAAATATTGTATGAATATTTTTTCTTCAAAAACTTAAAATGCATTTAAAAAAATGACAAAAGATTTCGATAATAAGCGACAGTCACTATTCCGAGTGCTAATCATCATATTTACCAACACTCTCCGAACATACTGTACTAGCCGTTTGCTTCGATTTGGCTGACCGTTACTATATGACGTTTATGCACATCAAGGTACAGTCGGCAAAGAAATAATAATTATATTTTAACTTAGCTTATCATTTTATTTTGCTAGGAGTGAATATTCTTTATGTAAAGGTTATCAAACTCAACGTAATCTAACACAAACAACGATTCACAAAAAAAAAAACAATCTAAAATATCTAAGCAAACGGTTAGTAGACACGCGAAAGGACAATATTTTTATGTTGCTAAATTCAAAATTAAGCTTAAATTACTTTTACAGTAAGCTCCAACTAATGTGTTCTTCATTTGCCATTCACTATGTACGATTAAAATTTATAGTGAATCTTGTTTCAATAACCAATAAGGAATAATACTCAAAGCTTTTGTCCTTCTCACTCCCTCAGTGGGGGTTAGGCGCGTTGGTATTTGTGGATCGCCCGATGGCGTGATACTTGAACTAATCTGATTGGTCGACATTTGCCGTAATCGAAATTTAGCCGCAGGTATATCAGTGAATCACATCAGTTGTATCTTAATGTAGAAAAGATAAAACATAAACGTGTTTCTAAAATAAAAATTTAGATGAGTCAAAATGTCTTAAGTAGTATTCTAAGACTTTGCATTATTTTTATTGATTGGATTTTTATTGATTTAAATTGGATTTTGGGACCAAATCTTTTGAAAGACTGAGTTTACCTTATCATGTTCATTATCATTAGCGCACACGAAATCGGGACTCGCAATTGTCTTTGTCTAAATTTGTATGCGAGAAAGAGAGAGATACAATAGAAGTTCCGACTCCGTTTCCGACTTACCATAAATACGTATTAATTCAGTATTTTTTCTATCGTTCCATTTTTTGTCGTAAGTGGAAGAATTTTATGGTACATTAAAACAAAATTCAGCGTTTGAGTATAATTATCTGTCTGCAATATGATGCTTTAGTGTTATGTAAGATCGGAACGATTGAATAAACACTGAAGGCTGAAACGCCACTTGATTTCATTTAACTAGTATTTAAATGTAGTTTATACACTATTTTCTAGAGTTCAGTTGGAAATCTATTTAATAATTACCAAGTTCTTGGTTAGGACTTTTTTTGTGTAATGATCTGATTATTTTTTCAATTACCTATTTTTAGTATATGACAATTCTGAAAAACGAAAAGAAAAATTACTTACTTTTAGTAGTTTGGAGTCATTAAATTTGTATCTTTAATTAGATTATAATTTTGGCGTGATTTTATAATGAAACCAACAATAGACTGAATTTGCACAACATTTATGTATAGATCTTTTTCGAATATTTTTTTATGTTTACACCATTGTAGCTATTTACAGTTCTACTATTTTTATAAGTAGCAACCAAAGAGTATGTATACTACTAGACAAGCTATTCGGTACTGGAAAATTACTCTCTGGGTTTTTTTTATTTGATTGTATTGCCGTTTCGCTTACTCTTTGTAAGCGAGAATGTATCACAATTATATTCAGAAAATCTTGTCGAGTAGTAAACATAGATCTTTAGTAGCATCAGTAATATTTGTCTGCGCAGAAGAGGTAAAGCCGATGGAATACCAGTATCGACATTCAAGAAATATAATACCTATTGCTTTACGTTAAGGCCTAGATTCGCATACATTTCGCGGTGTACGAGCGGGTATCGAATATGACACACTCATATCAATCAAAATATCTGATTTAAAAGGAGGCAAATAAATACGGACTTAAGAAAAAAAAAATTATTTAACATTTTTAAAAAGACATTTTTTTGGTACCATCGCATATTAAAATTGACGACTTTTTGACGTGGATACGTCTATGTTTTCGTTCTACGGGGGGTCATTCTGTGAGCAGGAGTATATGCACTAACGCCATCTATTGGCGTATAAGTGAACTATGCTTGCTCTGCAGGGGGAGGGCCATTCTGTCAGCAGTAGTATATGCACTAACGCCATCTGTTGGCGCTAGTGAATACTTTTTTCATTCAACAAATGAACGCAACGAATATTTATTTATTTAGTGTTTAGTGTCTTTAATTTGTTTATTTATTTTTATTTACTTAATTCTTTATATAAGTTTATTTTTACAAAGAAACAAATATGGGTAGAATAAATAAATGTAGGGTGCTTTGTTAAAAGCAAAAACGCACTACAAAAGTAAATGGTATCGAAAATCATAAAAATCTTTTTCAACCGAATTTTATTGAATCCCATCTTAGTGTATCTGGAACTGGTGAATTTTTTAAATATCAACAATAATGTTGATTTTTTTTTTATCAATTACTCATATATCCATTCATACATAGACGTATCCACGCATAAAATATGGCTGTATCAATGATACAGCCAACCAGGGTTTTTTCGTTACAATAGTTAAGCATCAATGTCGTGACTGGCACTAGTATATTGGCAATGAGTTAAAAAAAAAATTGCGCCCTCTATTAGAGTACGCTTTCATACTTGATATAGAGAACAACACTATATTAGGGTACGGTTGGCAGCCATAGTACTTGATATAGAGAACACTATTTTAGGGTACGGTTGGCAACCATAGTGGTTACAGTAAAATCTAACTTATATGACGCACGGCGGATCTTTTGCGCAGCTATTGAACTATTAAATTCTATAGTGAGTCTTGTTGCAACGACCGTATGGTATAAAATACAAAGTATAAGGTGTCCGTCTAACTCAGCGGTTGACAAGCGCGTAGATATTGGTGGATCGTCGGATGGCGTGATACTTGGATCATTCTGATTGGCTCACATTTGCCGCGTTTCGAAATTGAGCCCCGTCTATTCTCTCTGTACTGTAATTTTTGTAACCTTTCGACAAAGAAACTTTTGCGCAGATAAATTGACGTAATTATTGGTTCTACTGTATTTAAGTGTTTCATATGATAGAATTTAGTATTAATCGCTTCTTACAAGTGGAATGAACGAATTTGAAATCGATAAACATAAAGTACTATATTTTTAAATTAAATATATGTTTATATAAAAAGTTTGTGATTGTTTGTTGTGTAATTTAAATTCTATTCTATTTTCTTACAATTATCATAGAATTTCTTATATATATATATATATATATATATATAAATGTAGATATGCTTATGTGAGCACATAATTGCAAAAGTTTATATTTGTTACTAAATTTGAATGTATGAAAATGTGAAGGTTAAATAAAAATGGCAACGCAAAATAAGGTCTAATTAATTTATTAAAGTAACGACGTAACAAACTGCTCTCTTCCCATCGCTTATCTCAACTTTGCCATAGTTTTAAGTAGCAAAGGCAAGTATAGTAAAGACTTGCCTTGATCCTTATACGTAAAAGCAATAAAGCTACCATTAACGTACGAAATGTCTCAATGACGTCATAACTTTAGCTGCAATCGAAGTATAAATAATCAGCCGTTTTTTCGTGTTTTTGTAAATTGGACGTAGTTAATCAAAAAGAATCCATCCCACACAATGTCACATTTGAGATATAGACAATTGAAGTTTAACCTGTATTTGCATGTTAATGTAACATTTTTGTGTATCATATTTTTATCTAATACCGTAGAAAATCATTTATTAAAACATTAAGGTTAAAGTATGTTTGGATCCTTTTTGATATATTTAGGTTTTAATTATCTTATTCTTACAAAACAAATCTCAAAAATAATCCAAATGAAGATTAACTGAAACGCTAAAATTTCATGGTCAAAACTATTTATTAAAGGTTCTTTATATTTATTGTTTTAATTTTTAATGTCAAATGTATTCTCACTATCTAAAATTACCTTCCTACACCTTAAAAAAAATAATTCCTTTTAACAAAAATGCTTCAAGCGTTTTTAACCTTTATTGTTATTTTTAACCGAGATTAGTGCCTTTAATATGCTAATTTGCTATTTTACTACTTTGCTAAGAAGCTGGAGTCGTTTTTATGGAACTAAAATGTGAACCTGCCAAAGATGTTGGATGGTAACTACCATTGAAAAAAAATGTCAAATATTTAATACAGCTCAGAGTTTTTTTCCTATATGAAGGTATAGATCCTGATGAACATTGTGGTATACTTAACTCATTTTCGACCAATTTGTGGGTTGGATCCTTTTTGAGGAACTACGTCCGATTATAGCCTATATCAACATTCATGGTATCAGAAATTCATTAAGGCAATTTTGAATTACGGTTCCATGAATGTCATTGTTTTAAAAATAATAATGTCTTAATAATAATAATTTGCAATTAATAGGATTATATTCGTAGGTACGATGATATTCAGTTCAGTGAAAGCTTCGACCTATTTAGCCATCATAAAATACACGTAAAAAACGGAACTAAGAAAAAGAGGTGCAAAATTAAGTGGGTGGAAAGAATAGCTAATTCAAATATTAGCATTCATTGGTCATGCTCGACATTTTTGATACTTTAATTAGATTATGTATGTAGGTATAAAGCTCGTAGCAAATAAACATTGACAGGACCTCTTGCGACTGTCGTGCCATCTGGTAATGAAGAGAACAAGCCCTCATTACAGAGCAATCAAGAGTAAAATAACACCAATCACCATTCAATTTATACTTCATAAAACTGTACCGTGAATCGTTAGGCTGTCTCTACCGACTACTCCTGTAACCTTTAACCGGAGTGCATTGGATTCTTATGGATCGCTCGGTGGATCCGTCCAGGACGGAGCTAGGGGATGGGCAAGTGGGGGCACTTGCCCCGGGTGCCAGTATCAGGAGGGCGCCAATTTTACTGTTAAATCGTTGGATTCGTCCAGGCCCGGATCTTTGGGATGGGT